CTACATAATACTTATGTGCATAGTCTATGCAATCCCCACATGAGGAATCAAGCGAAGCATGAGGTCACGAGCAAAAGAGCTTATTTAAGTGGCCATGACGTACATGTGCAACTACGCTTCACGGAAATATTCTATAGCTAAACTTTACTATTGAATATTAAATACCTTCAACGTGGTACTTCCAAGGTTGTGGTGAGTAGAATCCGTTTTGCAATGAATGTCAAGAACCATCCAAAGCCTGGGTTATTCATTGGTTAGTTCACTTATGTCCGAAGGATTTCATAATCAATGGGAACATTTCAAAAGACAGGCTATGCTGGTCGGCTAACTAGCGGTATGAGAGCAAGCGTTGACGGATTCCTGCAATTCTAAATTATACGATTTGTTATTTTCGAACCTGTCCTACCTACATTACGTGATGACGACGTTTCTTCGATTTTTTTTTTCTTTTTTTTTGAAATATATGTCAGAAATACCTGGGTAGCCAACTGTACTACGGCGGTGAAGAGCCAAGGCGGAGTTTACGCATGAAACGAACCGCCGAGAGTGGACTACATATATCCATATTGGACTTCTTCCAACGCCTTTTTAGGTCCACCCGCCTCCCATTTTGCGCTTTTTCGTTGGGCACATGACCGAACACGCCGACACGGCCCTTCAATCGCATAATCGACTTTGATAGTTTGACCTCACGGCCTAGATTGCCGCATCATGCAGTCATTGAGTAACAGAACGGGTCTGCTCCATACCGAATGGTTGTTCGTCCGCCTTAGTTGTAAGCTACCTAAGCTAGGTGCTTCAACTAGCCCCCAAACAACGGCATACGCATACCGGCAACTGGGTCTATGCGAAAGATTCTTCAATGTCACAGAGATCCGCCGACGCGGTGCAAACTTTTTCTCACCAAGGGTCCGGTGGAAGGGAACAGAAGAGGCTCTTTAGGCATTTCTAAGCTAATACTTTAGTCATGGAGCGGGCCGCGGGACCATCTAGCGGTAGGTTCGGCATGTTAGATGCTTTTTTATTCTTCCCAAGTCCCAACGATTTTCTTCTACTATGACCGTAATTAGACACTCCGTCCGGTTTCCTGGTCGACGATCCGAAAAGTAAAATTCTCAGGAGTAGGCTTGACGTAAGATGGGCTATGATCCTGTCAGGAGAGTCGAGATTAATCAAGTAAATTAACTATGTACCTATACCTACTCCGCGTTGTTGCCAAAATTTTCGACATTAGGGTTAACTGTTGGCGTAAGGGTATCCTATATCCAAAATATCGGGACCGTAACTATCCACCGCCGTAAGCAACTTTCCTACTATTGCTCCGGAACCGCAGAAAGAGACTGCATAGTATGATGATGTATCTCGGCATGATCCAATTAGTACATTAATGAGTCTCGGCCCATATTTGAGGTGGAAGACACTATCAATGTAGTATCTACCTTGCATATACCGAGAATTGAAAAAGTCATTTAACTTTTAAGTGACACAATGCTTCGATAAATGATCTAGAAGCTTTTGACCCACTATGCCGAATGAAAGCCACGATGAGGCTGATGAATCCCGCTAGAGTGGAACCATGAACCATGGGTGGGGCGCACTGGACGCATAAAAACAATCTAATGCAACCTAGATCTCTCTACCCAGCTTATGCAAACCATCATTAAATTCAATCATCAATCCAATCATCTCTTTTCTATTCCCTATTCTTATTCCAAGTCATTATAGTTCAATCGAATTATCGACTCCTTTTTTGGCTACCAAGAACATGGCATAATCATCTTCATATGATACTACGTAGAAATCATTACCCTTTTAATGTTCACTTCCCTATCCGTTGACCGTTTGCTGCAAACGACGACGGATAGGTAACCGAGGCTATTCTAAGGCTGGTAACATTAAAACTTTTCGTTGGTGGACACTTGACAGATCTCCATTATTAGCTGTTAGCACATGTACTCTTATACACGATCATGGTTCAAGGGTCGGCCTCCTTCGTTATAACCCTCAGACACCACGGAATCCTTCGAGAGGCTTTGACGATTCTCGTTGACCAATAATGGATGGTGACGAGCCGATGGGAATTAGTTACGCATTTCCATCGCGGGCGGATCCCAACGGCGAAAACTACCAAGTCTCGTAAATAACGGAGACGAATTCGCAAATCATCCGTTGACCTCCCATCTCTGGAACTGCCGTCGCCCGAGTCTAGCTTTAAAGTCTGGGTCGTGTTTCAAAGATATGGCTTCGCTTTCAAATAGCTGACGAAATCTGCCTAATAAGCTGATCCGCGTCCGGCGTGCCAGCGTTACATTCCATCGTCACTCTGATCTGATGATGTTACTTGCGAGCAACATCACTACAAGGCAAGCTACCTAACAACCCTGAGCGCTTACGCGCTATAGCGGTTCCACGAGCTGTACTTTTGTTACCCTTACCATACCTATACGGAAGGTATGACGGTATAACATCTTCACTATTTTTCTTATCAGATGTTCGAAAACTGATGGCAGCACCAATCTCACGGCGATATAACGTTCCTTGCCTTAGTTTATAAAGATAGGCCTAACCAACAAATCAACACCGGTAGCGATAGTAGCATGGTCAAAAAGAAAGAAACGGTAGTCTACACGGCACCTGGATAGCGTGGCCCATGTCGAATTCGGCAAAAACGTACGGGTCAATTGACGATTTTGACTTCATGTTACACTAGGGCTTTCTGCGCTTGGACCTTAACAGTTAGGAAGATATCATTCCCAGGTAAAGATTGTAGCCTCTTGGCGGGATTGAAGCATCTGATTGAACCAGCGGCCGACAGGATCTTCTGGCTAGAGATCTCCTTGGCAAGGATGACGCGATTGTTTTAAGAGAAACGAACGCGTTAGTGTCGGGACGCGTCTAGATCTCATGGCCATGGCCGACCTGGCCGAAACTTGACCATTCTTAGTCCGGGGAAGGCCCTGATCTTGGCCTACCTGGTCTACCTAGGTCTATCTTTGTAGCAGCCGGGTCCGCTCATGATTTCTTGGTTTACGTTCCAGTTTCGATCAATCAGCAACAGAGATGGCTTCGTCTTGGTCAGACCATCGGGCCACTTTAGTTGCTCCTAAAACGCACATCGCTCACTCATATGTCAATAGGGTTGATGGGGGTTGTCGCGCCTTAACGAGCAACAGGGAACGAACCATCATATCATTTCTCAATTAGGATTTGATGTTTAGAAGTATTTGATACCAGTTACCTTCTACGAACAACTTACGAATTACGGCAAGCGTGGTCGGCGACTACGAACATATAATTTCTATCTCATAGGGCTAACAATCTCAGCTATCGTTCAAGATATCCTAATCCTAAAAAAAATAAAGGCTCACCCAATTATATCTATCCATGGCATTGTTGGCCTCTCGTTTCTGCAAGCCATGACGTTAAGTCCTAGACTAACCTTATGCGCCCGTCATCTACGCCAAATTACTTGGTAACTGCAGTCTCTGCGGCATCATAAGCCATATTACAGGGCTTCTGTAATCCTCAGCCTCGAAAATAGACCCATCTTCGGTGTTCGCTTTAGTTGTGCGGGGGACCATTCAACACCCCTGAACCAAAATTTCTCTGCTGCGTCACGTTGACAGGCGTATTCGGACCCAACGCTAGGCACTCCGTGAATTACAGACAGAACGTTTCGAGCCTATGTGAGCAATGCTTATAACGTACGACGACTCCGTGAGATATTCCCGATCCGCACGTAATTGGGACTAGGACCCTCAACGCTGAACTAGGATATTACGTACTTATATCGTAGTTACTACGGGGTAACTGCGGACAGCCTCAGTGTTCTCCGTAAGTTTCGCGGCGGTCCTGCAAATAACCATAATAGTGCGTATGGATGGGCCCCGATACAAAGTAGGTGCATCGAGTTGAGAGTCTAGATGACATAAATCGACGGCGGGGCGCGCGATGACGAGATGGGCGACCACCTACCCAGCCCCTCGGAGACGAAACCATCACCTATCTCCTCTTTTTCCCCTCCGCACGCGTCGGGTTGGCGTTTTGGCGTCGGTCGCGTAAAGGGTGCGGAGAAGCTACCGACTTGTGCGGCTATTTCTGTATGTATGCTGACCATGGATAGGTCAATCTGAATAAGACAAATGTGACGAAGTCTAGACCAACATTGTCTAGCTCCAAACGTATCGGTCTAGTGAGAGGACTTCCAGAACAGTCCGAAGATAGACGAGAAAAAAAAGGCTCTTTACGGATCCGTACGCGCCTATATAATTAGGATCTCCATATAAACGCGCCAAGACATTTTTTTTTCTTCTTTTCCGTCTCATTAGATCAGATTTCCCACGGAGAACCCTGCGGCTGTTGAACAATATCTGCAAGCCATCTTATAGCTGCTGCAAGCCTCTTCTCCATTTCGAGTCAAATCAGCTGCCCGAGTGTTACATAAGTTCGCTCTGATCAATTGAGGATTTCCTTGTTCCCTCCGAGCCTCGCACCGAATGAAATTCAGCGGCCGGAGATGAGCACCTGCGAGGTTCAGGATGAAAATTCTCCGATAGGTCTTTTCGAGAGCAGTATCATGACTGGAAGGCCCATACGTACATATAATATCTACATGAGTTGCAACGAGACAGGGCCTGATTGATTATAGGCTATCTGTTGCCAACAAAAATCAGCACTTTGCCAACATAAGACGGGACAGAATGCCACCGTACCAATCCATCGGTTTTGTGCATATCATCTTCCCTGGATGTCGCTATTCGAGATGTTAAGTTGACCCTACGTACCTAGGCATGCTCCGTCCTCTGCTATCTATTAAGTAGGGGTAGGACCTTGAAAGAAACATGAATAAAGAGACAGACCGCGCGTGGCGTCAGCAGCAGCAGAGGCTTTTACAATTTCCGAGCGCTGCGTTGTCAAGCAAGCGATTTCGGTTATGCACGATACCACTCATTCGGAAAAGCTACATGTCATATCCAAGTTTTCGGCTGCCAATCTACTGCTTCCTCCTGAAGATCTAATTTCTTCATGGAGCGTTATCACCACGCCAATAATCGCATAACGAATATTTGACGTATAACGTGAATTGGTATTTCGAAGCTACTATCGTCAATGTTACTGGCGACTTGCGGATGAGTATGCCATACCTCGCTTATATACCTACAGTAAGTATCTATCTTAGCTCAAGTTGTGATCATTCGATTCACTTGATACAAGCAGTTTGATGAAATGAGAAGCTCTTCTCGCCCTTCAATGATCATCATCGTTGATCTCTTTTTTTTTTTTTTAATTCTTTTACATGACAATATCCTCATCTTCTCCTTGGCGGTGCCTGTGGCTCTTCACCTATGTGTTGATATCTTGGATTCTCAAATTCCTCCTTGGACAGGAAATCAGCCCGCCATTCGGGTGTCCAAGGTGCTTTCCAAACTGAGCCTACACGTGGTTCTAAGATACACTTTCTCGTCTCTATAGGGTCATACCATCCTTGGTCATTTGGATTATTGATGATGGTCGAGAGCTCGCACCTCCCTCGCATCTTTGGCCAATCTCTATCGATGAGAGTGGTAGCTTGTTGCTCCCCTAGGTGATGCGTGAATATCACCTCGTCAGGCGTCTTTGCTTGGTCTCGTAGCGCTTCAAATTGCTTTGGGATATCGACGCCTATGTCCGACTCTGGGTTATGCCGTGCAAGTGCCGGCATGCGTCTCGATCCAAGCACATCTCTACGGTCCTCCCCGAGCCAGAATTCCATCGCCGTTGGCGTTGAGGACATATAGCAATACTCGAACGGCACCATGCCGCTTAAACGGTCGGTCCAACGCGCATTTGTCGTTTTCGATTGTTCTATTATGACCGGACAGAGACCCCCAAGTAACCTTTCTTCTTCCGGATATACCGCATCGTCCCCCTTTCCAACCAGGGTTTCTCCCTTTTCTGTGCAGACCGATACGTGCAGTTCGAAAAACCTACGCACGACGGTTTGGGTTGCCGTCGCCACCTTCATGACGCCTTGCGCCGCCAACCACCTCAGGCTGACGTTTAGATGTTGGAAGTCGGCTATGGGCAAAACCGGGAAAGTCGCTCCGCTGTCCATGATGGTTTTGAGATGGGCGGTGGATTTGGGGTTCTTCGGCGGTCTCTCCTTCTTGGGTAACTCTTCGTAAGTTTCCTCATCCTCTCTGCTCACTTTTGTTCTGTCGATGGAGAATATCTGATATACGGGATAATTTCCGATGTCGTAAGTCCCTCTTGTGGTCGTTCGATTGAGGCATAGGCCCTTCTTTGCCAACACGCCGTCTGTCCCCTCAGATAAGGGAGGTTCGTGCCATAGCCAGCCTGATCCATATTTTGCGTAGTACCGATCGAGCCTCTCCTTTCTGTCTACGCAGAAGGATCGGTACGTAGGGCACACGTCGGCAATGTGCCCAGCGTAGATGAGAGTGAAATTGTCCGAGTACGGGATGTCCCCGGAATGGTACCCCTGAATAGCAGCTCGGATGTTGGCCTCTTCGGCCTCACATTGACAAGTGTCGAGAGCCCAATTCAACGCTTCCAATCGTTGACCAATCCGGTTCTTCTCTTCCCTTTGATTCCTAGAAGAGCATTTGTTAGTGCCCCTTGGGATTTCAAGCCAAGTTTATCTTCTCAAAGCAACGCCGACTTACTCGGGCATATTATTCTCTTCATTATTCTCCATCTCCGACCTCTCTTTTATTAGTCTGTCCAGGACTTTCTGGTTATGGGCAACCTCGTCTGGCGAATGTTCTTGGTGGTATTTCACAATATATCGGTGTTGTTCGATCTCGCGATCCTTTGTTTCAATATGGCTCAAATTGTATCCAAGATCACAACCAATGACTAAGGTCTCCCATGGCTTTCGCTCCTGGGTAGTTTCGGTCTCTGTCTCTGTAGGCTCATTTGATCCTATTCCTTGTTCTTCCCCTACGTCTGGCATATTTGTGTCAATTACTTCAGTAACTTCATCTTTTTTCTCACGTTGGTCCCGTAACCGCTGTCTGCGCTGTTGCCGAGCTGTGCGCTCATCTTCCGGCATCCGTTGTCTTTCTATTCGCCTCCGACGTCGAGATGAGACCCCCTCGGATTGGCGATCTGAAGAGCCGCGATGGCCTTCCGGCGGCTGGCCATCACCAGGTACCATGATCTATTTTCCCTGTGAATCTGGAGATAGGCTTGAATTTTCCATCATTTTGGAGCCTTTTCCACTAAGGTCTAGAGCAAGATTACACAATAGCTGCTGCGTTTATCTGTCAATTCCGGCTAATGACTTTCGAGAAATGCTAGCTCTAGCCTAATGCCGCAAACGGCAAACGGTGGATTGGGTCAAGTTTCACGGATGTGTCTTACCCTATTCGCTAGCAGTTTACAATAGCATTCTTTGTCGAAATCGGATTTTGGTGAAAGACAACCCAAAGCCGCCTCTGGAATGCTGAGCTTTCAACTCCCCGTAACTAGCGGATTCCTTGCAGCGAGAGACAAGTACCGCAGCTCCTCCTGGATGATTCGTTGCGAGCGGAAATCTCATGCCTCCCCTACCCTTTCTTCTTGCTTATCTATCACGGTTTTACTATAGTCCCACATCAAGTACGAACAAAAAAGAAATCTGACGGAACGTCCTGACTGGCGATGAATTTTGTCTAGCAAGCTGGAGTTCTTTGGATACATCGCCGGTTGTTTTGTAAATCGCTCTATCACGTTGCCTACTAGGTAGATTGCGATATCACGTTAAGGAGCTACAAGCAGTTTAGTTTGGGACAGTGCATCAGACGATGGCCGAGTCGGCAGCTCAACCCGCAGGTCCTCCAGACATGGAGATGCAGGACGTGGAAATGCCAGACGTATCTAGAGGTCCTGGTGGACGGGATCCTAGTACGACACTGCCACGCATCTTGAATTTCCTCACCGACGAAGACCAATACCGACACCCGGCATGGAAACAGAGGGTACTGTTGATCAAGAAATACCTTCAGGAAGCCAATAAGGCTCGCAAAGCAGGCGACCTCGGCTACGACACTCCTCATGTTCGCGCGATGTTGGATGATGCACTCATCATACTAGATGTGCACAAGAGATCATATGAGTGGCATCGTGGCCCAACTCCTTGGTCAATGTTGCCATTATCTGGCCAGCCTACCTCCACGCGACTACCGAGTTTTTCAGATCAATTTCTCAAGGCGAACCCGGACAAGTCACGGTACAAGCGCAGGCGAATCGAGTATCCACCTTCCAATGCTGCAAAGCGCAGGCTTCCTGGTGTTATTCTCTCGCCATTTGCTGCGTTGTCTCAAGGCGGGACAAAAGCAGTGGACTTATTCTTAGCAGACGAGGAGCGTTTTTTCGACAACTCTCTCGATCCTCAGGGCTCAGCTAGCGATGTCAATTTGTTCAAACTCGACAACGATCGGTATGAGCTCTGTATCAATGGTGGAATTGAGGAAACCTTGAAACGGGCGCCGTGGAGACATTCCAAGGATATCCGCGTTATTTGGGAGTCGTCCAATACCGACAACAGCAAGACCGGCTCTTCAACCGAAGCGACAGATAATCTACAAGAATTATCCATTGCAAGAGGCTGGAAGCGAGCCGCGATCCAACAATGTCTGAACATCTTCAGCAACCACGAGAACAGAGTTGTCAACACTCCATGGCGTCGGGTGATCCTCCCTTTCTCAGAGCCTGTCCAGATGCCCAAAGAGCTGGTCTATTACCCACGAGCGCTTGCTGCTGAGAAAGTCCCCCACTCACTCAAGGATCCCTATCCTTTCATTTACCAGTATGCTAAATACAACGAGCTCATGAACGTTCTGGCCTCTTGGACGCGCCGTCGCTACAATTTCGACCACTCGATCGACTTAACGCGATCTGCCCTTCCCAGCAATTTTATAGGGCCTTTTCTCTATCACGGTCTTTCTATATACGATGACCACTGGCTTAGAATCGGGTCGTACCTGAAGCGGCTACTTGTACTTTTACAGGATGCGTTCGGCATGGCTCCTAGGCCTTTCATGCTATCTATTCTAAGAGACATCCAAGCTGGAATGGAATACCGACGTGGCTCGTTAATTGATCCTAGATATGTTCGCGCCGACCTCATGAGACGCCTCGGTGCCGATATAACGGACTCAAACGAGAATCCTCCGGGTCCTCATAAAAACATCCCGCTGCACCTTCTGCTTCTGGACGAAGCCGACGCTGCCTGGCTGAGGTTTCTGTGCGAGCCGTCTCGCACGCCCATGATGTGCGATCCGGAGCACCAACCCCAAGATAACCTTTCCATTCTTTTCGACAATCGGCTTCAAAGCTTTTTGAACGATCCCAACGCATCAGGTAGCCCGGGAATAAAAGGAGTAGGCGATATTTTTCAACCAGATACAGATACTTGGAGACAATATCAAGCCAGCCTCCATCCAACCCTTGACCAGGCATTAGCGTATATCAATGGGAGCGGAAGCGTTGACGCGAATGAGACCTACCAGTTCAGCCGTGCGGAAGCCGAGACGTACCTTAGACGTTCTGCATCTCTCGGTCGATGCAAGTAAGTTTGATTATCTAGAATTGTGCTCGAGTACTCGTTAACATAAAAATAGCTTCACAGTTGTAGAGGGTGGTAATGATCTAATTATCGTTCGGCCGCCTTACGAACTGCACCCGGAGCACCGCATTGCTTGGCGCCATCAGGATAGGGCAGCGTTCAATGTTCACCAGGATTCGTACCGACAAACTATACTTGATCACTTAGCAGTTGGGTATAAGCTGGACCGGCCAAACATCGGGGCGGATGAGTTTACACATATGCTTGATCATCTCGGCGACCCGCAACTCCCTGATCTGTTAGCAGCGGCAACGCAATCTGAAAACGCTGCACAGGCGATCAGAGATGTATTAGCGCCGCGAATTCACAATGAGTTGGTTCGTGCCCCAGGCTCGTACCCAGAAGGTGGACGAGAGGAGAAGCGCCAGGAACCCAGCTGGTCGAATCTCAGTCCTTGGGAGCAGCTAGGTAGACTGCGACAGCGTAGAGGAGCCCCTCTACCAGTCCCAGAGAGGACGGTCCAGTTCTATCGCAACCTTGCCTACAGGATGGGCCGCACGATAGCACACGTGAAAGAAATCGAACATCGACTTCATATTTCAGAGCCTAGCGGCGACTCCGGAGAGCAGGGGAAAGATTCTCTGTGGAAGGCAATCTCAAGATCTGCTTTCAACAGTGACTACAGATATTGGCAGCAGTCGATTCAATATGGTACTGGTGAAATTGAATTCAGGGAACCAACGATCGACGGTGTCATCGAAAAGGCAGATCCCGACAAGGACTTCCGAAATCAGATCGAGACTAAGGAGTATCAATCCGAATGGGATATAATTAGAGAAGGGTTGATCAACGACTGCGTCCTCAACCGCAACACGGTGTATCCAAGCCGCGAGAGGGTTATTGAGGACTCGTCAGGCTATTACAGGAACAACGAGGACTGGGAACCTGACAGAATGTTCCAGGGTGTCAAACGACCAAGCCTATGGAAATGGGCTACCAATGCACAGAGGCGATACCAGGCACCATTTACTCGCTACGCTTACTTCTCCATGATGCGCTGGCCCATGATGCACCAGCATGGAGCTTGGAAAGAATTCCTTATGTCACGAAGGGATGAGACCCAAAGGATAAACCCTCGCCATCCCCGTCAAGAATACGGGATTCTCGCGCCCAGAATACCTGTACGGCCTATGAGGCAGCCTAAGGGTCCCAATCCACAGAATTCCGGCTCTTGGGATCCGAGCACAAAGGATACGAGTTCGGATCAGGGCACAAAGGGGTATAACGGGACAAAGATGGGGATAAAGAGCCCCTTTGAGACAAAGCCATATGGTTATACAAAGCCTTCAGAAGAGACAACTACCCCAGAACTCCGCGGCGGAATAGGAGAGGGACAATCACCATCATCAACACCACCTCCATTCTACTCCAATTTCTCATCCAGTCCATACCAACCACCCCCTCCCCGTCCTACACAACCTGAAGATCCCACACAATCCGGAAAGGCAGCAGATATGGCTACAACAGCTGCAACACCAAAGACGCCTGGGCACAAGGTACCGACGTCGGAGTCAACAACGCCCGCGCTGAGGCCTTTCATCCGACCAAGGTCACGTTTTGTGCCGGGGCCTGCTGTATTCCCTATGGCCGAAACACTCCTGCAACAGATTGCTATTAGCAATGAATTAGAGAGAGGTAAGTCATTGACCTAGACACATACATACTCACACATATACACGACGTCCCTACCCAGCATTAAACACGTAACTAGTCTAGAACATAACTAATCAGCTCTCGGTAGTGCTATATCCGCCGGCAAAGACGAACGTCTTCCAGAAGATATGCAGGTTCTACAATAAATTGACAGAGGTGCCCGAACGTCCAGTTCCACTGCTGCCACCGTTGGCAGAGCACCAAATCCCTCGCAGCAATCCTAGGAAGCGTAAGATCCCGGGTGATTCAATCGTCCCGCCCCGGGCAAAGAGACCGGCACTCACTCCAAAAACCCCCAAAACTCCTCGCTCGACTGTTTCGACTGGTACTACCGTTCCTTTAAGCAGCACTTATAATCCTTACCTTCCGCCTCCTCGGTCTGCTCCTGTTCCTCCCGCCCCGCGTGGCCAGCTTGAGACCGAAGCTCAACCTATTGGCTCCATTCGCAAAACTGGGACTGGAACTGAGGGTAAGGGAACAAAGACAGTGTCGTGGGCCCCAGACCTTGAGCAGTCTGCCGGAGCAGCTCCCACTACCACCACGGCGACAGGCCCGGCCTCGGATGTGGAGTCACTTAGACAACGAAATCAACAACTCGAAGAAAGAGTGAAGGCAGCAGAAGAGAGAATCAACCGCGGCGGTCCGAGCACGATAGAGGTGCCGATAAACATGGGTCCTATCACCAGAGAGGCCGACAAAGATGAAGGCCAAATAGACCTACCATCGTCGATCTTATTCCCATCCGGCAAATCTGTTCCGACATCGACTTTCTTCCCATTCAGCAACCCTACTCCGGGGCCCACTCAGCCAACACAGCCAACACAGCCAGCACAGCAATCAACGCAGCCTCAACAGCAGACCACTGGCTCTACACAGGGCCAGCCAACCCCAGCGAATAGACCAACCCCGCGGCCGGCGAATATTCAGCCGCAGGCACAGGACATTGGCCGACTGATCGCCGGCGACTTCCCGGTCGGATGGACCGTCTTCGGCACCTTCGACGCCGGCCGCTGGGGCGCGTTCCGGGCCATTTCGGAGAGTCTGCAGGCGCAGTATGCCGGTCCCGCGAACCGGCGCGCCTGGCTGCCGACGACGGGCCAGCTGAACGCCGCCTTCCGGGACCCGCGGCGCCCGAGCTGGGGCGAGCCGTCGCCGACGGAGATCCTGCGCAACCAGGCCATGGACATCAACTCGACCCTCCAGTACTACACCTCCGAGGGCTCCGGCTACCCCGGCGAGGGCATCCCCATCCAGCTCGGCATCATCTTCGAGAGCCAGCGGGCCATCCTCCTCCCGACCAACCACGAGGTCACCCCCCGCACGTTCCGCGTCTGGATTTACCAGGGCGGCGACGGTCAGTGGCAGGCTATCCAGTCCCGGCACGGCATCCCGACGCAGGCACGGTGGTAGAAGAGGAAAGGAACGCAGTGAAGAAAAATGATCGTTGGCTATAGACTTAGTTCATCCCGTACCCCGAGCAAGCACAAGCGTGCTCGTGCTTTAAGCACATCTTTTCTTTTGTATTGGATTCAGTAGTTAGTACCTCGCTACTCGTTTGTTTTGAATTGGGTTGGATTTTCATTTGTAGAATTGGAAGGTCATTAAGATGAGGCTTTTGATTATCCTTGAGGTCGGTGGTGATCTCAGGGGTAGAAGAGGCCTCATCGATCTGTACTTTAGATTTAATAAAAGAGGTAGTTATGTTTTGCATAATATTTAAGACTGTCTTTGGACTTCACCGTGACATTGTCGCCTTCATGCTCCTCCTAATTACAAATTGCACACCTAGCATACAACCCACCCCCTATTCATCCTCTTTCACAATCCTAATAACCAACTTCCCAATACCTCCTTTCCCAGTAGCGACCTTCTGCGCCTCCCTCCTCACCGTCTCAATATCCTCCAAGTCCACGACCCTCTTTATAGGCCTAACCTTCCCCAACGCCATAATCTCCCCCGCGCGCTCGAGATCCTCCCGCACCTCGATATTCCCCGAGTGCAACTCGTGCTTGATGTTCGTCCCCCAGAGCTTCCACGCATACCACAACTGCGCAATCGCCGCAAACCAATACGCCCAAAACGGCAACGGGGGCAACATACCCGGACCGTCTTTCCCACCCCTCAACAGCTCCGGCGTCGGCAAGCTCGCGATCGACGCCACGACCCCCGTATCCCTCTTCACCAGCGGAAACGTGCCCTCGACGCCCCACTGCGTGTTATACACCAAATCCACGCTGCCGGCGGGTATCTCGTCCGTCAAGCGCTTGCACTTCGTGTAATCCACGACCTGGTCCACCAGTCCCGGGAGATACTTCTCCACGAGCGGGACCTTGGGCGTGCTCACCGTCGCGATCAACCTACCAACCCCGTACACGTTCTTCAGCAGCTGGATGGCGACGGAGCCCGTCGCGCTCAGGGCGCCCGGCACGAACACCGTCTTCCCCTCGAGCCCGGATGTGACGCCGTTGTCGCGCATGAGACGCAGACCCATTTCGATGGCCTGCAGCGCGGTGACGACGCCCGTGAGATTGCACAGGTCGACGAAGTCCACGGCGCCGCCGGGCTTGTGCAGCACGAGCGGCTCGCGCGCCACGCAGTACTCCGAGCAGTACCCGTGCGGAGCCAGCATGTTCATCGGCCGGCTCACCGCGAACGCGTACACGGCGTCGCCGGGCTTGAAGCAAGTCACGCCCGATCCGACCTTGACGACGACGCCGGCGGCTTCGATGCCGATCTTGTGAGGCATTCTACGTAAGGTAGGGTTAGCTTTTTGATTTTCGTCGCTTTGTGCACCGCCTTTCCCCCTTCCCTTTTTTCCCTTTCGCGGGTTTATAAGTAGAAGAAATAATAGGGGAAAAAAAACGTACTCGACATCCCCGAGAATGTATTTCGCGAACCCCTTTGCGAGTTGTGTGTCGCCTGTCGATATGCCGGCGGCGTGCACCTTTATCAACATCTCCTTGGGGTCCTTGATCGTTGGCACCGGCATATCGGCGACTTCCCATCCAGTCGGATAGGCGTACTTTCGGGTTACGAGGGAGCGCATTGTGTCTGGTACTGTCGTCATATTTGCGCTTTGTCTTTCTGCTTATTTATGTTGCTCCTTGGTATTTTTTTAAGGTTGTATAAAGTGGTATATTGGTTGAGTTAAACTGACTAGTTGGCTGTGCTCGGAGTAAGGGGGCGACTAGGTAAGGTAATGATTTCTGAGAGATCTAGAAAAGAAGGATGGAAGGAATATATAGGAAATCACGCAATTCAGCGTCAACAGGCTTCAATGGGTGCGTGGCCACCTACATTAAATATACGAAAGTAAATAGCCCGGACGACGCCGGACCCTCGCACTCGGCGACCTTCGGCGGCGGCCCCACCGAACCCGCCGAATGCAGCGCCGAACCAACTCCTTACACTTGATTTGTAACGGCATGTTCTAGAATATCACTGCTTCGAGGGATTAATAGTAATTATTTTATTCTCGTAAATCTACTATGAGACTACCTAGTTATTGGTAATAAGGGGTAGAAGTGACATTATTATAATTCATGCTCGTTATATATGTCGCTTTCAGGGGCTCGTACATATCTGGCCAGCAATTCTTCCTGTCAACTTATCAGATTCCCACTTAGAGCACTTGTCACCAAACATCTAGAAGAGAAACACGTCCATTATAATCGAGTTTTCATTGCCATAACATCATGCACCTAAAGTACGTATGCTACCTGGATTCGTAACTGCTGGTATCAAACTTGGAAGAACCTCCAGCAGCCGGCTACAGGTAACCAAGAATCATGTAGAAATAAGCTGGGATTCAATACCCTGAACCGACCAGTTCCCAATTCCATCGACACATATCTTTCGTAAGCCTTGAACGCAGTAATGGGAGTAACACCAACCCTCGCAGAACACCGTTTGTTCCCCCTGCCCGTGAACCGCGCGTCCTACCCTGCTCACTCCATTATATCTCTCGTTTCATATGTCCATACTACAGTGCCAAATCTCGGCCTAAGTTTCCTGCAAAGCACCAATCCTGTGACTTATTGGGTCCGGTAGAACTTTTTGTACAGTAGATGCAGCAGAAGGTTGACGTTGAGTTTCAAGTTGCCCTCAAATACGTTCATGAACTGATGCGACTCGAACTGCGCCTGTAGAAGATCCTCGATCGGGATAAGGCCGCTCGCACCCGGAATCTGGATGTGGCCGCGACTACCTTCGATGTTGAACACGCCGACTTCGTCGCAAGAGATTGTAAGGTTGATATTGCTCCAATCCCGCTCGGAGACGCCTTGCCACGACACGACAACACCCTTCTCAGCAAGAGCACGTACGCTGTACTTGTAAGAGCCAAACTTAGGAACTCGGCCAGAACGCTCAAGCTCTCGCTGGTGGTTGTACTGCTTGGTGAAGGGGAGGAGGAATCGTTTTTTCCTGTTTGCAACTTGTTAGCTTCGTAAGGACAATAGGTTATATGTGGGTTACATTACCCTTTGTTTTTCTGCAGCGTAGACATAGCCTGCTCGATATAATCATCGTAGCTCTTGCGCTGCTGTTCTAGGTACTTGGCTTTCTCGTGTAGATTTCCGAGGGTGAGGCGCACTCCCTCCAACTCTCGCTGGCGCTGTATCCTGCGGCGACTCTTGGTGCGAATGTCGAGTGCAATCGCGTTGAGGATGTCTTGGTAATAATTCTTCTTTGTAATGCGCCCCATTTGTTCTAGGTGCATTATATTCTCCAGAGCATTTCGTTTCATGTCGTAGTATGACATTCGTGTTACGTCGACCATATTGACGTCCGAGTACGCCCCCTTGGTATTATTGCCAGATGCAAAGTCGTCTCGTAGAAGCGTCTGCCATTTTATCTCGTCTTCTTGCGTAGGTGGGCGGACGAGAATTTGGAGGAGATCAGCGCCCGTCTGCACACGAATAATGTACAAGATGCAGCGCTTGGTCTCCATAAATAGAGCTTTAACGTCGGCTTCCGGATCGTCGACATCATGAAGCTTCGGGGTGAGGAACATTTGAATATCCGATGAACTAGCTGCGTTCATTTCATTCTCATTGTTCTTTGCGCTTCCTAGATCTTGCAGGATCTCGCGAAGCACATCGTCTCGGTTGGGGCAGACAGCAGGCATCTCATTCACGACAAGGGAATGGATGGCAAAGATATCCGTCATCTTAATGTATAGAGTCGGCCTGTTCTTGGCGTAGAGGTCGTTGAATTCATCAATGTCAAAGGTGCTCTCAGCATCGGCAACGGAGATCAGATTGGTTGTAATATGGTTAAATCGCTCCATCGACTCTCCTACGAAGGCATTAAGGGGCTGTAGGTAGATGTTCTCGCCGCCGAAGGGACGCCCTGACGCGATTTGACCGAGAACTTTGGCGACCTCGCCCAAGTTTCTCTTCTGGAGAGGGCTAAGAGTCTTCTCAATAACACCCACCTGTTCGGGGTTGACTAATGCTGGCTGTAGGTAAAAGCGCCATACCCAGTTTGCAACGATTTGAAGGATATGGTGCTGAGGCTCGCGCTGGAAACGCTGACGCAACGCCTCGAACATCTGTTGGCAGATGAACCGTAGACCGTAAGGCATCCGGGGTAGCAAATCTTCTAAGGCGAGGAAGAACTGATCTGAGATCTCTCTGAGGTCTCGAAGATGGTCGATGAACAACTCGCGCGTCTCTGGGTCTTTTATTGCTAGATCACGGGTAATGTCGAGTGGTCTCCGGCTTGGTTGCCCGGTGCGAAGCTCTTCATTGTTAATAGCAGATCGGTAGATTTGCATCGGGTCGCTCTCCAGATCCAAGGCAGGATCCTCGATGATGTTGTCTCGTATTAGTGGACCCAGTAGATCTCTAAGATACTTCCTGTCTCGTGGCGATCGAGAATAGTGGCTTAAAAGCTTCGACCAGAAAAAGTTGCCACGGAGATATTCTTGGATGGAAGTACAAGCCTCGACCTCTTCTCGTATCGACTTCGCGATGAGTTTCAGCAAGTAATACTCTTCTCTTCTCTTCTGTGCATACCCAAAGAGCCCCATCATAAGGAGCTCGATGCGCTTACACTCCTTTTCGGCTGTACCTAATTCTCGTATTCTTCTGAAGAGTCGTGCTAGATACTGTGGCTGGGTTTGGAGATTGAAAAATAGTTGTTGGTAAGATTCCAACTTCTTTCTCGAGCTCTTATTCAAGGCCTTCAAGTCGAATTGGTTGGCAGATGCGATGGTAGCGTTGGCTAGAATATTGCTCGTGTGTCCACCGAAGGTATTTTGGTGTCGTACGACTTCATCGAGTGTGATCTTGTTCTTCACCAGGAGAGCAATCTTGATATCTAGTTGATCAATGTACTGCTCAAGCATTTCATTCTGTCTGACTTGCTGGACAACTGTCTTTCGCAGTCTCTCAAACTCAATTTCCTCGTTGAAATCAAAGTCGCTATCGTTGAGCAGATGGACGAAATTCTTCACAGCTCCAACCGGGGGGTTCTTTCCGGTCGTGAGACTTTTGTATGCTTCGCCTTGAAGTTTGCCGCGGACGAAGCTCTGAATCTTGACCACCTTCTGCATGTTTTCTTCGAAATGTCTCTTCTTCTCCGCGAACTTTGCCCGAACCATAAAACCTCTAGCGAAGGCTTGCAACTCTACTACAGGCTCTTCATACTCGTCGAGTTCGCTCAGCAACATGCCAACATCGTTACGGAGGAGCATGGCTCGAGCGAGAGCTTGGAGTTCGATGACTTCATCCTCATGGGACTTAAGTTCCTCAAGGAGCGAATAGTGCTGTTCCCTTGATAGGCACCCACGAATCCTAGCTTGGAGATCTACAATGCTCGTCGTGTTGGTTTCGAGAGAGTCGAGATCAGCAGCTATACGTTGTCGTTCAAGCATGCCTCGAGCTAGCGACTGAAGTTCGATTATTGAAGGTTCATTTTCGCTTAAAGCGTCAAGCTTGTCGGTAATGTCCCGACGTACAGCGGCAGCTCGAATATGAGCTTGTAGTGACCCAATATCGGGAGTGTGTTGCGCAAGTTCAGCTTTGGTTGCCTGGACGTTTTGTCGAAGAAGATTTCCACGGCAAAAGGCTTGAATTGACTCCCACTTGGGTCCAAAGCTTGCGAGTGCTTCTTGTTGCTTATGGATCTGGTTTCTGGTTAGCATGGCTCTGGCAGCAGCCTGTAAGCCAGTAATAGCCTCGGTCTCCTCTCCGAGGAGGTAGAGATCTTGTCCAACTCTTTCCCTTGCCAGTATGCCTCGTATCGCGGACTGAAGCTCCAATACGGGACCAGTCATGCGACTCGTCTCCTGCTGCTGGGCGTTGAGCTTCTCGCGCGCCAGATAGCCTCGAAACACAGCCTGAATACTTCGCACAGGTCCATCCGCTCGTGATAATTGAGATCGAGTTTCTCGTACCTCGTCACGGACTTTCATAGCCCGTATTAAACTCTGGAGTTTTGTGATATCTTTCTCCTTGCTCTTCCAGAAATTCTCTCTATTCGCCATCTTATTTCGGACTAGGAATCCGCGGGCGGCACTCTGAAGGTTGACGGCGAACTTTCGCATCTCAAGTCTGTAGCCCATAACTTGACGAGTGAAATCACCGCGAATGCGCGACTGGAGATCGATGAGCCATTCCTCCGAGTCCCACAGATGCTGCATGACGTCGCCAAGTTTCGTTCGAAGCAGGGCGCCACGTATCTGCGCTTGAAGGTCGAGGATGGCGGCTTCGTTCTCGGACAGTTCACGATCAATCCGTTCCTCTTCGGTCTCCTCAGGTTCAGGCTCTGGCTCCGGCTCTACGCCAAAATCGGCACCCATATTTCCAAAGGTAGGCATGTTGATGCCAAGTTTATCCAAGCCCTTCTGCATAGCTTCGAGTTCATGGTGCTCAAACTCTAGCTGGCCAACTAGGTTGCCTATCCTGAAGTCCACTATGCCTTTTCGGAATAGAAGCCAACTTAGGGCATGTATGCAGTATATGACCTTCGGGATGTTCTTCTTCTCGTAGAGATCAATAAGCTCAAATCGGAAGAGATCAGGCAACTCGACTTGGTCTAGGTATCGGAAGAAAGCAGCAACATTATCCCAGTGCCGCGCTTGGAGTCGTTCATGTCGGAAGATACGGATTCGTTTTGTGGGAGTCAGGGCCTGCACTACCTCAGCCAGGGTAACGCCATCTCTCAATGCTTCCTCTAGTTCAACAATTGGTGGGATCTGCTGATGAATGACATCTTCGATCCATTCTTTGGCTTCACCAATGTGACATAGATACTCGTACGCCTGAAGGAATTGTCTCTGTTTGTCCATCCAATTTCGCCCTTCAAAGCCATAGCGATCACCGCGCTGGCCATTCCTAGAGCCATTCGCATTGCCTGCCCGCTGTAATCTTCGTCGTCCACGCAGACCAACCACCTCTTGAGCTGGGGAAGTGATGGCAAACTCTTCGGCAGAACTATCTTGAGCGAGCTTGGATAAAGTGCGCAGCTGGTTGGTGGAAGAGCGGCCAAGCTGTTGTAGGTCGGGAGCGGCAAGGGTGGGATGATGGACCATAGCAAGAGGGGAGTGCAGCGTGGGACTAGATGCACTTGGGCGAAAGGAATCATTTCGAGTGAGCACCATCGAGGTTGGTCGAGCATTTGGAGATTTGCTTAGAGGGCTTATAGGGCTTGTGGGAGTGGGAGAAGTTCTCTCTTCGGAAATAGAAAGCCTGCCTATATCAAGGCTCTGCCCGCGGTCACGGTCATGGCGTTCGCGACGTGGTGGTGTTTTGTTCGGGGTCGGTCCTGAAGCGGGTGGCGGTGGGAGGGGACGCAAAGATTGCCTAGCCAAGTTGTACATGGTTTCGGGGTTTGTCTTGGGCTCATCATATACACTTGACCGTCGAGGGGGAGGAGGGGGCTGTCTAATTATAGCTTCACTTTTACCACGTTTGTGCGCCAAAGTTGATGCGCCGTACCCGTTCGAGGTTACTGACGAGGCTGTGCTGGGTGGGCCGAATTCATAGGAGTCGGAGTTGAAAGAATTGCTGGAGTAACCGGACGATGCAGAAGAAGTGGTGGATAGTTGACGGTTGACAGAGCCGGTGGTTGTGTAGTCAACAGTATATGACTGACGGAGAGGATGAGGCCTGTACGACATTTCGAACAATGGAACCTATATGCGATGATAGTGGTGCTCTTCGTCAAGTTGAGTAATGCCGTCGTCTGCTATTGAAGTCTGCATCACAGCTACCCGAGCTGAGGTATATATCGAAGTGCGTCTAAGTGTGTCTAAGTGTCCCTGAGTGTCTCAACTTGCACCGTACTCGAAAGGTTGTTTGTAATTATTGTAAACTGTGTGGGCGATACTAAGTAGGCGGTGACCTGAATTGTCGGCAATTATTCCTATCCAGTCCTATGCATTCGATGTAAAGAATTGTAATATGAACGGCGGTCCAGGGCAGAACGTAGAATGTAGAAGATAATAGAATGTCAACAAGAAAACATGTCTTGCAAACGTAACACAATATTGGTTGCACGGATCCTAGAAAGAAAAAAGTGCGCTGCGCGCTCCCTGCGCACTCATGTGAATTATAGCAACCCTCTGAAATAAAGAAACGAGGAATGGGAGATGTCGCCGTTGATGTTATCGGAAAAGGTTAACGTTGAGAGATAACATTCGTGTTTGTAACGGTAACGGTCAAAAAAGGTTGGCCTTGTTCAGCCTTATTTCCTTGATTGTTCTTTTTCTTTGGGAAGTAACGGAGCTGAGGGAACTCAATAACCGACCGATAGTTATCCTGTTTCCGGAAGTTTGTTTATTTATCTGGGTGGGGAGCAACCGGGACACGGGCGGCATTGAAGGTGCCCCTCACTAATCAATCACACCACCGCCACAGACAGCACAGTCGAAGCGAGGTGGAACTTGGAACTGCCCTTGCACTGTTACCTAATTAAGAATGGAGAAGGTGTCAAGCCACATATAAAAATTGATCTAAAGGCGATAAACAGGATAAGCTTAGATAAAAGATCAAGAGAGTGCCAAAGGCGCACCAAAGGCGCACTGTCATTGGCTCTATGAAACATCAAATCTACCCAGTGTTAACGAGAAACATACAGTTCTTATTGAAAAGCTTGAAGCGATGGGTCGTGCATTAACAAAGTTGCCCCGCATCTGATAGTTTGGTCTCTGCAGGGTCCCCGCAGGTTGAACACAAAAATTTTTGGTGAACGCGGCTACGAACTTTTTTTTCTTTCCTTCTTTTATTCGGGAAGAAGAATACTATCCAACTCGTCGACAGGTCAATTCAATTTCTCGACGCTTTCTTCGACCTCAACCCCTTTGGCTATTGGTTATTGGCTATTTCATTAGCACAATTCCTTAATTGAACCTGTCAAAATGCCGTCCCTTAACGGATCCACTGCCGTCAATGGCAGCACCAAGTTCCTCGACTACAAAACTGCAGTTGATGCTCTGAACCAGTATCCGTCTCGCGATGGCCTTGGCATTGAGGATCTCATTGATACTAAGCAGCGTGGTGGCTTAACATACAATGATTTCCTAATCCTGCCCGGCTACATTGGCTTTCCCGCTTCTGAAGTCATACTTGAGGCGCCCATCACCAAGCGAATCACGCTGAAGACTCCCTTCGTCTCTTCTCCTATGGACACAGTCACTGAGCACGAGATGGCCATTCACATGGCTCTTCAGGGTGGTCTCGGTGTCATTCACCACAATTGTTCGCCAGACGCCCAGGCCGACATGGTCCGCAAGGTCAAGAGATACGAGAACGGCTTCATTGTCGATCCCGTCGTCATTAGCAAGGAGACCACTGTTGAAGAAGCCAAGGCGCTTAAGGAGAAATGGGGATTTGGTGGTTTCCCCGTGACTGGTAAGTTGATATCATTCTTGGCATACCATTTCCTGTCTACTCTTGTTCTCTGTCTTTGGACTGGCAAAAACTACAAACATCGCATGATTACAAACCTAATTTTATAACTTTCGTTCCACCGTATAGACAGCAATGTCATGGGGATTCAATTATGCTCTTTATGATGATGTATACCTGTTATACAATGTTTTTAAGCATTCATCCTAGGATTAGGCCCTTGCTGACCAAAGACCCATAGAATCTGGCAAGCTTGGCTCCAAGCTTCTAGGTATCGTCACGAACCGCGATCTCCAATTTGAGGATGACCTCCGCCAGACAGTCGACAAAGTCATGGTGACCGATCTGGTCACTGCTCAGCTAGGCACTACTCTTCCCGAGGCGAATAAGATTCTTGCGAAATCGAGGAAGGGCAAGCTACCTATCGTCGACAAGGATTTCAACCTTGTCTCCATGATTTCCCGCTCCGACTTGACCAAGAATTTACACTTCCCGCTTGCATCCAAGCTCCCCGACTCCAAGCAACTCATTTGCGCCGCCGCGATCGGTACTCGGCCGGAGGACAAGATCCGCCTGAAGAAGCTCGTTGATGCGGGACTTGACATCGTCATCCTAGACAGTAGTCAAGGCAACAGCATGTTCCAGATTGACATGGTTAAGTGGATCAAGAACGAGTTCCCTGGTCTTGATGTCATCGGCGGGAACGTGGTGACTCGAGAGCAGGCTGCGAATCTCATTGCTGCTGGCGTCGACGGATTGAGAATTGGTATGGGCAGCGGAAGCGCTTGCATCACTCAGGAAGTCATGGCCGTCGGTCGTCCTCAAGCAGCTGCGGTCTACTCCGTTTCGGCTTTTGCTGCGAAATTTGGAGTGCCGTGTATCGCCGATGGTGGTGTTCAGAACGTCGGTCACATCGTCAAGGGCCTCTCCCTCGGCGCGTCTACTGTCATGATGGGTGGTTTGCTTGCCGGTACTACTGAGTCCCCAGGTACATCGTTTGTGTCGCGGGAAGGCAAGCTCGTCAAAGCGTACCGCGGTATGGGTAGTATCGACGCTATGCAAGACAAGAAGGCTGGTGCCGGCAGCAAGAACAGCCAGGCTAGTAACGCTGGCACTGCTCGGTATTTCAGTGAAGGAGACAGCGTTCTGGTCGCCCAGGGTGTGTCCGGTGCTGTAGCACACCGCGGATCCATTAACAAGTTCGTGCCTTACCTAGCTGCGGGCCTCAAGCACTCGATGCAGGATTGCGGTATGCGAAGCTTGGAAGAGCTTCACGAGTGCGCGGCCAACGGAACACTCCGGTTCGAGATCCGCACCGCGAGCGCGCAGCTGGAGGGCGGTGTGAACATGGAGAGCTACGAGAAGAAGCTCTATGCTTAGAAATCTTTGGTCGGCTGGCTGGTGGGCGGTTGAACCGGGTTGGACAATAAGCGAAGATAAGCTAACGGCAACGGGTTCTACCAAGAGTGACGATTGGGAATCGGTTAGGACATATTGAATCTCTCAGATAGTCCTTGGTGTGGAAACCAAAAACTAAAAGTGATACCTCTTGATAGCTTTTTATGCTGAATTATGAGCAAGTGGCTTCGTTCCACTCATAGGCGTTTTGCGGCTCGGGGGCAGGTCATGTCGGGTTAGGCGGGAGCAATCTTGGGATGAAGGGAGTTCATGTCTCATTTTCACGGGCGTACGAGACACAAAAAATGGGATTAGCTAGACGCGATGAGTATGAAAAGCACTTGAATCATGACTTTTGAACATATTTTTATATATTTCTCGGCGTGGTGGTGATGATGAGTTCCAATCTTCTATCTACATTGAACCAAGAAATAAACTCCTACTTGCTTCTTCCAAATATGATGATTCCCATTCCCATTTTCTAGATCCGTAACGCCGCCCATGGTAATAATATTTGATGGTGTAGCTGCTTGTAAGTAACGTTTATTCGATCGCCATCGCCCTCTAACACCAGTAACGTAGTCTAACCCGTCCTCTCCTCATGAGAACATTACTTACTAACATTAAGCCCTCATTCATCCCACATTCCTCATTCAGTTCGTCACTGCACCGTAGCCGTTACTACTCCTCGAGCCCTCGGCTCTTTCCGCAGACGGGGCATCCTGCGGCTGCGGTTGTTCCACTACGATGAGCGTGCTGGTCTGACTATTCTCAAACCCGCCATCCTCCTCATCTTCCGCGATCTCATCATCGACCTCTCCCTCCTCCTCATCACTATCAACAGGCGTAACAGCACCACTCGGCCCGTCTCCCTCAACAACCATATACGCAGGCACGGCACCTAGCGTCGCAATGCACGCCAGCAACCACCACGGCATACCAATAACCCCATGCTTAACGCCCCACGTAAACACGCTCCCCGTAAGCGCGGGCCCCGTCGCTCTTCCCAGCGCGCTGAACGTCGTCGCGAAACCGTTGAGGGTCCCCAGGATGCTCAGGCTCGCGGCGCTGTTGGTCAGCAGGATGGTGGTGCACGGGAAGCCGACGATGACGGCGAAGGTCTTGGTCATGAGGATCAGGGCCAGCGCGGCGTAGCGCAGGGCCTTGGGCTCGATGAGCACGACGAAGGGGGTGACGACGTAGACGAGCGGGAAGACGACGACGCACGTCTTGAAGCAGCGCAGCACGCCGAACCGCTTGCAGAGCAGCGGGAAGATGAGGAACTGCACGAAGCCGGACAGCACGCCCTCGGCGGCGAAGATGGCGCCGATGTGCGCGTGGTTGAGGCCGAAGCCGCCGCTGAAGAGGAAGGGGAAGGTCGTGTTCTCGGGGGTGTGGGCCTGCGGCGGGTAGTTGAGGAAGACGGGAAGGACTTGGTCGTAGGCGACGGCGTGGAGCGCAAGGAACGTGTAAGCGATGAGGTTGATGGTGGTCTGGCGGCTGAATACGGCGCTGATCGGGAGAGGCTTGGGCTTCTCGGCTCTGGTTTCGACGACGCTGGTTCGAGCGGTCTTCGAAGGGGCGCTTCCGCTGAGCAGTGGCGCCGTTACCTCGTCGTCTTGAAGGGAGTACCGGCGGAGACGCTGCGCTCGTCGTCCAGGAGAGTGCTCGCGGAATGCCTCCTTGATGCGTTCGCCGAGGACGAGCCCCCAGTCTCGGGAGTGGCGTTTACTCTGGAGGGTTTCCTTCAGGAAGAGCATGGCGGTGGAGAGAGAAATTAAGAAGACAATGGAACCTATCAGGTTGGGGAGGGCGAACGGGTATTTCTTGAAAAAGGTGCTGTTGCCGAAGACCCCCGGCCATTGCTCCGCGGGTTTGGCGAACAGGCCGCCGAATGCTGGTCCGAATACACTACCGACGCTCCAGACTAGCGGCATGACTGAGAAGGCCTTTGGTTGGAGTTCCTTTTCTGTTACCATCTCCGCAACCATCGTTCGAATGATACCAACTTTGTGATGATTAGTCTTGGCAGCCTTGAAAGTAGTTTGGTTCCAAATACATACCGTTTCCATTACCAGCCCCCATCATAGCACGGACGGCGATAGCCATTGGTAAACTTGTTGAAACACCCCATACTAAGAAGCAAGCCATAGTACATAAAAGACCGGTCATGATGGCGGGCTTCCTTCCGAACCGATCGGAGGCCCTACCCCAGAATACAGCGGTCATACTCTGAGCGAGGGAAAAGACGGAACTCGTGATGCCAGCCCATTTTGCGACTTCCTTTCTTTCGACGCCGAAACTGGAGATCATCTCTGGTAGGTACGGGAAAACAGATGTGTAAGAGAGGGGTTCAGCAAATCGTGCGACAGCTATAAGAAAAGTTAGCTCGAAGTACGTAAAGGGGACGGAATACCTGGTATATCGCCATCGCCAAATTACGATCTTGCCACAACCTCTACTTGATTCTCATCCCAACTCCCACTAGGTATGATATGATGCTTTACTCTATTGAAACGCTCTTGACACCAATTTCAACGAGTCACGATGGACAAGCCACAAAATATGATAATTCTTTTATCTCTTCGAGATTTCGATACATTCCACAACATAGAAACCGGTGGTATATTGAACAGGACAAGTAAGGTACGACAGGTCGTTTCAGACAGGTATAAGTCCGATTACAACCCCGCCCCTCGAATACGTTGGTATTGTATATCCATCCAAAAAGAGGTACGGCATGAGTTGCCGACCTTATTGAAGAGAAGGCTAAGCTAGTAAGTAAAGGAGAATGTCTGAAGCTCACCCAATATAGCCAATTGCTGCGCCGGCAACTTCGGCGCATGATTCTTGGGTGTCATTTTTTCGGTAGGATCAGAAGGCTAGCTGGAAGTGAGATTTCAGAAAGAGGAATATGAAGGACGCGGGTTACTTGTAGTCCCTAGACTTTGGCACAAGAAAGAACGATGAGTCGAAACTTGGATACAGCTACCTCACTGATACGTAGTCTATATCTAAGACTCGCAAGAACGACCTGTGAATAGAGAGGGAAAGACTACTACGCGGGAACGGATGGTAGCAATTTTCCAACCAAGAAAAAAGAGAAGAGAGAATATCTCGGTCTTACGAACTGGCGGGGAACAAAATGATTATAAACAACAGAGGACGTCGAAAAATGCTACGTGACGACACCCATATATCGTACCGAACATGTCCAGGCCTCGGGTTCATCGATGTGCCTGTCACCTCGCGCAAGCCCTCCTTGTCGTATGCAAGTTCGTGGGCTAAGCCGAAGATAGCAGTAATCCGGGTCTGAGAACGGATCTCCCGCCGCGTAGGTCGCATTTGATTTGCGGCTTACCGCACATAGGCTGCCGAATCTCTATCCAAGCGCGGTAGTAGTGGGCCAGACTATGTCTTTAAAGAGTTACAGCGGTAAGGCGTGACGCATGCAAAAATTTTCCCTTTACCTTTTTTTTCGACGATGACTGGAACTTTGTCTCGTAACGGACTACCATTTGACGACCCGCCTTCAGCTAGGAGGAGAACAAATCGGAGAGCGGCAGAGTGGTAGAGTGGCTCCCAATATTGTTGCATGTTGCAGCAACGGAATTTTCCAGTGAAACCCCAGAGCGATCAGCTCGGGTACTCCCTGAGTCAAGGTGTGTGATGTCCAGCATGTCTCGTAGCGCAGAATAATAATGCGGGAGGGTGTTAGGAAACCTGGAAAGGCTCTTGACTGTCCGGTGTCGGACGCTGTAGAACAGAAATCCGTAGGTGTATTGGAAATTAGTTTGATGAGAGAAGCCCAAAATCGAAAGTCACACGCCAACGTCCAGCCTCCTGATCATGCAAGGACAAGGAAGAGGTCCAAGGGGGGATCTACGCTTGCGCGGATGCGGGCTGGTCGCACTGCAGCAAGGCTTAAACATTCCCATTCTTTTGGGAAATATAGAGACATGATTGGCTAGTATTTGTCCCTACAGCGATCCATTCTGTCTTATGCCCCGCATAGACATGGACCGAGACCCCACTGTGTCTAAGCTCCCTCAAAGTGCGTGATGCGGCTTTCAAACAAGCTTATACTACTAGATCCTCTATATAGGAACATACCAAGTTAACTCGAAGTATGGATATGAAATCCTTGCTTGGATTGTAACTGGTTCACTATCTGCTGTGTTACTGCCTGTTTAGGAGCGTGAGAAAGTTGGTAATGGTGAAGCCGTTGACGAAATACGACGTGAGACAGCATCACTTGGCAATTTGATCTATCATTATTGCTCCTTTTGAGGCTCCGTTAGTTACATTTTCTAAAGTTTGCATACATATGTAATGTAAAAGCATTTTCATTATGCAGTTACATTTGATAAGATACTCTTACAGGTAGTGCTTCGCCACGGGCTGTTGGCGATTGATCCAAAAAGAGTAGGTCGAATAGTTGAGTCGGGCAGCCACAATCGTTTATAAGGTTAGCCATATGAACCGAACGTCGAAGCTTTTCTCATAGTGTCAAGTAAGACACGGGAAGTATATTAACCCAGAAGCCAAGTTGATTGGATGGATTGTAAAGGAAAGTGCTAAGTAACCAACCAATGTTCAATATTGACTATTATTATGGAACCCACCATCCACCACAAATAGGTGGCTTAGTAATTATATATCAGGTATTAAGTCTTTTTCGATAGGTACTTCCAAGTTGTTATTTGTATTTAACAGTTTCAAAATCTGAATACGTGTCTGAGATTACAACCTATTAACAACTAACAAGAAGAATATTCTTAGGTATTGATCAACCCAGAGAAGATGCGATGACTAACTAGAACTTGCTCCCTTATCTCGACAGTGCGTGCGGCCCCACGTAGCCAGGGGTGTATGTAGATAATGGCCCGTAGGATGTCTAGGATAAAGATCGCCGAATCCGATTGCAACATTTCCATGGTTCATTACGTCGCGGCGGGGAGAATCGAAAACACTTCCCCGAACAACTTCATTCACCATCACCACTCACGAGGCTCGACTTGATCAACCACTTGGTGAAGAGTCAAGAGTCAGAAAACTATTATCATGAAGCGGTCCGAGTCCAGCCTCGGTCGCGATGAAAAGATGGCGGATGAGCATACGCCACTAATCACCACCGTCACCGTCGGTGAAGTCCGTCGGAGATACCCTCATCAGACCCTCCGCCGATTTTGTACCATAGCTTTAGGCTCTTCTCTCATTGCTCTCTTCGTCACATTTCTCGTCGTCGTCGTCTTCGCGCCACCGCATACCGCTCACCGTGGATGGCCTGGACACCATCATAAGCACATTAGCTATGAAGAGCTTCAAAGTATTCTTCTGGATACACCAAGCTCGGACAAGGCCGCCGAATGGAGCAAGTACTACACAGCCGGTGCGCATCTGGCTGGGAAGAACTTATCTCAGGTAAGACACATGCACATACATATAACTTAGAAGGCGAACATGATTTCTCATTTATGTATAATATAGGCAGAATGGACGCGAGATCGCTGGAATGAGTGGGGAATTAAATCAGATATTGTTGCGTACGAGACCTACTTAAACTACCCAGTCGATCACCGGCTTGCTCTCCTAGAGAAGTCAAAGTCGGACTCTACCGATGTTGGAACGTGGAAGGTTTCCTTCGAGGCTACTCTAGAAGAGGACGTGCTTGATGAAGACCCCACCACACAGCTAGAGGAAAGCATCCCGACGTTCCACGGCTACTCCGCAAGTGGCAACGTCACCGGCTCCTTTGTCTATGTGAACTATGGTACTTTCTGGGATTTTGAGGATCTCATCAAGGCCAACGTCAGCCTTGAGGGTAAGATCGCCATCGCTCGTTACGGCGGTATCTTCCGAGGATTGAAGGTCAAGCGAGCCCAGGACCTTGGTATGATCGGTATCGTCCTCTACAGTGATCCCGGCGACGATGGTAAAATTACCGAAGCCAACGGGTATGAGACATATCCAAGCGGCCCTGCGCGACATCCCAGTAGTGTCCAGAGAGGAAGTGTCCAGTTTCTCAGTGTCGCTCCAGGTGATCCAACGACGCCCGGCTACCCCTCAAAGCCAGGCGTCCCACGAGCACCAGTTGAAGGATCTATTCCGAGTATACCGTCTCTGCCAATCTCTTACGTGGAAGCTTTGCCAATATTGAAAGCCCTTAATGGACTTGGTCCTAAAGCTAAAGACTTTGGCGATTACTGGACTAGGAACACTGGACTAGACTATAAAGGAGTCGAGTACAACGTTGGTCCCTCGCCCGATAATGTTGTTCTCAACCTCTATAACGAACAAGAATACACCATCACTCCCCAGTGGGACGTTATTGGTATCATTAACGGTACCATTCCTGACGAAGTCATAGTGGTGGGCAACCACCGTGATGCGTGGATTGCTGGCGGTGCGGGAGACCCCAACAGTGGCTCTGCTGTTATTAACGAGGCTATTCGCAGTTTCGGCAAGGCTCTAGAAAATGGATGGAAGCCTTTACGTACTATTGTCTTCGGTAGCTGGGACGGCGAAGAATACGGATTGGTAGGAAGCACCGAATGGGTTGAGGAATACTTGCCATGGCTTTCGGTCACTAACGTCGCTTATATTAATGTTGATGTGGGTGTGAGAAGCCCAGTCTTCGAAGCTAATGCTGCTCCTTTGCTGCACAAGCTCATCTACGATGTGACCGCCTTGGTACAATCGCCGAATCAAACTATCAAGGGCCAGACTGTTCGTGATTTATGGGATGGGTATATCGGTACGATGGGAAGTGGTAGTGACTTCACGGCTTTCCAAGATTTTGCGGGCGTCCCTAGTCTCGATATGAACTTCGGTGGCCAAACGGACGACTCACCCATCTATCATTATCACAGCAACTACGATAGCTTCCATTGGATGGCCGAATTTGGTGATCCAGGATTTGTATACCATAAGACTATGGCTCAAATCCTTGGTTTAGCCATCGCAAAAATAGTCGAGACGCCACTCATTTCCCTGAACGCAACCGATTATGCAAACGCGCTAAAGGAGTATGTCGAGAAGGCTGAAGCAAGGCTAGAATCCTTCCAGGCAGAGCTGTCTACCGAGGAGGAGATCTTTGAGTTCAGGGCTCGCTCCGTTGGCACCGAGGTTAAAGGTGATCAAGAGTCTTTCAAGGTGTCACTGAATCTCCTATATCAGGCCGTTAGCGAGTTCAAGGAGGCGGCGATCGCACTAGATGCTAAATCGGACGAACTATCCGAGAAAGCAAACGAGGACATCCCCTGGTGGAAATGGATCAGCAAGCTGAAGCTACTCCACGAGATTCGGTTTGTCAACACTAAGTACAAGAAGATCGAGCGCGCTTTCCTATACCCACAAGGATTAGACGAGAGACCCTGGTTCAAACACGTTGTATTTGCCCCCGGGATCTGGACCGGTTATGCGGGCGCGGTATTCCCTGGGCTTGTGGAGAGTATCGACAACCAAGACTTCGAGAATGCGCAGAGATGGGTCTATATCATCGAGGACCGCATCAAAACTGCTACAGAGACGATTCGATGATGCTAAAAGGCATAATGGGATGTATCTTTCGTTAAAAATTTAGGGTGCTTGCGGCGCAGTTACTATATTCATAGATCTTCAACAAAAAGACTAAAGTTGCCCAGGCACCTTACCTACCAGGTAGCTAGTTAAGGTGGACAAGCGAAATATGCCGCTATTAGCTAATATACTAGATTGAATTCGGATGCTTGGACGATGTTCATATTTACTTTACGTCATTATTTTTAAAAATCGTCTCAAGTTGGATCCCCAAATCTTGATTTTGCCTCTAAAGGTGGCTTGGGGATTTCCTATTCAAGAAACGACCTGCAAAATCTTAGAATCCTCCAATGTCCTCCACGTCCTCCACATCCTAAGTTTAGCATACCCACAATCCCGCCTCGCGGGATCCGTTCAGCTCTACATAGCAATTGGCGACGATGATTGGCTGTTTATTTTCAGCTCTATAGCGTTATGCTGTTCACGGTAAAGATATGACACTATCGTCATCAACGATGGATAGAAGCGGTGTCAAAATGTAGCATGTTTAGTACGCTCACGATAATTAGATGAAAGATCTCCATGGCTATGCTTTAGGTGATGTCGGTCAAGGCGACAAACTATCGTATACAGACATATCGTCTCAAGTATAAAAGGTGCAGAGACCGCGACGACGATGAAGATAAAATTCCCCATCTCAGACTCATATTCATCAAACATCCAGCGTCGATCATCAAGCATCAAGCATCAAGCAATGAAGCAGCTGTAACTACACCTCCAAATTTCACTCACACATCACTACCATCATGTAGTAAGTTGAACCATACAAGTCTCGGAAGTCGATGAGAAATTGCCTTGTTAGCTAATGAGCTTTGCCTCTATAGCACCAACGCCATCACCTTCATCGGCCTTGCTACAGCTCTCTTCGGCACCCAAGTCTTGGGCAGGTCTTGCCACCTTGAGACCACGGCATACCACCGACAGAACAGCGCCTGCGGTTCCGGCAGCTGCATTGCCGGGGACACTTTGTAAGTCAAACAGTTTTCACGCATACGCAACTTTTATCCCACCTTCGTCCCCTTTCTACCTACCTACTACCCACTACTATACAAGGCTCAAACAGCTGCTAATCAACGAAACAGCGGCGCCGGCGGCGTGCTCAAGATTGACGGCAAGGTCGAGTGGAACGGCAAGGGCACCAGCTACGACAATATGAGCAACGGCAAGGGCGTGGACGTTGACGCCGGCGGCGTCAAGTTCCACATCGACCCGCTCGGCATCCCGGACGCCCAGGACAAGCCCAACTGCAAAGTGCACATCGGCAGCTACACCAACCTCGGCATCGGCAAGGTGGATAACATCGGCTTGCCCGGTGTTGTAGGCAGGGACTTTGACTGCACCCACGACTGGAACTGCTGAGCTTGAGATGGCTTTGGATAGTCTGGATGTGCGGGTCGGGCTGTTGTATATATCTGGAGTAGGCTCGATGTGAAGGCGTTTGTTTCTCGCTTGTATATAGTTCTTGACGTACAAAATTCAAGTTGGCGAACTGATTCTGCTGATACTAGGTATATTCCTATATGCTGGCTGACTGATGTGTGATCGACACTTCCACGACATATCTCGAGGGATATAGTGCGACTCGTGAATGAATATACATTAATATAACTACTAACATGCCGATAGGTTCACGTTTGTCTCCTATATACCTATATCGTGGCTTCAAGGATATTTTCTTAATATCACCGGAGTTCATGTTTAAGTCCGAATCCGAATCCGCCTTTCCCCAGGAAAGATCCGGAGCCTTCACTCAGAAATAGAATATAGATGTTCCTGGTCTTTTAACGAATATACTCCATCTCAAGTAGTTTACTTTATACAATGAGGAATGAATTTGAAGACCTACCGCTCTAACGTTGCGGTGTTGTCGTTGATTTATGTCATTAAGATATCACGAAGGACCTCATCAGAGAAATGCCTGTTAACACACTGAATAATTGTCTATATCAATCTTTGGCCTTGCTATATCTCGTCTAATGATGATTGATTCTGTGGAGTTCAGTTCTTCTGTGCCGTCAACCAACATACCCTCTAATTACCGAGAGCCGGGGAAAATGGAGGAGGACGTGGCTATGCACATATTGGCAACCAGGGTTTGGTCCGACAATGGATCTTCATTCGACAACACAAAAGATGATCCATGGAACTCATTTAAGGGCTTCCAAAGAATCTTCCACGCAGCTTCTGTGCCGCTGTGTAAATGATGAATAAAATATCGCAATGGCGCTGTGAACATCGTGCCCCAGGTTGTGTTCCTTTGCTGGCGATTGACTCTAGACGACAACCTGAGGCAGATACCTGAAAGACGCCTGGTCTTTATCTACGATGCGGTGGTTACTCAAATTTGCAGCCGGAGCACTCCTGGCTGTCTCAACCGCTGCCACGACGTCCGGTGTGCCAGCGTCGCCAAGAGCCGCGAACAGGCGATATGTAGAGGAACGGAATGGGGTGCATTACAATGTCTTCGAGCACGTCGCCACACGATCGAAGTTATCATTCGTCAAGAACTCGGGTATTTGTGAAACAACGCCTGGTGTCAATCAATATTCGGGATATCTCACAGTGGGCGAGAATATGAACATGTGGTTTTGGTAGGCCGGCACGGTATACGTTGAAAGTTCGAGGTCATGAAACTGACAAATAGCCCGTCAGGTTCTTCGAAGCTCGCGAGAATCCCCAAGAGGCTCCCTTGGTGGCGTATCTGGACGGAGGTCCTGGTGCTGCGTCGGAGTACGGACTCTTCACACAAATTGGACCCTGTCACTTCGTTAATAATGAGACCACACCATCCTTGAATCCATACGCCTTTAACAATTATGCCAACATGCTCTATATCGATCAACCTATAGGCGTGGGCTTCTCATATGGTAATGAGACCACTAATTCCACCAAAGCGGCCGCCCCCCTGGTATGGAATTTCCTCCAGGCATTCTACGATAACTTTCCCGAATATGAAAACCGTGATTTCGGCATCGTCAGTGAATCGTACGGAGGACATTACATACCCGAGTTCTCACGTTATATTCTAAACCAAAATGCGGCAGTTGTTCGAGGAGATCTCGAAGGCGAAGAAATCCATATGGTGGGTTTAGCCATTCACAATGGATGGTTCGATGCCGAGATCCAAGAAAAGGCCAACATCGAGTACATGTACAATAACTCGTACAGGCAAATCATCAATGAGTCCATCCATGACGAGCTTTTGGACACGTACAACACGACTGTCAAACCTGCGCTTGACCTTTGTCATACGAATGGTACAAGCGACAACTGCTATGCTGCTTATACCTCGTACCTGAATATGATCGAGTACCCCATCTTAGCCGCTTTTGCGGAGAGATCCCCCAACGGGTACTACTTAGGCGATATCCGTGAACCGTATTCGAGACCGCCCTCGACATATGTTGCGTATCTGCAAAGACCAGATATCCAGAAAGCGCTCGGGGCAAAGGTGAATTATACGGACCAAGGAGGAGCAATCGGGTTCTACTATTCGGGCGATGGTATGATCACTCACTAAAGCACGCGGTATAATATATTAACGAAAACTGCAGATGCGCGCTCGTTCGTACCTCAGCTCTCGGACGTCGTACAAGCTGGTATCAAGGTCCTCATCTGGACTGGTGACGCTGACTATGTCTCGAACTGGTATGGAACACTTGACGTAGCACATGCCGTTGAATGGTCCGGAAAAGACATGTTCGCGACCAAGACGTTAGAGCCTTACACCCTGAACGGTGTAGAGAAGGGAACGTTCAAGTCCTTGGATAACTTCACTTTTATGCGTATATATGAGGCTGGACACAATCTACCATTCTATCGTAAGTTCATGATCGACGAGAAGCATAACTTGGAAAGTGATAGCTAACTGAAGCAGAACCGGAGGTCTCGCTACAGATTTTCAAACAGTTCATGGGAACGGGCAGCGTACTTCCTACGTAAGGCTTCAACTCACGATTCTGCCTGGGGAGTTTGTCTTGAGCGATATCGCTGATCTATTTCTCTCCTGGCGTATATGATGCGTATATGATCTGATACAGTATCTATCTACAGTGTGAATATATAGTCACTGTCTCAAAAAAGCATTCCTATCTAGGTATCCATTGGTTGCCTTCTATGTATAAACCACCCTTAATCACCCCTGTGCTACCGACTAGTGATCTCTGCATATGCTTACCGACAATGCATGCAACTTCATTCCATCTAATAGGCCGTATAGTTGCTGTTTGCTAGGCAGATCGGTTTAGCGAGTCTTAATCACGCTCTCTTTACCTCATAGGTGCTGCCGTTTTGAGGGGTTGGAACTCCGCCTCTTTTGTTATCATGATTTAGTCTAGGACCCCGCTGGCTGCCTACATGGTTGTCTCACTTGATTGGATGGTTTCTCAGCCCTATAGGCATATCTTGGTCTTGGGCTGCATGTGTGAGTCCAGCCTCTGACTACATATGCCGGGCAGGCAACTAGTCCGCGCGATTGCCTCGCCAATGGCTGTGATTGTGACACGAAGCTCCCACCAGCTATATGGTTGAATGGGCTGAGCTATAAGATGACCGTGGGTGTCTTCCATCTATTCGTATAGATTCCTGTTCTCCAACTTTCCTTCTCCAACCATTCTTCCATCTTAACTTCGACTCTTCATCACACACATTGAATCTTGTTTCAAGTTCACTCCTTTTCTAGTAACATTCTCGTCAATATGGATGACACCAGCTCCACTGCTAGTTTTGAAGAGATTAGCCCCTCTAACAAACCCTTCGGGCAAGGCTCTGGGTTTAATGACGAGGACAAGAATATCCAGAAATTGAGAGCTCTCGTTGAAAAGTCAGCCATCGATGACAGTGCGGCTAGTGAGCTTGCTGAAGATGAAGTCCCGGACGTCTGCTATGTTCTCCAGTACAAGGGATGGGGTGGTAAGGTTATTGATGGTTAGTGGCCCTATTTCTTATTTCTAACCGATTTATTTAATAACTTACTAATATGATTGTCAGTGCGTCGTAGTCACGAGCCCATCAATGTTCAGCTGGATGACATGAATGAAGAGGTTCCAAGTTTGAAGAAGAAGCCAGTCCTCGAAATCGTCACCAAAGTCTCAACTACTGTTATCCAAAATATACGACCGGCCGGCCGGCGCCTTCCGCCTCCACATCATGTCAGATGGAATCATAGATATGATTATAATGAATATGATGACTTCTCCCGTCCAGGGGGGCCTATGCCGAGAGGCATCGATGAATCTGGGGTGAAGATTGCCAAGGTAGAAACCACATGCATGGTAATCAACTCGATTCACCTCATCAATGCCCTCAAGGCCGTGGTTGGATACTATCCTTCGGTGTCTTTCCTCGGGGAGACCGTTACGATCAACGCTCCATATTACGTGCTAGTCCATCACAGGGAAGCTCTCGCTCGCCACAAAGTCAAGCAGCGAAAGGTCCACGGCGAGGAGTATGCGTCTACGACTGCCAAGCACATCGACATACTTCTCAACTTCCTCGAGAAGACCCTTGGCGACCGGATCCGCGAAGAAGAGAAACGACACAACTGCGACATTCCACTGGCTACTTTTGATAACCTCGGATTTATCTTCGAGCCTGGCGAAGTCATATACGCTAAGAAGGATTACAAGTGGACTCCTTTCGTACTCGCAAGTTTTGGCGAGGGCTATACCAACTCCCAAGGGGCTACCACCCCGCATCATATCGTCTGCTGGAATATCTCATATTCTGCTGAGAGGCTCTGCCGCACAATGCATTCGTTCTCCCTTGATCCCTTTACCGGAGAGGAGGCTATTTCAAACCTGTCAGTCATACCAGCCCGTTTCTTCAGAGGTGAAAATGGCGACATGGATCCCATGGAGGTTGAAGAAAAGCAGATTGAACTTGGTAAGATGGTCTGGAAACTTTCCCAAGGGCCGAGTTACATGTCTCACGATGGTAGCTTGGCCGAAAGGGACCCTGAGTTCAATTGGTCCTATCCCGTCAGTGCAAGTGGTTACATGAGCGGCCGTGTCATCGTCGACCTGGCCGGATTCTCGCGGTATTCTCTCGATTGTCCTGGAGGAAACCGTCAACGAGCACGCTCTCCACCGCCGTCTAATCGACCTCCGATAGTCAAGGATAACCTACCTTACCTCGCTCCTTGCTGTGGCTGCAGCACCTGCAGCAAGGCAAACAGAGGAAAATTCTGTAGCCATTTCGCGGAGTTCGAAGATCTTGATCCGACGTCCCATGCAGCGCCAACAGAGGACCTCTACTACATCGTCCTGAACAAAGTAGTCTCCGGCTTCATCCTCGGCGAACGGCGCTGGGGCCACTTCAACGTCGAGCATCTGCAAGAAGTCCAATTCGACAAGGACGCCTTCAAGTATCTCGTGCTCGACAGCGAGATCAAGCTCACGGTCCGATCCCTCATCGGCAAGTTCGCCAGCGCAAACGGCCAGGTGACCCCGTGGCCGAACGACTTCGTCCAGAACAAGGGCCAGGGGCGGATCTTCCTGCTCCACGGCAGCCCCGGCGTCGGCAAGACGTGCACGGCGGAGTGCGTGGCGGAGCTGACGCACCGGCCGCTCCTCGCGCTCACGAGCGGCGACCTGAGCACGAACTCGTACCAGGTGGAGAAGAACCTGGAGTACTTCCTGCAGCTGGGCGAGCGGTTCGGGGCGATGGTGCTCCTGGACGAGGCGGACGTGTACCTGGAGGCGCGGCGGGCGAAAGACATCGCGCGCAACGGGCTCGTGTCGATCTTCCTGCGCGCGCTCGAGTACTACCGCGGCGTGCTGTTCCTGACGACGAACCGGGTGCAGACGTTCGACTCGGCCTTCACGTCGCGCATCCACGTCGCGCTGCACTACAGGTCGCTGACCGACGCCGACCGCGAGAAGATCTGGGTCAACAGCTTCGAGAGGCTCGAGCGCGACAGCGCCGGAAAGGTGCACGTCGGCGTCGCCACGCGCGAGTACGCGTACGAGAGCCGCGACGTGAGGAGCTTGCGCTGGAACGGCCGCGAGATCCGCAACGCGCTGCAGACCGCCGTCGCGCTGGCCGAGACGGAGGCCCTCGAGGATGGGAATGAGAAGGTGACTGTGACCGACAAGCATCTCAGGGCCGTGGTCAAGATGAGCCGCGGCTTCAAGAACTTCCTGCGTAGCCAGAGGCTGAAGGGCGATGCCGAGGTTGAGGATGATGACGATGAGAATGAAGAGGAGATTGATGTTGGAAGTTCGTCCGATGTGTACGACTAGAGGTCGCAGATCATGCGCTATTACATGGCTCCTATCCCCAAGGCAGTGAGACTACGAAAGGGAAACTAAGGTGTATTAGTTATTAGTTATTAGTTATCGGTTGTAGGCGATATGAATTCACGACATCTAACTTTATGTTTTTAAACTATAGGCAGCCCAGTACATCATGTTTCGTATATTTGACGTGAAGAGTACTTATGTGCTTACCGATTTTGAATTTCTCATTGCTCACTACTCTTCCCAATAGACAGTACAGTGAAAAGGGGCACAGGTATCTAAGATGGACAGGATAGGTTACTCGAAGACATCACCGTTTGAATATAAGATGAGCGCTGTCGTCAGGGAGACCATAGACGAGAGACTGTCGGATAAAAAATAGCTAAGGATGAATCGACTAATAAACGTAAATATACAATAAAGGTAATGATACATGTCTATGAGCAAATGCACCGATCGTGTCATGAGTTTGTCAGAGTTGATTCAGGGGCCAAGCGGACGGAAATGTGGATTACTCATTCGGCTAAATCCTGGGTAAATGAAAGACATATATAGTGTAATAAAGTTCTAATTTTCGCCTTCGGGCATTTGGTCAATTTGAAACGATACAGAGAAGATTAGCATGGCCCCTGCACTAAGGATGACACGCTCAATCAAAGAGAAGCAAACAATTTTTTTCACTTTTTGCGCAGGTTCGAACCACACACTTGCAACTATTTTCGCTTTTCCTTTTACTACTTTTCGCAACACTACACAATTCGCACCAATCTTTATTTACGGTATATATGAAATAGAGCGCAGATTAACTGATGCACTTAACATCTCTAACTATATGTCGAATCTATTCTAATTTTTTTACTCTATTGATCTATGTACATATACTTTGATGTAAAAGTGAACCCCAACCAACCCGCATGGAAGCAAGATGGACAATATTCTAAGAATGATGATAGGTAAGACCCCCAATATTTCGACTCCCCATAAACAGGTACACGCTTCTATATTGCAGTTTATATTAGTTTAGGGTTTATCCCTTGAGCAACTTGCCCTCAAAGATTATACTCCTGGTATTTACATATCTAGTATCTAATTATTTAACTGTATTTCTTCAGACTTAACATACGATGTCACTCCGTAAACATCAGTGAAAAAGAGACTAGAAGGTTCACTATTATTTTGCTTCCGGTCTGATCCTCAATAAGGATTGGAGTCTCTTCTCATCAAGGACTAGGGTCACCAGGAGCATAGCCTTCTGCTTGAATAAGCTAGTAACACTGACGCAAGAAACCAATAGATACCATGAAAGGTAGAAGTCCATGTTTCGTAAGCCATAATAGTCGAGATAATGTATTGGGGAGTGGAGCGTAACGATCGCAATCATAGATGGTTAGGACCATGTTCATAACTGAACGGCACGTATGCTGGCCCGTGGGTGACAGGGAACTGGCATTTGCTTGGTAAATTATACGTGCCGGTTTTGAATTAAGACCTGGAGTATTGGGGAAAGAAGCTCTTTGCAAAGGCCACAGGCCCAGAAGCGAAGACACCGTGGATCTCTCTTTAGAGGAGTTGGATGGGGCTGACGTTGAAAATATCAAAACGACTGAGTAATAGAGATCTACGGTTTAGCCTCAATTATCGGGAACTCTCTTGCATCCGCTTGGCGATGGAAATATTAGCACTAACGCTCTTGAGTACTAGAACGACGGTAAGGGCGCATTTCCATACGACGACGTGGACTTCGAGAACATGGAACGCTCTCAAAAAATTTCACCGTACAAGACACACAGACGTCGTAATCACGGAAGTTTCCCTTTTTCTATGTCCGGTATGCATCTAAGTCAACTGCGCTCTCCTGAGATCTCCAGCGCTACTGTATCTGATCCCGGTCTTGGCCTTAATCCCAGTCTTATACCCAAGCTGATACGTAGATAGTCTGAGCACGAGCAGAAATGGTTCTAGAACACTTGCGTTTGATCTTGTTTCTGGCTCATACTGCCAGGATCGTCAAACAAGCATCACTAGGGCGGTACTAGGTACGGCATCTCGTTGCTTATGACTAATCAAACGAGACGCGTATGAAGTAAAGCCCAATAGAGTAAGGTTGGTCTTAATGGGATATCTTGATAGAGGTCTGAATACGAACTTCACGGGACTTCGATAACAATGTCAAGGCTCAACAACACGTTCTCACATCAAGTATGGTAAGTGATAGGATGGCCATAAACACGGAGAAAGAAGACCGGCGTTCTCCCCCTTTTCATTACTTTTTAGATACATAGATCATACACCCTTTCTCCACATCGTCATGTATAATCCTCTTATGTATCGTATACATATTATTAAGTAAGGTAGGTATCATAGGGTGTCCTCGCTTTTCAGAACGCTGCGCGCGATCTATCGCCAGGTTCACCACATAAAACTTTTGTGTCACAAAATTGGCCAAAAATAAAACCAGATAGCCAGCCACTCCTTAAGACCGATCATCGATTTAAGCGTTCTCGCGCGCAGTCTTGGCGCGGGCCTGTCGTCCCTTCTCAGACCATGGGAAGTGGAAGACGGGGATGATGAAGAATGAGTTGCTACGCCAGGGTTAGTCGTCATCTTATAGTGGATTGAACACGTAGATACGAACCTAGAGTCGGCAATACCAGCGAAGGCATTGTACCAAGCCAAGAAGGCGGCGAGCAGACCAAAGCCGCCACCTGCCTGTCCAAGCTTCAAGCTCGCGTGAGCCGCACCGTTGGCAGCGGCGTATTCGGAGCAGGCCAGCATGAGGAAGGCCATGTCAAGGGTGAGGAACAGCATGAAGAACATGACGGTCGATCGCAGGGTGCACATGAGCAGGAGGAAGGTGAAGATGAACCAGCCCGTCAGGAAGAATCCGAGAACCGAGTGTTGCTCAGCCTCTCCGTAACCAGCGAGAACACTGAAACCCGGGGTCAGGACGATGGCGTAAGAGATCCAGAAACCACCGTAGGAGGACAGGGCGGTAGCACCGAAAGTGTTACCGACAGCCATCTCCCTGTTGCAATTGGTTAGTCGCCGTAAATCGTCCACAAAGACTAAGAGCATCACGACTCCCAATTCTAAACACTTACCACATGCCGGCCAGCAGCTGAACCAGACCGCCGTAACCGTAAGCCAAAGACAAGGCGATGTTCGGCTTCATGATGTCTCGCGCGCCGCAGTTGATCAGGGACAGGACGAAGGTGGTCAGGGCGAAAGCGGACAGGCCGAGGGGCGCGGGGTTGGCGAACTTGCGGTGCTCGATGGGCTTGTACAGGCCGGGCTGGAACTCACCACCGAAGGCGGGAAGGCGGGCGTCCGGGCCGGAGTGGGCGTGGTACAGCGGGTTGCCGCCATAGTCGTAGCGTTGGGTGGTGTCGCCGCCGTTGGTGTGCGCGCCGGTGGTGGTGGCGCCAGGACTCATGTCCTTCTCGGCGGTGGGCACCGAGTGCAGTTCGGTTTCAGCCATTGCGGTCGCGAGTCGTTGAGACTTAAGAAGAGGTACCAGGCTATTCACTATTCTCTATCACTCGTTTTTATTACCCTCGCTTAGGTAAGAAGAGCACCCGCTTCCTGCTTGTACTTAAGAGTTCCGAAGATTTGTTAACCGCGACTAGGGAAGGAAAGAAAAGAAAGAAAAAAAAATAGACCCGGGGATGGGATTGAGACGACTGGGGGAACTCGACAGTTTAAGTAAGACACGGAAAGAATATGGGATATTAAGCCATGCAGGCCATGGGGGATTTTCTCAGTGGATTCTGGGGGGGGAAATGGGGGTGTGTATGGAGATGGAAAGCTTTGTTCAGGGTCTGTACGTAGCATACCTGTATGTGGTACGCAGTGGGGAAGGGCAGGGAAGAGACAGGGGAGCCAGGGGGAGAGGTGGAAGACAAGGGGGGCTACTTAGTCTTTCTGGTCTTTATTTCCTTACTCCACCTTGTCATCAAATGGTCTCTCTCATAATTGTCTGATCACCGATTGGTATTGTAGGTATGTACGTACCTCCCCCGGGGTAAAGCTACCCCAGCTCTGCCCGTAAATTGCATCACCTAGTCACCCAATGGCTAAGGCTACTAAAAGACGGGGTTACATTAAACGACTTTTATGTATGTCTAGATTACCTAGATGGTAACATATATCGTATATTGTTGGTGTTGGTGAAAGAGCGTTTGTTCCGTATTCCGTAGCTGCTACCCAGACTGCAGTCTACCTGTATCCATAGGTAGTGGCACTCTAGCCCCTGTTCATCCAACCAGCACGAGGGAATATTTATCACTATTGCCTTACCTAAGGTAAGAGAATGGTACCTGGATATAGACTATCCAACCAGGTAGATTACGTGGACCACGTTTGTGAAATTTGGATAACACATATCATGTTCTACTTTACTTCTAGTTATTCCACTACGTATATAGTTATGTCGTCCCGCTGTTCCGCTTTACCGGGAACTCTCAACTGCAACTGCTCCGTTCCATGTTGTGCAGGACGTTTGGATCAGGTGGCTCCGACGCTAGAAACGAGGATTCGGCAGTCTAGAAGAAGCAGTGATCGCTTAGCCGCTCTTAGCTACGTGCCTAACTTGGTAGGTGGTCTAAGGTGGTCTAAGGTAGGCTGTGTCCAGCTGTGTTTAGGTAACGTGTGCGCAGCAAGTCGTTGGAAGACCCGGACAAATGGTTGGAATTTCCGCGAATGTGGTTTGCTTGCTTACTCGAAAGACCTTACCCCTGCTAGGTCCAGGACAAGGCCTGGACTGCATATACTAGTACATAGCGCCATATCTAGTGTCTTTTCCCTGCCGCCCCGGGGAAAAGGGACGGAGATCCAGTTCGTTTTAATTTCTGTGAAGTAATCTTTTTCAATTCGTAAAGAGGAGGCTCTTGGCGTAACGAGTTGAAAGAAACATCGATTTATAAACTAAAATCATGACTGAGAAGAGACAAATGACACTCGTTACCTCTCAAGGGAGAAGGGAGTTTCCGGTGTTGTTATCACATAAATGCATTGTGCAGCAGAGATAGGTAACAGCTTCTACCAACACCAAATATATGCGAATCAAACGCGTCTTCTATATAATAAGCGAATGACATTCTATATCCGACTAGGTAGTATTTGAAAAGGAGGGACGGTACGACGCGATGCAACCCAGGGGAGTAACACCGCTACGCAGTATAATGATAGGTCTACTATGTAACGGTCTGCTGGTACCTGCGAGAGAGCCGCATACCTGTGCGTCCGCTGTTTTAGAATTGGGAGTTTGGAGTTTGGGAGTAAGACTTACATATCGCATGACGTTACCAAAAGGGGCGAGGGTACCGATTTGACGATGATTTAGAAATTTAGACTTATTTAAGCAAACCCAAGATGCGAGGGTCATCACTGTCATATATGTAAACGACGATGATGAATTGTGTGAGATTGGGACATTGGCATTGGGCTGAAGATCCATGTAATATGTAATACATGTACGCTTACACGTACAGCATGATGGATGTATTTCGCATCTTGTCACACAGCATTGGAACTTGTTGGTGGTCTCTAACACACGCATCTTCGATACATCTTACGATTGGCTATATTGCTCCATGTCAGCGCCATCACACCCAAATATCCCCTTTTAAAATAAGTAGCTTTTTACTGGCACATCCCTTTGCTGACGTGATAACCGTCCTTGAATTTTCTCCCCCTTTTCCTTCTTATCGTACATATATTAATCGGTTGTACGAATCTGAGGTTTTGGAGAGGCCACCGAAATGTCCTTTTTCTTTTCTCCCTTTCTGCCTTTTGTGCATACTACCCACATATCCTAGAGCATCAACGGGCCCGACTATCATAAATAGCTAAGCGTACTAGTTTTCCACCGTCCTATTAGTCTACCAACGACCCGGGTGTTTAGGTCCTTGACGATCAGAGCCTAACATTTTACTCAACAGCTCGAACAGTCCAGATGAGATAGGATGTTGGAGTTGGAGGCGACAACGTACATTGTACATTATTAGCACATGATAATTCCCAACTTCCGAACAATTTCGGGTGACTATCCCCTACAAGTAAAGCGGGGGAACCGTGGAAGCCCAGCTCTTCCCCTCATCTTTCCTCCACCATCGTGATCTCCAAGATCCAAAAACAACGACTCGTTCTCAATAGTCTCATTTCACCGCCTCCATTATCGCTAATCACTTGACTGAATAGGATCCTTCCCTTCGAGCGATTGACGTATTCTATATCTCAAAGGATTCTAAAGTCAGCCGAGTACCGTAGGTAGACGCCATGGATCTTGGCTATTGCTTGGCCGCTCGCTACCCCGGATCCTATGGACGTTACCCCACAATCCCACGGAGCTGAGGAAGTCGAATGTAACACGTCATTAGATGTGTAGGCCTTTGATGAGTTCTTTTACATGTTTCCTATTGTTGGGATCTTGTGTGTTTTATAATATCTGCACGTCTTCGAAGTTATCGAAATATTTGTGCGCTTTGAGAAGCACAGTAAATTGATAGAATACGTACGCGACTAACAAGGACCTCATCGCACGGTCCGCTCGAACTTCTATTTCGGGATATTACACAGTAGCATCTGGAGAAACTCCAAATTTACGCCCTGGTTCGATTTATTCAGTATATCCATCTCAAGCATAGCCCCTTAAACGCTTCAACTTTCTATGTCAATATGCCTGCCAGGTATCCGTAGCACGGCCCAACCTAAGCGACGTGTCGACTGTCAATAGATCTGCTACAGCTCCGATCTGGAACATCGGTAGTAATGACGATTCGGCACCAAATATTGCCAATCGTCCTTGCTTTGTTCCGTGGGGTTCGTGTTAGGAAAACGCTAAGACTACCTGCTGGCTATTATTTTCACTCCTGGGCATTTGACGTTTTCCTTCGTCCTGGATGAGTAATGTAGGTATCAATTAGTTGTTTACTCATTTACACAAAAACGACGACCTAAGAAGAAGCTAGGTTTAATGTTTCCATACCAACCGTACGACTTCATTCGATTATGAGCAATGGCAATGACATTGACAACGGCAATATATGTTTATTGGTTTCGATACTTGGTTCGTAAGCAAACTATTCATGCAGCAGGTCGTTTATTGATAATGTGATCCCTACACGTACAATCTCTGATGATGAGTCGTTCTACTAAGTCCACGTGGTTTAAGCCTCACAATCCTTCAGCCCTCCATCAACTATCCGTGGTGAACTAGGTCAAAAGCAATACGTAGTTAGTTATATTACTAATGAAGGAGAGAGACATGAAGTCTAACCGCCAGTACTGGGGATTGAAAGTTGTGTGGAGAAACAGTATATTAGAACCTCACAGTCGGGTCCCCCAAAATCCAATCGTGTATGCACGGTTCCGCAGCCGGCCACCGATAAGTAAGGTGTTACAGCATTAGCGGTCTGCAGAATATAAAAGGGATTCGGCCCTACGGTGGTTCGGTTGGTAAATACGTACGCAATAACATGCCTCGGGGAACAGACACGGAAGTCGACATACACAGTAGTTCGTGTCAGCCCCCTGGTGCAGTATGTAGGCCGGGGACTCCCCTGGCGCCCATGGATTTTATCCGATCATGCCGCTGTAAACTATCCTAGCACCTACATCTTCTTCACATGTTAGGATTCAGGTTTTACCCAGTCATCCCACATGCGTCTCGGAAATTGAATAGTCTAGTGAGTTAGGTAATCTGACTCCCTCGATATTCTATGTAAACTTATCATAGAACTATTTACATTTTGATACGAGTCGATATATATAAGACTGTGGAACCATGTCGTTATTGAAGTCCACGGATACCTAGGTGTCATGTTTTGGTCAGGACGAGCAAAAGGGTTTGTCGTCCCCCAGCTTGCTAAGTGACCTCCGGATATCGTCATTTGCGCAATCTGGCCTAGACGGTTCTAACAATCGAGACACGGCTTGCCGATCTTACCGAAGGTTGCTTTACTCGCGGAACAGCAACGTAGCCGTGTCCGAACCCGATCAACCCTACAAACCTTTGGGGACGTTTGGAAAGTTTGGCATAAAGCTGATAGCTCTACCGTAGATCAAAATAATTCGAGGCTGTGTTAGATTTGCACTGACCTATCAGGCTAATTCTCCGATGACCACGACCAAGGTACTAGAACGCGTTAGGGTGTCATCTTCGTTGTCTAGCCAAAGGGCTGCAATAATGATTACGCAGAGCCGCCTGCGGAAACCTATTTTGAAGGGCATCTGTCAGTTGGATCTTTAGTCTGCTTCCCCCCGATATCCCACCACTGAAGTCTTTTTTTGAACGAGTAGTTAATGGCATGATTTTCATTCCATTAGCGGATAAATGATCCATGGCTGGATAGATGAGCGATGCTACATCCGACGACCCTATCAGCATCCGGGAAATCTTGATCTTCTCAGTCTAGAGTCTAAAGAAGACTATTGATAAGAGCTAGAAAAGTCCCTTGGCAGGCGTGCCTTAATCCATGACAATATCTTCCTGGTATCCCTCGCCTCCTCCGGGTTCGTTCATATCTGGCATCCAGCCCTTAGGCCGCTCGTTGCCTCGTACTGTGATGCCGTATCCGAGTCTTTCTACCTTGAGCACTTGCTCGATCATGATACCTAATTTCTTAGAGTAGGTACCGGGCTTTCCGCCAAGGGGCGGGCAGATCTGCAGTACGGAGCTCACTTCTTGCATGTCGTTCAGAATCGTTCGGCCTTCAGAGTTCTTAGCGTCTAGACCAGGCATGCTTCCGCTGAGGGCGGTGACGGCGGTGGCGAAGCGCATCATCTCACCGGTCAGATCGAAGATGCCGAAAACGTAATCCGAAGGTGTCAGTGGTATGTTGACGGGAAGCGCCGCCTGCGCTTCAGCAAATGTGATGATCTTCTGGTGCTGGAGGTAGTGGGAAAAAGAGATGGCCTCAACGAATTCCTCCAGGCATATGAGCGGGTAGCGATATCGATTCATTCCAGCCACATCTCCCTCGATGGTAGCCAGAAGTTCAGCGATCTCTTTTAACCGATCATCAATATCGGATTGAATGCGAGGCGGGAGTGGCTGATTAAGCTTGCGGACACTGGAGGTTACGTGTAAGTTAACATACAGGTAAACACCTAGTTTAATCATATCTGTATAATACTGGGCTTTTTGCATTGAATGAATGAAAATAAGAAATAGGTACCGTTGTAATGAAAATATTCTATTTTACAGTCAGTGACGAAACTTAGAAAAGCAACTGTGAAGGAAGAATTTCATAAAATGAATGCTCACATCTTCTTACTAAGGGCCGTAACATCTCGCGAGACCTTCCCTATCTTCATGCGCCGGTCATGATGCTCGTCCAGCTCAGCTCGGAACGACTCGAACATGGAGGTGTAAGCGTTGCGCGGCATATCCTTATCCGCCCGGCCGTCCATCTTCTCCCTGCCTTGATGGTCTCTCTTAACACCCATGTTGCGGCTTCGAGGTTGTGGAACAAGTACTTCGGACATTCTCTGGCGTTGGGTTATGGCGATGATTTCACAGTGATTTCTTCATTCTTCGTGATTGGTGATGTATGTTTTAAAGTTCTAATGACCCAATCAGTTTGCCAGCTGATTGCAGCTGGTACTACGTAGGCAATAGTTACTTGCCAATTTAGCCGAAGAAGTACCGTTGTTTATAACGACACGTGCCTGAATCTCATACATCCATGTGCATCTATCACATGGACTATTATGACGGAGTGTGCCTGAAGAAATGTATAACGCGAATACCTAAATGAATGGTCGATTTAAAAGTCATACGAGGGCCATGTTTGGAATTCGGGGGTTGTTCGCGATTCCATCAGAAAAACAGCCCTTGAAATAGCGTCACTCATCCCCAATCCTCCAAGTGCCGGCCACTGGTCCGATCATCCCAACCTGCTTATAAGCTTCATTTTCTTCAGGGGGAAAACCCACACCCGAGGAATAGGCAAGGCCAACAACGGCCATATCTTCATAAACCATGGCGTCCCTCCTCACATCCCTCATCTCACGCCCGCTCCCGCTCTTCGCGGCGGCCACCGTCCTGCGCGCGGCCATGCTCCTGTACGGGCTGTGGCAGGACGCCAACTCGCCGCTCAAGTACACCGACATCGACTACCTGGTCTTCACCGACGCCGCGCGGTTCGCCTTCTCGTCGCCCGCCTTCGGCGCCGCCGCCTCGGCCTCGGCCTCGCCCTACACGCGCGAGACCTACCGGTACACGCCCCTGCTGGCTTGGCTGCTGTACCCGACCACCTGGCCCGGCACCTTCTGGTTCTCCTTCGGGAAGGCCCTGTTCGCCGCCGCCGACCTGCTGGCCGGGCACCTGATCATCTTGGTCCTGAGGGGGCCGTACGTGCGCATGCCCGCGGACCGCGCGTGCAGATACGCGAGTATCTGGTTGCTGAACCCCATGGTAGCCACTATCAGCACGAGGGGCAGCTCCGAAGGCCTGTTGGGCGTGCTGGTTATGGCTCTGCTGTGGGCCGTGCTGGAGAAGCGGGTTGCGCTCTCGGGTATGCTGCTAGGGCTTAGTGTTCACTTCAAGATCTACCCTTTCATCTACGCTCCTGCTATTGTGTGGTGGATGGACACTGAGCAAATGGGTAGGAAAACGCAGGTGAAGGGTCCGGAAGGGAAGGATGGTCAGACCAAAGACCAAATGACGGTTGTGTTGGACAAAGTTGCGGCGTTCATCACACCGGAACGCATTACACTTACCCTCGTCAGCCTGGCCACATTTATGGGCTTGAATCTTCTCATGTATGCTCGCTACGGGGCGCCTTTCCTTATACACACATTCTTCCATCATGTCACCCGGATCGATCATCGCCACAACTTCAGTCCGTACAACATTCTACTATACCTCAACTCGGCTTCTCCAAGTTCTGCCTCGCTGAAGGTCGAGTCGGTGGCGTTCTTACCGCAGCTGCTCTTATCGACAATCCTCATCCCCCTAGTCGGAGCTAAGAAGGACCTTCCCACCACTATGCTAGCGCAGACATTTGCTTTCGTAACCTTTAACAAGGTCTGCACAAGCCAGGTATGATATATCTCTTGCCCTTCTTTCGTAATAGATCATCCTAATCCCCTGAATGTATTCGGTGAACCCATAAACCCTGATCTAACATTACTTGAATAGTACTTCCTTTGGTACATGGTATTCTTACCATTATACCTCCCCAACTCTTCGCTCCTCCACAACCCGCGTCTCGGCCTGTCCGCCCTCGCACTTTGGGTCGGCACACAGGGGCTGTGGCTACAGCAGGCCTACAATCTCGAGTTCCTCGGCCTGAGCACGTTCGTCCCGGGATTATGGATAGCTTCTCTAGCCTTTTTCCTGGTTAACTCTTGGATTCTGGGCATAATCATCGGTGATCTGGGTGATAGCCTGGGGCAAGAGATAAAGAGCGATTAAGGGAAGAAGGGGTAATGTTGTGACGAGTATGTATATATGCATGTACTCTTTGGCATTGGGCGTATTTGCTTGAGAAGAAGCGACGATATTGTAATTATAGGAACAACCTTGGAACTCGATAGGGGCTGTAGGAATACTGTGCCTATGGCATGTAATGGCGTAGTTGGTTATAAACAACCGTGTCTAGCTGTTCTTCAACTACGAGAAAACATAATAAACCCGGAAGTTAATAAATTTAAAGAAATTTGTATTAGTTGAGTTTACACTATGTGACCCAATGCTGGCTCTATATATTCCATTGATGGGAGGGCGAACCCCATTTCATGTGTTTATCTTGAGAAATCGGACCCGCTCTCAAGTCTTATGTAGTTCTTGCGTCAATTCACTTATTGCTTCCGGTAGGCTACACATCATGTCAAATATCGAAGCGATGAATTTACTCTTCCTACGACTTTATGGTACACCCTTGGCCACATGGTTTGACATTACAGTAACAGAGGAGAATCAGTACGCCGATCGACGAGAACAATTGCAGTGGGTATTATTCGCCTCCCGAGAGTCAATCCTGTTCTTCCTCTCCTCCTGACCCTCCATGCTGTCTATATTAGCACCAAGGGATGCATGCCTTGCAAAACCCTGTTTGCTTCCAATTTCCATGAGAACTCCGCCCAAAAGAACCTTTCTAGGTATCAGTTGCCACCTCCCCTGCGCCGAAGGCAAATGAACATGATATACCCCGATGGGAGATGTAACATAGAAGAAATGTCTTCCGCCATTCGTGCCATAGTTGTAGTTGTAGTTGTAGTTGTGGTTATGGTTGTGGTTGTTGTAGTAGTAGTTTAGTTATAGGTTGATTAATATATTGGGGTTCACACAATCGCGATACCGCCAGAGAGCATGGCGTAGTTGGCCAATTTAAGGGACAAGACCCTCGATTTGGGGAAGTCGGGGTTAATAACCAACCGACCTTCCTTGTTATAACCAACCTCACCGAAGCTCTCAACCATCTCTTCGAAGCAGATGTCGGGGCGGACGCGGTTAATCTCCGCCACGATCTCATCGCTCCATACTCCAGAACACCAGCCGTCTCTTATCATGAAATAGGGGTTAAGAGGCGGAACAGGTGAGTCTAGGCAATATCTGTTAGCATAATAGGTCTAAGATTGCTTAGGAGACGAAGACGGCGCCAGTACGTACCAAGATCAACGTATCGGATCCGCAGTAGCTCCACGGACTTCAGGCGGTCCAAGGCTCGGATGCCGCCCAGCACTAATTGTTCGAAAGCCGCGATGAAATGCATGTCGGTAATGCCCGAGCCCGACTCATTCCATTGCGCATTCTGTCGGCAACAGTTCTTGACCGTGAGATCGATGGTCTTTAGCCGAGTAGTGCGAGGGTTCGAATACTTGGCAAGCACGTCGAAGAAGCTGTGGCAGACACGACCGGTATAGGAAAGGTGTTCGAGATTACACGCAGCTCTCGCCATCTTCTCGCACCAATGAAGCTGTTCGCAGACCTTGAGATAGTAAGGTGGACATGTCATTTCTCTGCGATAGTCACACTCAAGGCAGAGATTGAGACTAGTAATTTTTGGATCGAGGCACTCGAGCGTGCCCGCCATACTAAGATAGCTCTTAGACTTGGGTTTAGCGTAAGTGCCATGCCACTCCTCCAAATTCGGCAGTGCGCGCGAGATCACCTCCCAATCCTTCGGCTGTCGAATTATGTTCCACTGGCCCTTCACGACCAGCGTCCGAATCGAAGGGATCTCGGGCAGGTCTCGAGAAGCCCACGCGGGACTAGCGAGACTAAACTTCACTCGCGGAGCTTTCTTCCTCTCACCACCCTCAAGCGTCATGACCCGTGCCTCCGGAAACTGCATACTCACAAGATAAAATACTTCTTCTAGAGTCGAGTTGTCGGTCGGTAGCGCGTAGGTCGCGCTAGCTATACCTTCGGGCGAGACAGTTGGCAGAGCAAGCGAGGTGTCGCCCGGCACGGTCGAATGGAACTTCGGTTGGAAGACCGGAAACCAGATCTCGACATGTTTTACGTACGTTCGGAGGTGAGGATGGCGCACGAAGAAGTCCATTACGTCGTTACTGCAATGCACTGTTGCCTTTAGCTTGATGTGGCGATAGAGTCGTTGTTGGATTAGATCCCTCCATAAGGGACAGACGAGAGCCATATTAGACAATTCCTTCCTCCTGGAATGTCGTAACGCGGTACTCCAACTCCGAGCATTCACGCTCGGGATGTTGAGGGAGCTCGGTGATGTCGTAGAGACACGGTATCCGAATATGTGATCAAGAATACATTCGTGGATTTCGGCCGGCAGTTGCGCCAACGTCAAGACCGGGTTTTGTTCGACAATAACCGGCGTCGAAACCGGACTCGTGACCATACAATCCTCCGATCCAAAGCAGTCCGGTTGACAGGTTAGACAGCGGATATCGGTTTGGCCCTGTTGGGCATTGGGGAACGGAGTGCTGCTAGGTCGAGTTGGGGGTACGAAATCATTCGGTTTAGGCTGTTCGAGAGGTGGACTAGCTGGGCCAGGTGTGACGGGAGTGGACGTGGTAGTCATTATTGCGGCTAATTCGACCGTTGCGGTGCCCTCGTCTTCATCGTCGTCTCCATCTCCATCCCGAACCCGTTCTCGTTCTCGTTCTCGAGTCCGGTCCATGGGCATCTCTCTCTGCAGATAAGGTTCTCTTGGGAGATGAAGGCTCTGAGAATGAGCCTCGAAGGAATGGCCAACACCGGCATCCCCATTGTGAAATGTGGCGGAGTCTCTGGACCCAACCATAATCATCTTGACTTCTAAACCGGTCTTTTTATACTAGGAAAGAGGAAAGTTCATGACAGGTAACCTGTCGAAGAACACCGACCACCTATAAATTAGTCTGGATATTCGAGGTCAGTCTCTTGGATCCGGAATTGCTAATATAGAAAACGATATTGAGTAGCAAGACCGTGTCGTATGAGAATGCGACGATTCTCCTCGGGGCCGGGCTTATAGTCGATTGAAGGAAAGGGGTGTTCAATGGTCGCCTTGATAGATTTCCGGTTGACCGAATATACAGCTGTGACGACAGGAAAGTGAAAAAATTTTATAGGCCGTGCGTGATAGCTATCGGGTCAGAGACGCTTTGAAGGTAATTCTAGTAATCGTGTATCGGGCGTCGGTAGAAAGTCGATAGGGTGGAAATCCAATCGAGAGGATTCGATCGTCGAGAAAGGGAAAAGGGAAATATTAAGAACCCGAACTTATGGACAATGTTTCGGGTACGCGGTATGGCGGAAGGGTTCCGACGATATGATTCGAATGAATTTCAACGTCGACTTTTCTCGCAGCGTTGAGACTTTCGATAGCGATAGTTCAAGTGATGGTTTAGCGAAAGATTTCGGTAAGGCAAGGCAACACATGTGCAGTCACGAGAGATGTCGAATTTGGGATGATGCAAAATGGGCGTTGAATGTGTTGGACAGTGGGAGATTTGCCGGGGAGGGGACTTTTTACATTAACCTTTAGGCATGTACCTAACGTACTAGGTACCGGGTACTCTGCACTCTGCACTTTAGGTCACTATCTACCGCTAGAGTACCTACCAGTCTGCCAGTTCAATCTACATGCCGGGGCTTTATTGGGTATTGGCCTAGTACTGGTACGAGATGAAAGTATCCGTTCAATTGTAAACTACATGCACGCTAGCGCCTACCCTTGATGCATTGATACCGTACCTACCATACAAACTGGCAAAATCCACAGCGTTATCACAATCTGCTTATGACAACGCATTGGACTCGACTCCTATTGGGACTCGACCTCTGATTGTTCAAGGTTTGTACTACCTTACGATGTACACATGTATTTTTTTTTTAACCAGCTGTAAATAAAATTAAAGAGAGAAATCATAAAAATTCCGAATCTTCAAAAGCGGTTTGTCCACGACACTTTACGAATTGACACGACAAACCTCATTATACCTTATTCAAGTACATAAAACCTTGAAAACCTTGACGCATTCGATACTGCACCAAGAGGGCCTGCGTCTAGTAATTTCTCGGTACTTGATCTACTTAATCGTGCATTAGGAGGTCAGATTCGATGTATCCCTTGTACAGCTACTTTGAGGCAGATATCTTCGATGTTCATGCAACTTGAAAGGCGTTCTAAGGTTTTATGGCGGCCGCACGGTCTTCGACTACACATGGCGAGTCGAATAGATGAGCACAGCCACCTCGTGCTGCTCGTGCTGCTCGTGCTGCTTGTGGTATTGACGTCTACCTAACCTACGTGTCCGTGTGCACGAAGCACCGAGGGCGAGAACCATAGCTAGCATACATATGTATCCATGCCTGCTGGCGTCCGTTGGCGCCTTTCATTAAGCTTTGAGTGGACTGCATACTCGCAGCAAGATCGCCATCCAGTGGCTTGGCCAAGTCCCGGCATCCCTTAGTGGGTACATATCGGAATGACTTGCATGACTAGATACTACTATGTACACGTAGGTAGTTGTCATCTGCCTCCTTATCTAGAGCCATTGTACGCATAGTATTCCATCTGTTTTTCCTTTTCTCCTTCAATGTGTCGACATCTGAGCACTTTTCTCTTACTGCTTAGAATGAGTCGTGATATTAACTGCCATGACTTATAGCAGCAAACTTTCCTCGTAAGTATATCCTTATATGAAGAGTACGGTTACTACAGGACGCTATAGCAAGCGAGATGGCCTCCCGTAAGAAAGTTGCCAATCAGAATTATCATATTAATTTCTAGTCTGATTGGCTATGACTTTGTGATACTTACGTGAGGCTATGGAGTTTTTTTTCAAATAGGGGGTCGTCTTACATGATCCTCATCTGCAGAACATATTTCTTCAGCTTCGGCAGGTCATACGTACGTCTCTGAAAATTTGATAATATGGACGGATAAGGGATTGAATATTGCCTCTAAGTCGGAATGTGAAGCCGAAAATACTACTACACAAGGGCACAATGTCGATAACAAGGCGAAAGCGGCTTATTACGTCACTTATCATTGAGAACCATGCCGAATACCGAATACCAATCTACGGGGTTGCTTAGTTAGGATGTTGCCGGGTCCTCTTGTAGCCTTGAGGCATCTATGCATTATAAGAGATGACATATTAATTCCGGCCATTCATTGTGTTTATGTGTGTTAGTAAAAGCAATATAGGTATCATCAAATCATGCCATATCGTATCATGATTGTTCTAATATCAGAACCCAGATAGCTATTTGATAATCAAGCTTTCAAAAAAGTTGTATGGTGTCAATTTATATATGTCGACACGGTATTGAACGTTTTCCTTCCAATATCATCGCGATTCACCCGGTGTTAAATTCAGCCCATGAATTGAAAATACCTAGATACCTCCTTACTCGCGGCTCAGCGCCCCCACAATGCGTACCTAATTCTCGCTAGCCCATTGATTAAATGTCTTGTTTCATTCTATTCGAACTAGCCAATGAGATGACGGAAATATTGAAACGCCCCTCTAACATGAAATCTCGCTTTCCCTCTAAATGGCTTAACGCAGCAATCCCTCATAATTCCTTAATTTCATTTTCAACTGTGGAACAGTGCAATCACATATTCCTGCATCTACCGTCATTTTCTGTCTTCGTTAGGTATCTCAGTATGCGTACTTATTGTGTTAACTCAAGGGTTTATCAAGCTCGAGTATGCTAAAGAGCACAATATCTATTAACTATAATATTAACAATGTCAACAATAGATAGTTTATTGTTGTTTTGTAGCTTTCAAAAGCCCTTCGACTTGGCTCTTTGACAAGATCCTTGGGTAATTTCCCCGGAAGAGTCACCTGCCTCGTTAGTCGCTAAGGAGGAGCCGCAAAGATGGCTCCATTCTAATTCCTAGACAGCTTCGGAGTACCGCCGACTATTACGGAATCACTTCCCTCTTACGGTAGTAATAGTTCGGAGGATCATTTACAACCTTGGATAGGTCCTATACCTGGATTATCGCTGCCAGTGCTTTTCCAGCGATCATGAACTACAACCGGCATGAGTTCATATAACTGCCACCTTCGCCACAGCCATCCTTCATGCGTCGTCAAGCAAATGATCGGACGTGTATACTACCATGCCCCTCAACACTAACTGCTGCACTGCGGTTCTAAGGCGTCGAACGGGTTATACGCATTACCTAGCAGCATGATGTCGAGTTAGTCTCCTCTCCTTTTTATTCGTAATCGAGCCAAGATCGTACAGATCTTGCATGATGGAGCTCACTGACGACAGAGACTTGGCTTGGACGGATCTGGAGGCGCATCTGAAGGTGCAAAATGCGGTAGGAGAGCGAAAGGGTGGGGTGTTGGATGGCGCCGCTTGACGACCTATCCATATTAAATCCTCTAGCTACAATGCGATTTATTTTTATTAATATGTCCGGTCTCGATCTAGTCGACCCTGTTGCGAGGCCTCGTTAGGGATGGCCGAACTGGTGAGAGTGTGCGAGGCGCCCTAAACCCCTGTCTGGGGATCGACGCGGCGCTCCAGGGGCTCGCCGTTTGACTTGGCGGTACTTGGCGTCTATGGTGAGTCCCTATCCAACCGTCTACGAGCTGGGGTTGTTTTGCCGACCACCAGGCCTACGAAGTTCATACTCCCAAACAAGTATCTCAAGCTGCCTCCCAAGCCAATCTCCATAGCTTCCTGCACATGTCGCTGACGAGAAAACCTAGCTAGCTACCCCATGCTTAAGGGGCAGGATCTTGATGGGGCCTACCTTATGGGGCTATACTACCGCGTACGTAGTCTATGTAGCCGAGTGATCATCTTTTTAAGAAAAGAAAATTTCCTCATTCTTTTAATATGATCCGTTCCCCTGGGTTATCATTTCCTCTCTAAGTGATCCCTCTCTCGTCATTTTTTTTTCTTGTCGTCTTTTAGGTACCCTTTTTCTCTTGAAAGAGATAGGACATAGAGTGGACTCTAGAGGTGCAAAATCATCGTCTTTGTGACTCAAGCTCAACTTACCTCTACTCTACTCTCATCTCCTACTATTCTATTCCACATCATTCATTTCTACATTTTTTCCAACTCATCATCGAATCAGAGATTCGCCTGCCTTTCTTTTACTATACTGGTCTAGGATCACAGAAATACATTTCTACCATTACCAGATATATATAACCTGGTTTCGTTTCTTCGATATATTTATCTGGACATACCTAGTAGTATTCGATTTGTAGTCATTGACTACTTCCATCTTTAAGCTACCCTCAACCTGTCTGGTACAAAAGGGGGATATACCTTAAAACTTCACCATGGCGCCAAGTCTCTCCACCATCTTTACCTCACTCCTGGCCCTGGCGCCACTGGGAACGTTCGCACACCCTATGAATGTATGGCGACCTACTGCTGAAGCTGGGACATCGCTAGGGGTCTTCGTTAGCAATCCGGATTCAACAAACGTGGTTCCCAACTCGTACATCGTGGTCTATCACAAGAACTCCACCGACGATGAGGTAGCCGCGCATCAAGCATCCGTCAAGGTGGCTGTCAAGAAGCGAAACTTGGGCAAGCGAGGGTTGGTTGGCCAGCTACTTTCGACACGGGTTCGTACGTTCGCTATGTCAGGCTGGCGGGCTATGGCTTTGGAATCCGACGATCTTATGATGAATGATATCAACAACATGGCCATGGTCAACTATGTCGAAGCAAACACATACGTCCAAGCTGCGGCCCTGAAGAACCAGGTCAATGCGCCTACGGGCTTGGTTCGGTTAAGTCACGCTGACGCTGGAGGTTCCGGTTACATCTTCGACGATTCTGCTGGGGAGGGCATCACGGCGTACATTGTTGACACGGGTATCATGGTCACGCACGAGGATTTCCAGGGACGTGCTACGATGGGTTTCAATGCTGTTGAGGAGGAAGAGGTACGATTCTAACCCCCCACCTATATCTCGATCCTCGCACAGTTTCTCCCTTCCTGGGATGAGCTGTGAGGAGATATGAAGCTAAGGAACTGAGGAATCAAAGTTAACAATTAGATGTAGGCTACGGATCTGAACGGCCACGGCTCCCACGTCTCAGGCACAATCGGTGGTGCAACCTTTGGGGTGGCTAAGAACGTGCAGTTGGTTGGCGTTAAGGTCTTGGATGCGAATGGAGGTGGCACGAACGCCGACGTGATCGACGGTCTCAATTTCGTTGCGTCTAACGCTACGAAGGGCAAGTCAGTAATGAACATGTCGCTTGGTGGTCCCAAATCCCAAGCCGTCAACGATGCTATCGAACGCCTCTTTTCGAACGGAGTTGTCCCCGTCGTCGCAGCCGGCAACGAGGCTCAGGACGCCGCCAATGTCTCACCAGCGAGCAGCCCTAACGCCATCACCGTAGGCGCTATCGATCAGACTAACGACAGACGTGCAAGCTTCAGCAACTTCGGCTCAATCGTCGACGTATTTGCCCCGGGCGTGAATGTGGAAAGTGTCGGCATTGCCAATAACACCGCAAGCGAAATCTTGAGCGGTACTTCCATGGGTATGTTTCTTTTTCTTTTCCTTATCCCATTCTACATGACATAATACTTCTATGACAAACCTAGTAAATATTTTATGAACATGGCTAACCAGATGAATCAGCATCACCACATATCGCAGGCCTCGCCGCGTACCTCATGGCTCTCGAGAACATCACCAACGCCACAGCGGTTTCGGATCGTATCAAGGCGCTGGGCGGTGCTTCAGGGGCAAGCGTCGTACGAAATGCCCGAGGCACAACGAGTGTCATCGCCAACAACGGCAACCTATGATTAAGCGCGTACTGGGATAGTCATCCGATATCAAAACGCGATTTTTTTTGCCGGTTGGGTAGAAGTAGACGATCTTCACCGACGTTCTTTTGTACAAACCTACGTTCATCCTCGGACATATCATCATCATCATCGGATTAGAACGAAGCATCATATCCAGTATCAAATAGCGAATTCGGAGAAAAGCGAAGGTCGATTCTTGTCCATTGATATATATATTAAGTACTTTTGGAGGGGATCATGAGTATGGAGAGCGAGATACCTGTTTTTATAGACGAGTGGTTACGCATCACAGAGTTAACGAAGAAAGGAGACATGCATTAGACATTAGTTTCATGGCCAATGGGCGAATTAGCGATCTGCGCGTTACTATTACACGATTGTGTATATTTTGGAGAAGGTAGATACGTCTACCGAGTACATATTAAATTCATCAATACCATTCACCAATATATCTTCACCTGTTCAACGTCTTTCTGTCAAGGCTTAGAAAAATAAATTTCCAATAGGACCAACGTGCTCTTTTACATACGCTGAAAACCGTCGATAAATACTAGCTTGAAAACTTCTATATTCTTGATATAATCTCATAGATCAAATCAGTGGACTTTTGCCAAGGTAAAGCAAAGCAAGGAACATATATAAAGGGGTTGGATGGGATATCATTATTTTAGTAAACATGACTTCGATAAGAATTCGAGGGTGACATACGCTCGCCTAATCATGCCTTCGATGTAGCAGGGTCTTTATTAGAAGACGCTTGGGGTTTACGCAATACTTCGCGAGACATGAGAACATGAGACAAAATATCGAAGCCAAGATCTTAGATGCGCCGAGTGTCGAGACTCTCGAAGATGAAACATAGCTTGGCGGAAGAGGCCGCGAAAGCTCTGCCCTGCCCAGCCCGCCGCCACGGTTTCGAACGCCGCGCGATCAGGTATTTTCTTGCCAGTTACTAATTAGCTGTTTCTTTGACCTCGAAACACCAGATCTCGTCATCAGCCTGGTCCTTTTGCGATATGACCGCCATGGCAGAAACACTGAAGACGCCTGCCTCGTCGTCATCAACGGCGTTCACTCCGCATCAGGACTAAGTGTTAGTGTTAGTTAGCTATGGTAGATAAGGCGACTTCAGCACATGGGAAAATGTGTATTAATGCCAGATGACGGTACGACGCACTTGGACATCCGATGGTTTACTTTCATCATACACGGTCGCCCGCATATCAATCGTCCGGCCGGCGTACCGAGGCAGGTATTGCCTGAGAAATCATCAGGATTTCTCTGGAAAATCTATACAGATGCGTTTCCTGGTCTTCGGCCTCAGCTTGAGGTACCACTGGGAATTGGATCAACTACCTACCCTAAGCGTTTGCTGAATGCAGCTATTATGGAGTAGATTATACACCTTACTCTGACGCGGAAGAAATGAACAATGCGGATACGTCTCCTTACATTTGTCCATCTTAGACCATTATTTTTAGGATCTTGATCCCTAACCTTCGTTCTAAGAGTTAAACAGCACACACGGAAAGGGAGCTTTATTACAATACGTATAAACGTCGAACCCGATAGATACCAATCAAGTTTTCTTAGGTTAGTTGATTCGAAGGGTTGCGTCCCATCAGACACGACCGAATCTTTAACCAGTCGATTCCCCTATATGAGCCCATATAGCTGGAAAAAGAATATTCTTAACCACGTCACGTATTCACAAGGTATATATCGGCCGACGATATGTTGACGATCCACAACGGGGAAACTCTCTCTTAACGTTGATCAAGTTCAAAAGCCCGCTATGTGCCTACGAGCCACATTGGACTCGGTACTCCTCGTCATGTTTGGTTTGATATCAGCACTTCTCGGCACAGCTGCAGTCATTGAAAGACTGAACTGTAATTTGACATCCGTGCTTGTTCTCGAATTTCCAACTCACCCCTCGAGGAATGTGAGACTGCTATAGAACAATCTACGCATTCGAATGGCATTAGTTTGTATTAGTAATGATTCTAAGCAGGACACGTCAAAAATCGTACAACGTTTTACGATGCCTTATCCCTCCAAACATAACGGCGTACCCAGCTACTCTTCATCAGCAATCCTGCTGTTGGCACAACCTGCATTAAGTATATATCCTCGATGACGCCATGCAAATATAAAAAACTCAATGTGCGCACACTATAATTCCTCATGAACCTCATGGACCTCATGAACCAGAGGTGTTACTGTGGCTTTGGCAGCCTTGAGGCTAGATGCAACTTCTTTGTCCCACATGGCATCGAATCTTGCCCCGAAGTACCATGCTATACCGAGCTATCCAAACTTGTTAGCTTACATTCGATATGACCTAGTGTTTGCGTGGATGCGTTACATACCATCAGACCAGATATGAACAAAAGCACAAATACCACAGCGGCAACCAGAAATATAGCTTCCCAGTAATCGCTCTGATCGCTGTCTTGCCCTTGCGCATTTTGCACAGCTTGTAGTTTCTTGGGGTCTTGTGTTGGAAAGAGGGTTTCGATGAATTGCTCAATCTGTTTCAAGACTCGGTCAGTTTTTACTGTGTTGACTTCTAACATCATGAGAAGGCCTACCTTGCCACAAGCGACACTGATCTCAAGGTAATGAGGATCTCTCGGGTCGTTCTTCTTCGCTATCCTCCTCGCGTATGTCTTGAATACATCACACACCACCCGTAGGTTTTGCGTTGACTGCATCATTAGGTGACAAGCGTCGCCCTTGGTGATCTTGATATGACTATGGAAAATTTTAGGGTTCTGAAAGACGAGCTCGAGGGTTGCGATGGCCATGGTTTGCGGAATTGCAACGAAGTTGAAGACACTCTGTTCCTTGATTCCAGCCATGTAGAACAAACATTCGTCAGCATGCTTCAGGGCGTTCAGGACCATTTCGGAGCTGCAGTTAAGAGCCTGAGTGCGATACTTGGGGTCGAACATATCCTCCCATTTGTCGACGTGCTTGCTCCAGATGTCCTTAGGCCAGAATCTCCGCTTATCTTCGAAGTCCTCGTGCACGTCACGGATGATGTTGGTCTTTTGTAGGAACTGTCCCATGCTTTCAGAAAGCTCCATGCGGTCGAGCAGTGCAGGGTTAGCTGTGTTGCCTTGGACGAAGATACGCGTCAGGCCTTCTCCAACCAAGCCAGCGACGTAGTGACAGTACTCCTCATATTCAGGGATTGTCTTCACGCCTTCTTGGAATTCAGCGTTCAAAGCGTAATCGGCCATGCCGTTTCCCATCTTGATGGTGATGTCCTCGATGACATCGTAGTATTTCTTGTCGATCTTCTTCAGTTCTGCGATCACATCATCGAAATGGACGAGCAGCTCGCGGTCTTTCTCGTTGGGTCCACTGCCGTTGAAGGTCCAGCCATCAATCTTTAGATATTTGGAAAAATCGCGTAACATGGGTTCTTTTGTCTTTGCTGAGAGCGTCATGTCGTCTTCGATGGTGTCTAACCCTCTCAAGACAAGGTAGAAAAGGGCAATAGGTACAAGCATTTCAGGTTGTAATTCTTGAATGACAGTGGCGAAACTGCGACTCGTCATGTTCAAAAAGTGAAAACATGATTTCAGAGTAGGGGCCTCCTTGGAGGGATCGCGAGAATGGACAGGTTCATGCCAAAGTTTCCTACGATGTGAAGTTCAGAGTTAGTGGCAAATACATGATTATAGATGGGCCAAGATGGATAAAATGGGCCTTGTTTACCATTGTACAATCGACCGAAGTTGATTCGGATGGCACATGAAATAGAGGACATCTTTGAGGCCTCCCATTTTCGCGCTTTGGGGAGGCTATTAGGTGGCGGTGAGGGAATACCTAGGCAGGTTCGCGATGGTTAAGGGGGAAGGGAAGATATCAAGCGTGCGTTGCCACAATAAACGACCGACCGCGAGTTGATATATATATATATCAAAGCCTAGGATAGAGTAGTGGTAGCGATAGTAACGGTATTTAGGATAACATTCCGAGTGTCAATATTATTACAATAAGTAAGCAATCTATATTGTCAATGAAAAGGGGAAGTTGTTTTGTTGTGGTGGTAGAAAAACGATTGAACTGTTCGATGTACGTAGAAAATTAATTTTATCCTGGAGCCATGCCGATAATAAAGAGATGAACAGAAGAAATCTAAGTTGGTCTCCACATCAAATTTCCAACTAGAATCACCAGCGAATCGGCGGTTGAATTGGCGGATCCGGGGTTCAACCTTGTGGCCCGCTCGATTCAGAAAGCTCTGGTTTAGTTGCGACGAAGACACCATTGGCCTAATTAGTTTACTAGTCCAGATCAGGTAGCTGGAATGACCCCACTGCGGGGTTTGGCTTCTGTACTAGGTACTTAATAGGTCTTAGGGCGACATACAGACGTAGAAGCCGTATATAGGTAGGTAATAGTTGGTACATAGACCTTTAAATACCTAAGTTATGCACATCTGTGTATGCAGAGGTAGGTAAGTTTACATAGATGTGCATAGATCGTGTTAATGTCTTCCAAAGTTTCCTAGTAAATGAGCTGCAGGTACGCTGTGCACGCTCTTCCGTTTTAGGTTTGGGGTAAGTCCCAAGTATATATGCGGTGAATTTTGAATCCACCTGTTAGCTTCTCCAAAAGCCATTGAGGGGTTGGTTACCGGTACCTTGCTACATTTGCCGTTTCTCCAAATCACATCACGAAATATTAACAGATTGTTTTTTTATTATTAAATTCTGCACTATCGTACACCCATTACTCCGTCGTTTATCGGTCTTAACTCAACCAATGTCGTCACCAGAACGTACAGACGATCAGCAGATCGCAGAGGAAACACATGCTTCTGCAGCAGTGATCCCTCAGACTACATCCAACCCCAGCGCACCAGTGCTTACGATGGCTAGTTAGAGCCAGCCATCGCTCGCCATTGGATTGGCTGCATTGACCTCGTCCATGACTACCGGAAATGACGATGGTAAGGTAATCACGGACATGCCTACCAAGTCTACGGATAATACGGAGAACACGGAGAATACGGCAAATACGGGAACTACAAAAACCACGGAGTCCACGAAGTCCACGGAGATTACTGAGTCTACCGAGGATGTCCCGTCAGCAAACGCGAGCACCACTCTCGTTGCGGGAAGTAAACGAATTGCTGCAGATGACATTGCTGATTCAGCTCGTCGTGCTTCAAAGCGTGTGAAACGGCACGAGACTTGGGGGGATGCCTTTCGACCTATTGTTGATTCGGTGCCATCTGAGGATGCACCCATCCCGGTTGTTCGCCGATGGTTTCGTCAAATCGGTTGCTTGCATGGACTAGGTCGTGCGGATCTTCTTGAGCTTCGCTGGATGTGTCTCCTTGGCCACAACTTGCGCCAGGCAGGTTATTCCGACCTGAAAGAGTACTTGATGTCCATTGCTCAAGAAGACGGACATCTTCGCAGTATGTAACACCAAGAGTCCCTTCTCCCGTCTTAGGATTGATAATTTCCTAATCGATCGGCTTAATGAGCTTTTGCTCCCGAAATAGAGAAATTACTAACTCATTATTGTAGTGCATGCCTCTGTTATTGCAGCCGACGCATATGAGGCTGTATGCTTGAAGAAGGTTATGGAAACGGAGGGCACCGAGACGAACAGAACGAAGGTAAGTGTTGTCCCACAGATTCCCTTGACAGTAGGTAGAGGCATTAGGATTCGTTGCTCTAACTTAGGTAGGCTACGCAAATTAGTCTGAGTGTTCCAGTCAACGCCTAGCTTTGATTCGCATCGCGACCTCGTTCGTTGTACCATCATTGCTCGATTAGGATGATGGTTACATCTCTTTTCTAGCACGTCCAATTACGCAAAATGGAATCGAAGACAGGAGGAGGAACGCAATCGACTAAAAAAAAAGTCTTGAAGGTATTCTACGGCTAAAGCCTGAATGATAGTTGGCGACGACAGCCAGTAGATGGGGCTGTTTGTAACGTGATGTTGCCTTGGGCTCAATTGGTTTCAGCATCTCATCAGTTCTCCCCTACCCTCTACCTGTGTACCTGTGTCCATCTGTGTCTATTAGGTGTATCTGCATGATGGAACTGGTCAGACAGATGGTTGTCGTGTAATAAAGTCACACATTATATGGAACTTCCGTATCACATCGGTAGAGGACATTGAGCTACGAGGACTTCACACTATAAGATTGAATTGTATGTAGAACGAGGCGAAACCCGTGATGATGGAGGCATGGAGGTATGCATTTTACCTTAAGTACTTTAGTAGTATATGGGTGCCCGTGACATTTTCACACTTAGATACCTATGTTTTCCCGCTTCTAATTCTTTTCGTGCCAGTAATTTTTGTTGATTCGAGATTTACCTGATAAATCATGTTCAAAAATTTACGGAATTGATGTAACTTTAGTGGTCCTCTCCTGTTGTTTTCGGTGTTGAACATGGTTATTACCAAGTACAAAAATGCCGATCAGCCGGGACGTACATCACCAAGACATTTTTGCCCCTCCATTAACAGACTTAAAGGGGGCAAGCTAACATGCCTAATTGGCATTTAGCACTACGTGTCTTACCATACTAACTTAATCTTCCATATTCTTAATTCTTATACTTCCATACGTCCATATATGTACATATTTATACAGACTGTAATTTATATTTGCGATTGATTTGGTCCCATCCGCTCTTTTATTTTGGAATTTATCGTCTTTCAACCTTTTGCTCCCTCTGAATCTGCCAGTTATCTGCTTACGTAGATAATTAACTTAATAGTTATTCATTAGGTCCAAACATATTAAGCTAAACTAGTACTCCCTCGTTTACGTGTCGTCTATGCCATCCCGAATCATTACAGTCTCTGACGATATCGTTGACGCCATGAACGTACCTGTTCCGGAAGACCATGGCCCTAAAACAAATAGATTCCTCATCTGGGGAGCTGGGGGTTGGGTTGCGGGCCATCTCGAGAAAATTCTGAAGGATCAAGGCAAGGAAGTCTTCACAACTACCGTCCGTATGGAAGACCGTGAGGCCGTTAAAGGGGAGTTGGAGAGCGTCAAACCTACACACGTTCTGAACTGTGCCGGTTGCACTGGCCGTCCCAATGTCGATTGGTGCGAAGACCACAAGGAGATGACGATACGTTCCAATGCCATCGGGACCTTGAACCTAGCGGATTGTTGTTTTGTCGCTGGTATACACTGCACCGTGTTCGCCACTGGCTGCATCTACCACTATGATGACGCCCATCCCATCGGGGGCCCTGGGTATAAGGAGACAGACCCGGCAAATTTCACCGGTAGTTTCTATTCCGAGATCAAAGGCCACGTCGAAGAGGTGAGATAATGCCGTCGGAAAATGGCGCTGGAAAAAAGTATAAACGACGAGTTGATTGGCTTACAACGACTTATAGATCATCAAATACTATACGAACTGCCTAATCCTCCGCTTGCGTATGCCAGTGTCAGATGATCTACACCCGCGCAGCTTTGTCACGAAGATTAGCAAGTATGAACGTGTGGTTGACATCCCGAATAGCAACACCATCTTGACTGATCTTCTGCCGGCATCTATCCTCATGGCTGAGCATAAAGATACCGGGGTTTATAATTTCACCAACCCCGGCGCCATCAGCCATAATGAGGTGCTGACACTTTTCAAGGAGATCATTCGTCCAGATTTCACGTGGAAGAACTTTAGCGTAGAGGAGCAGGCCAAGGTGCTCAAGGCCGGGCGTAGTAACTGTTTGTTGGAGACGGCGAAGTTAGAAAAGAAGTTGAAAGAGTATGACTACTCGGTGCCCGAGGTTCATGAGGCTTATAGGCGGTGCTTTGAGAGGATGAAAGCTGCAGGGGTTAAATAAGCTTGTGTTGGACCTTGGACGTTTAGAAGGCTACTTGAATGTACCCAAGGTACCACAAAATAATCTGGCTGTGGACGATGTACTGCGCAGGAACCTTTTTATTATTTTGTAATCTAAGTCATTGAATGGTGTTGGGGATGGAGGATTGACTTGACATAGACGGAGCATCATTAACTTACAAAAGTCCTCGAGTCTATGTTTCTACTTATAAGAAAGGTTCGTTTGTTCACTACCTACCTACTTACATAGCAAACGAAACTAGATCTTTACGATCTATCACTTAAAGACGGCGGGGCAAGCTACTCTGAGATAACCCCGCCGTTGCATGTACTTGGATACTACCCACATGTAAGTATCTGTACGTACTGGTAAATCATTCTTCGAGTCTTCCTGAAGTTTAAGGTTGATTTACTTTGTCCTTAGAGTTACATCCTTGGTGTAAAATAATTCAAGCAGTTGGTTATATCCCTTGCTAATAGATGAGATATGTCCTTCGTGATATGACGTGAATGTTTTATGTGACACATAAAGCTAGTGGCTGAGATATTCTATGTCTGGTCGATGTATAGGGGTATCCAGATTCCAGATGGAATAAATGTGGCGCTGGAACGCTGTGCCACAATATGTATGGATATACTTACCGGTACCTGGGTATGTACCCAACTAAGGGAGGGCTGATCTAGGCTGACATTCGTCATAGCTATTTTTTTCCCTTTCCTAAATACCATTCATAACCTGATGTCTAATTGTTTCGTTTGTCTTTTTGGACCCAACTCCTGAAAATAATATACCCAATTCTTTTCTAACATTCGTCGCGTCTCCATCGCCCTCCAACCTATATCGAGGTCTTATTAGTGACGCCCCGCGTATCCTATCCTACTATCGTCGATCAAATCCCCGCAATTTCATACGACAAACCCAGCCTCGCATACCCCCGACGACGTATATTCACCTTCGTGACTAGTAAGAGAAACCATGGTGGTAGATACGGCATACTACGACGTCTTGGGCGTCAAGCCTACTGCGACTGAGCTGGAAATCAAGAAGGCCTATCGCAAGCTTGCTATAGTTCATCATCCAGGTTCGCGCATACAACATCTACCGAAATCTTGAGATCTTACTAACGAACGCCACACAGACAAGAACCCAAATGATCCAACAGCCCATGAAAAATTCCAGGATATCGGAGAGGCTTACCAAGTACTTTCGGACACCGATCTAAGAAAAGCCTACGACAAATATGGCAAGGATAGTGCTAAGCCTACCGAAGGCTTTGTCGACCCCGCCGAGTTCTTTAGCAGCATATTTGGCGGTGAGGCCTTCGTCGACTGGATTGGAGAAATTAGCCTCATGAAAGACCTTACTACTACTATGGACATCACGATGGCTGCAGAAGAAGGCGAGGAGGATGACGCCGAGTTCCCAGGCACCGAGGAAGCTATGCGAGAGAGCGCGAAAGCGTCTACTGCTGCCGGACCGCCACCCGCTGTTGTTGTCGAAGACGAGGCCGAGAAGCCGGCCTCCGAGGGCAAGGCTACTACCCACCACCGCCACACTTCTTCAGAGAAGCCAAATCTCCCCCCTCGTGGTGCTTCGCCGTCTCCTAGTGGTTCCGGTACTTCGACCCCTGGGGTTCCCACACCTGGCAGTTCGACACCTTCGAAACACGCTATACCAATCCGGCCTGCACTCATGGACCGCCCGGCGGACGAGGCGCACTTTATGGATCAGACGGAGGAAGAGAAGGAGTTGCGAAAGAAGGAAAAGAAGAAGGGTGGGTTAACCAAGGAGCAACGCGAGCAGTTAGCCGCGTACGAGAAGGAGCGCGCCAGAATCCGTCAAGAACGTGTCGACACCCTCGCTCGCAAGCTTATCGACCGTATATCGGTATGGACCGAGACGGACAAGGGCCCTGACGTCACTAAGGCTTTCCAGGCCAAGACCCGCCTTGAGGTTGAAAATCTGAAGATGGAAAGTTTCGGCCTCGATATTTTGCATGCCATTGGCGCCGTTTACATGTCGAAAGCTACGGCGCTCCTCAAGTCACAAAAGTTCCTCGGCATCGGTGGTTTCTTCAGTCGTATGAAGGATAAGGGTGCCCTTGTCAAGGACACTTGGAACACTATTTCCTCGGCTATCGACGCTCAGCAGACCATGGAGGAAATGGCGCGTATGGAGCAAGCTGGCGGCGAGGATTGGACTGACGAGAAAAAAGTTGAATATGAGCGCAGAGTTACCGGGAAGATACTTACCGCGGCCTGGAGAGGCAGCAAGTTTGAGATCCAGAGTGTTTTGCGCGATGTTTGTGACACTGTGCTTCACGACAAGAAAGTACCCCTAGGCAAGAGGCTAGAGCGCGCAGAAGCCTTAATACTTATTGCCGATATTTTCCAGAAGGTATATGCTGTTCCCCGCCGCCGTGGATTTTGAAATCCATCTGCGTCTCTGATAAGGTGATCCGTTTACTAACCACTTGACAGGCCCAGAGATCGCCCGAGGAAGAGGGTGACTACATGGCCTTTGAGCAATTAGTTGCCGAAGCAACCATCAAAAAGGAAAAGGACTCTAAGAAGAAGGGCAAAGATAAGGATAGGGACTCTACCAAGGCAAAAAGTGCCAGCGGGGCAGAGGCAGGCAACATTCCTGCCGAAGCGAATAAGGAAAGTTCTTAATGGATATCGTGTCCTTGAGGGTTGGTGGTCCTCGAAAGGCTTATCATAAGTAAGCAAGTGTCGGAAAAGACTCCCTGATTGCCGGAGAAGTCGAGAAGGGCTCGACGTGTGTGTGCGCGTGTTGGCCAACCCAGTTTGGCGGGTTTATGTCAGGCAGAAAACAGGAAGCTAGCTGCTCAAGTTGCTAGTGGATCAGAAGTATGAGGTAGGGCGAGGAGGGACGTAAGGACGCATCAGTGTTATGACACTAAACCTCGCGGAGGACGGATCATCAGCGCGTTGAGTATTGTAGATTGATCTACGGGGGCGGCTGTGGTAAGGGACGGAGGAGCTCTCCTAGTTACGAAAACGCCCACATCATCTCTACTCAGAGATATAATGCACCACCCTGGAATTCATCTCCTGGTAAACATCTCTCTTGTTGGGCCGCTCGTGAGGAAGGCATGGCTATTCATCAATAGGTAATTATAAATAAAGGATACCTAGGTAGGCAATTATTATTGGCTAACCTCCTACCTCGAAGTATACGACATGGTTCCTTAAAACGGGATGGCCGCTTGGGTGCATAGAGGATCACGAGTAGACTTCAACACGAAATTTATAGAATAGTTTGAATTGTATTATGTTGCCTTGTTGAAGCATTAAGTGCCACGTAGAGTCTCATGCATGCTAGACTGTGATCAATTCGCCGACCTGATTCATTCGAGTACTTTGGTGGGTAGCCTCTATTCCATACACCCCTGAAGGCAATCCCTTCGTGCAGTCGGCGTATGTATATATCACCAAAAATATATATATAGCTCCTGATAGAACTCGCGTTCACCTTTCTTTAGGTGTCTACCCTTCCATTTTCTATGTTGGGCGTGTGTACTCTTCGGCTTCCTGATTCATTATTCTGGGGTATCATTGTGAGACTCTGGTAGGAAATTTGGTTTCTGTCAAAGTGGTGTGGAGATTGGTCTACCGACCCTGCGCCTTTCCGTGATGATTTTTTGGGGGTATCCATTGATGTTACAGTCAATACAAAGAAAATTCGGTGATGATTGTGGAATCCAATGAAGAATGTAGCAGCTTCGTACGGTGATTGCAAACCCGAAGCCGCCGCAGTTGGTGTCTTAAATGCTGTAAACGAATCGTATCCAAAGTAGAAAGATATATATCTGTCGTAAGAAAATTAGTGATTTGAGCTGCGAACCCCTCACAACCTCCAACTCTAGCCTCCGTCCGCAGGGAGTTCTATGCCGCTGTCCCTATCCTGCCGCTCAAAGTTCCAACCTGCTAACCTTCCTGCACCTTCTAGAGATTTCTCGTCGAGTATTTCATCGAGCATGGAAGAAGTATCATCGCGAGAACCGTCCGAGGTTAGGGGCCGGTCGTCATCATCTAACGGGTCTACCACTAGCACTCTTCCGCCTAATTCCACATCACTGGCCCTGACATGATACTCAAGAGCCTTTTTGCCTTCGCTGATGAGCTCCTCCGTCCAGTCGAGACACCTTTTGATGCTCTGATTTATCTTCTGCGAGTCGATGAGTAGCTGCTGATGCTTAGACAAGTCGACTTGTAGTCGTTCCTCATCCCGTCTCCTATGCTTTGCGTCATGTTCTGCGACTACACTCGGGCTGAGAGATCCAGATGCTGAATCACTTTCCAAAGATGACTCTTCTTCACCATCTTCTTCGTGCTCTTTTCTCTCTTTCTCTTCTTTTTCAACTTCAGATTGTTCGTCAAGATCAGAAAGGTCCATTGTTCCAATCGCGTGTTCCGAAAAGGCATCCAAAGATGTTCGGCTAGGCATGTTAGATGGCAAGGATAGCCGACCAGCACGCGACAAACGTCGAAATCTTCTCAGTTCTGTCGTCTGCTTCCGTAGTTGACGCTCTAGGGTCCTGTTGATAGCTTCCAGAGATGCATTTGTAATCTGTAAGTCCTGAACTTTGCGCTCACGTCTCGCGTTTGCAACTAATTCATTGATCGGTTCTGTGGAATGAACCGACTTAGTGGGGCTTTGCAGACCAGATCCAATCTCATCGGGGGTTTCGGTCTCTTCGTTCTCTGCGAAATCCTCGGCTGCTTGTATGATCGAAGCCAAAGTCAGAGGAGCGGGTGTGGAAGGGACAGTTATGGGGGGAGATGCCTCCGGCGACACGTGAGCGCTCATCAGCTTCGGGGTGCTAGAAAACTGGTCTCCTTTCACTAAACTTCCAGTGCGAGAATGTCCGCCTGGCCGCGACGTGCCGGTACTAGATCGGCGGAGCCCAGGAGACGGCCCTAACTGGGGCGTAGAAAGAACCTGCGGGCGGCCTGCATGGTTGGGCTTGGCGGATGTCTGTGGGACCTGAGATGGCAACTTCGCTGGAGAGTTGGGTCTCTGTGCAAGAGCGTGGCTGGCGCCCGGGGGATTCGTTGCCGGGCGACTAGTAGGTGCTTTAGGAGCTACCGACACTGCCGAACCCGAGCTACGGGAGATCGGAGGCGTCGGAGTATGTCGCATCTCTGGGGTCCCATTGGCATACATAAATTTGCTAGAAATGTTGTCTTGCGAATGGCCAAGACTAGGTGTGAATGAAGTTGGCGAAGTAGGCTTATTGTTCTCTATCGTGTTTCCATTGGCATAGAAAAATGTTGGTCCTTTAGCCTGGACTATCTTGGAGGAAGATGTTGGGCGAGAAGTCTTTACGTCGCTTGCATGGAAGAATTTGGATTCCGAACTATGAGGTGCATCGTTTCTTCCATACCCACCCGCATCTGGCGAGATGGAGCTAAAGGAAGCGCCCGACCTCCTCATTGCGTCTCCGTCGAGTCTCGGGCTCGGTAGACAGAAACTCGACCTAGGATCCCAGGCTTCTGACCGGTCCGGGTTCGGAGTACCACTCGGTGTGCTATTAGCACTGTCAACACGATTTTGTCTCGAGCCAGAACGAGGGGTGACGTTGCTGTTTAGAAGAGGAGCGAACGAGGAATCCTCGACGTAGACTGACCGGTTAGATGGGGTTTCTCGGCTAGCGGTAACCAGAGTAGGATGCTGCTGACGCCGGTTCGCAGGCGTTGTCAAGGTGGGTGCCTGCTGTGTCTTAGAGGCGATCTTGGGTGTCAGAGGGTTCCTGTTTACGGCCCTTGCGGCGGCGGCGCTGAGCGACGGCATCTGCGGTCTAGTCGCGTTCGCATTTGACGGTGGAGGTGGAGATGAAGGTGCGTCGTAGGGCATGTTTCCTGTTCCTAGCTCCTTCAGAGGTAGCCCTGTAACAGTTCCAGCATTTTGGTCTCGTCTCCTGAGGACTGCTCTCGAAGACGCGGGTGTCGATGAAGCAGTTGTTGTTATGGCAGTCTTGGCGATTGTGGCGGTTGTGGTAGTAATTATTGTCGGTCTTGTCTTTGCCCCTGTCCGTGTGCTCGCACCGAATCCTGCGCCCTTGCTTGTTCCCGGACCCTTACTCGTCGTCCTGGATCCAATTGACGTTAGAGATTCAGTAGAGGATAACCTTTTCAAACCGGGCTTGATTGTCGTCGATTGGCGGTAGGAGCTAGGAGCGCGTGTGACTGGAGGCTGTTGTGAGTTGGATGTATGAGGGAGGAAAGTCGCGTTGTGCATAGTTTAAAGAGATAATTATTCGGTATTACGAACCCATGTTTGGTGTGCATATATGATGGCTTGGGCAGGAGGTCTCCACTTATAAAGAAGCAAGCCTATCCAAGGCCCAACGGACAGCTGCGACTGAACTAAAAGTACCTCGAGGTGGTAGTTTAAACCTTTCAGGTTGGCGGGACGCTACCGACGGATACAACGATACCGCTACTCGATGTACATATACGATAAAGATAATCAATTGTACGACCTCGGAAGTTAACTGTATCTAGGTAGATACCAACGGGGGACGGAAACATTGGAAGGAGGTGTCAGTCGACAATAGGGAGGATGGAAAGAAAAGGAAGAAACAACCAAGACGAGAAACATTGGTTTCTCAGAAATTTAATCTGAGTGCATACCCGAGAGAAAGGGGAAACACAAAATGCCCCAGAAAAAAATATGACGTTCCGTGTTTTCTAAACATACGTCTAAATACATATGTTTATCATGTTTAACGTGCGTAGATCTACAATTATACCAATTATACGCTCCTGTCAGCCATGGAGATTATTTATTCATGCGCTAGCATAGGTTGTGCTGTGGAAATGCCCACCGGTTCCCCCGCAGTTCATGAATTAGGGGGGTTTAAGGAGTCTAATAACCCAAAAATACCTATTCATAGGTACTATTAAGTTTGACATGTGCACATGTGGGCTAAATTTGACAGCGCTGTACCCTGTAATTTTGATTGGTATCGTGCTTCGATTGCACCACCAACATTCTTTTTTTATTCCAGCTATCGCGATCCATCGGCTAGGGCCGCGGCCGGGATCATCTTGTACGACATTGACAATCAAACTTTCAGTTACTGCAAATTCTAATATTTTTTAGTTCGGATTAACTTTGAAAAAGAGCATTGAACTTTGGAAAGCATCTGCGCCTACGTAATTGTCGGAATCTAGCCAAAGTCTATTACAGAAACGTTACGCTAGTGACGAGAATTTGTCCGCATTCAGTCTGTAACAGCCGCATAAAAAGAAAGGGGAAAAGAGTGTTGTCTCACGTACGGTACCGCCATATCGCGACCATGGCGCTCGTAGGCCTGTCGCTCGTTTTAGCATCCGTGGTCTACGCCGCCATTTGGAAGCCGTCCTTCATCCAAACCTTCCTAGCGATATGGCGAGGCGACCCGAGGATTCAGCAACCACCAACGACACGTCGTCCTACCCAAGCAGAAGCGAGGTCAGACAGGGAGGATGAGTCAAGCGCAGCGAGTGAAAGGGACGACCAACCCTCAGCCCTACCGGTACCAGCGGCAACATCTCAGACAGCAGCTGATCGAGCAGCCATGCCATCTTCGCCTCTCCCGCCCAAGCTCGTAACTGAACAACCTAGCCACGAAACAGCAACGAGCGCATCTCCACAGACGACACCCAAGGCAACGCCCTCGATAAATCTAGATGGAGATGGTATACCCTCGTTCTCCCTCTCGCCCTCCCCGCCCGCCTCATCCGCCGCTATCGCGCGCGCCGCCGAAGCTCAAACCGCACCCGCCGCCCTCCCAACTCTCTCCGCGCCCTCTCCGCCTCCCCAAACCTCGGCGCCAGCTCTTGCCGCGCCCGCCCCAGGAGCCATGCGCCCACCACCCCGACCTCCCGTCCTCAACAACCTCAACAACGGCCCCAGCAGCGGCGGTTCGCTCCTCGGCGTGCCCGCTCGCGGTCCCGTCCCGAACCGGCAGCACCAGTACGACCGGCAACCCGGGACCTCGACGCTCGCGCCGCCTCCCACGCACAGCAGCAAGCCGGCCAAGCCGTCGCGCAAGGTGACGCTGGAGCCCGGCCGGAGCCCGCTCGACTGGGCGCGCCTGGCCAACCACCCGTCCTCCGACCTGCGGAACCTGGGCCCGGGCGCGCCGTACCTGCGCGTGACGCCGAGCATGCTGCGACGGCAGACGGGGCGCAAGGGCAAGGACGCGTGGACCGCGCTCGGCGGTCGCGTGTACAACATCACGCCGTACCTGCCCTTCCACCCGGGCGGGGAGCCCGAGCTGCTGCGCGTGGCCGGGCGCGACGGGTCGAAGCTGTTTGGTGAGATACATCCTTGGGTTAACTACGAGACGATGTTGTCGAGTTGTATGATCGGGTTGCTGGTCGAGGAGCATGAGGCTAAGAGTACGGGAGATATGGATGCTATGGATTAAATCGCCTTGTACGTTGAGCTCAGTTTTCTACCTGTAAATTCCTAGGCCTCTTGGGGTTTGTAATATTCACAGCATGGTAGAGGGGGGACAGATAAAGCATAGCATGGCGTGGGTCGGGCATTTATTAGAACGGCGAGGAAATAAGCAAGGGCTCATTTTTCGCAATCGGTCAGGATAATTAGGGTGGTTTCATTACTTTCATGGATTACTCGTGGCAAGGCCAGGAGTTAGGTATATAAAGGAGATACCCGCATAGAATCAAGTCCTCCGACAAAAGACGAATGTCATATATCGAGCTAATAAATCCATTATCTCTTCCCAAACCTGAAGCGTAGTCCGTCATCGCTCTCGTCATCACTATCGGCGACAAGTCCAAGCCGAGATCTCTTCGCCGGTTGCTCCTTAGCAGGCGGGGCTGGACGTTTGGATATTCTCGAGGATTGCGTTTTTGCAGATGTGCCCTGTGATGTTGTCCGAGTTGACTGCGATCGTGACTGTGGTGTCTGTTGTGAGGCCCTAGTTGGTCGTGCCTTTGGCGCAGGAGCTATGACAACATCCTCCTCTTCGTCGTCCATATCACGGTCCGCATGGTCCTCATCGTCACTACTATCAACTGCAGGAAGAATCTCAGGAGGCAGTTTCTGCTTCTGCTTCTGCTGTTCCGGCTCATTTACGCGCCCATTTGTGCTTTCCTTGTCACCTGTACTCTGGCTATGTGTCTGGCTCCGTCTCTTTCTCTTCCGTTGTTGGCTCTCGTCTTCTAGCCAGTAATCATCGCCAATGCCAAAGCCTTTTGTCTTGACTTCTTCAAGTGCCACTATAATTTTCTGAGGCGCTCGTCCTAGCGGAGCACCTCTTTGCCGGAACTTCTTAAAATTCTTCCGTCCGTTCCATGCGGGATCCCAGCGACCATCAGCTATGTCCTGTTCCCGTGTGCGCACAGTCGGTACTTGTCGCACTTCCATCGGTGCCTCGATATGCAAGCGGCGTATCTCTGCTAAATCAAGGTCCTCTGGTACCATAGCAAGTTCATCTCTCTCGGCTTTCGCTCGAGCTTCGGCCTCTTCCCGGTTCTGCCGCGCTAGATCTAGTACGTCGATCTCTTTTTTGACCTTTGGAGTCTTAGCTTTAGGTTTCTGTGATTCTGTTACAGAAGGAGTCTCCGGCGTTGGTTGTCGAGGTAAGGGGTCTTCTCCAGCAGCAATGCGGCGACGTTTGACCTGCGCTGCTGTAGGTGCAAAGTCGTCTATTATATCCTGCGACTCAGGTGGTGCTGGAGCACGGCGCTTTCGCTGCGATTCTCTAGTAGCAGGAATAGGCTCCTCTGGTTCTTCTGGCGCAACATCTTGCGATACGAAAAGACCTTCTTGTGACGATTCCACGTTTGCTGTAGGTGGTGCAAAGGCAACCGGAGCAGCGTCTGGGAGGTCGTCATCTTCCAGATCTACGTCGAAACCTTTAAAACGACTTCTAACGGGTCCTCTTGACCGTCTTCGTGGTGGAGGATTTTGCTGCTGGGCTGAAGGTCCGTGCTCATCTACTTCCATGGCTTCCACTGTCGTTGGAGGTTGTGATTCGGCTTGTGGTGCGCGAGGTGCTGTTTCAGCCTGGAGAGGTCGCCGCAAACCACTGGCATCATTATTGAGGATAGCATCGAGGAATTCCTTTTGTTCAATGAGTCGTTGGTCTAGTCTCTGAGACACCGATCGGTAAAAGTTGTTAAACCATTCCCTAGGAGGATCAGGAATCCATCTAACCACGACGACTCCTTTACCTTCACTCCCATCTTCGAACTCCCCTAAGCCTTTCTCCCCTGCGACTTCTTTCACGTACCTCATGAAGGCATCGATATTCGTCTTTCCCTCGATAGCTTCGTTGAGCAATGCTTTGCCTCCACCATTAGTTATGGGACCTAATAGGTTATCGTATTGTTTCTGATTGTAGAATATGAATGTATAGCCATGGAAAATATCAGCACGGCTGGGATTAGGAGCGAAGGCTTCTACTGGCCTAGGCACCGCTTCGTCGCCGGGTGGTGGTACAAATTGCATGGCGTCCGGCCAATTTGCGTCGAAGTCGGCCTCCAATGCACTTGTGGCCACGCCATCACCAGCATCTTCGGATGTTGCAGCAGTAATAATGGTATCATAAAATTCCGAGGTAACGATGTAGCGACCATTAACAAGGGCTTGTAATGTCTTTGGCATGTTCCTTTTTCTCGATACTACATGCGTGGTGGATTGGTCGTAGTCAGCAAGAAACTTGATATCAAGTTGCTCGAGGTCTTCTCGCAGCTTTGATAAGGGGTTTGCTTGGATTTCTTTGGCAGTGAAGGAGAAGCTCAATACGACAGGAAACCAGGTGATGCTAAGATAGGTATCCGTCATCAGCAATTGTACGAATAAATGCGCTCAATTGGGTATACGCACCGAAACTTTGATGTGAACGAGCCCATTTGAAGTACATTAACATCCTGTGAAAGGATGCGTTTTTCGCCCTTGACCTTCTCGTTGTTTATCCATGTCCCACCCTTAGAGCCTAGGTCTTGGACCGTAATACGTGAGCGCTTCGAAACGATTTCCTAACATATTTATTTAACCAAAGGTACAGTTTTTCATGTATTCGGGATGTCATACCCCATCACCTTCGGCTACCTCGTCAACTTGGATGGTAACGTGTTTGCGCGATACTCTCTCGGCCCCTTCTCCTTTGATGGCCAGCTGGCCAGCTATCTTCTCATTAGCTGACGGCATTCCCGTAGAAATGGCATTAACACAGAGGGAATCGCATACGTTCAGCGACAGTTCGGCCAAAGAGGTAGCGCTTTCCGGGTCGCAGCCAAAGCCGCTTACCTAGATAATTATGGTCACGTCAGCATTCTAGAGCAATAGATAGAGTAGGGGAATATATCAGTTCCTACCGTCAAGGGCTTCGCCTTCGTTCTCTAAAAGCCACATGATTGACTTAAGACCAGGTTGAAGACATGGACGAATCCGTGATGCAGATTTAAAGTGGTTACAGATAGAGGCCTAGACGAGCACCTAGTGGGGTGGGGATGATGCAAGAAGCTTGAGGCTTGAAGCGTGTTGAGAACGCGAAAGAAACTCGTTATCACGTGCGACAATGTGAGTACCTTTGTACTTAGGTACCTTCTATGTGAATGGCATCAATCCAACCTTAAACAAACCTAAGAACTTTGAAACCCTGCTGGATTGTGTAACATATGTATACTCTGACGTATTAGGTATGACATTTACACTACCGATAAAGAACGACAGAAAGAAGCCATATACCGCGACTGTACTTATAGTTGTTGATACTTGCTCCTTCCAGACTTCTATTATTAGTGGCTTGTTAAATTACCCCTGCACCAGCTGCCCCAGACTGGATTTATGTTGCGATATCCATTAGTATTTCTATAAATGACAGCCTTGGGTAATACCAAAGTCCTATATCCTACCTACCTAACAGTCAGAGTGACTACCTATAGGTAGGTAAAGGGTTCATGCTGCGCTGCACATGTTAGATGCTTGAGTAATTGTCAGAATTCATCAAACTATCGATGAAGATCTTCTATTTAATCGCTTTCAATGGCTTCTAGAGGACGCTTTACGGTAGTTCTCCTATCAATACGGCGCCTTCATGACGTGAGCGACAATGGCACCCCAGCAGCCAGCTGAGAGTTATGCCTAAGGGGCTGGAAGCAAACGGTATATAATCGCCTAGGAATTCCGTGTTTGTTCTCTTCTAGTACAATCCGAGTCCAAAGCACCAAGCCACTGTCTCCTTCTCTCCTCGAGATCCTTTGGTTCGCGTACAATCGCCATCTCAAGATTCTTGGTTAAGGTATTGACCGAAAACCTACGACTGTAACACGATACATCTCAACAGACTGAAATCATCTTCCAATATGCGAGGTGCTTTCAGCACATACGCCCTAGGGGCCATCCTCGGAAGCTTGCTGTTCTCCGGTGCCCATGCCCAGATGAAAGTCAGCAGCTTTGATGGCAACGTCACAGATGACGAGTTAAAATCATTCAACGACTTCGTCACTACGCTAAAGCCTGGTACATCGAACAAGGGCAACGAGTGGGCTCAGGGTCACAGTGGTGAACAGATAAAGGCAATGGGCCTTGTCTACCAGATGGCCGGAGAGAAGGAGACTCTTGACCAGATGCTCCGATTTTGCGATGCCGTGCTATCGGAGAGGAACGATTTAGCGAAGGCTCCAGTAGGCCAGTATAAGATTTGGACTGGAGGAATCGACCCTGTTTGGCCAAATGATGTCACTAAGACACCGATCGCTACCGGCGGAGAGCAAGGCGACCCAGTCGGGCACCTAGCTAGTTGTTCATACCTTATTTTGAACACGAAGAATCTCTACAGCCAGAAGGTAGCTATCGGCGACCCTCACAATTATGGCGCTACCTACTTAGAGCGGGCCAAGACCTACCTCAAGCAAGCAGATGCCTCGATGAGCAACCACATCCTCAAGCGGCTGTTGGATGTTTCGAACGGAAATAAGATGTACTTCGCTAAGGACGCGCCTTATATGGGCGGCAAAGCCGTCCCCTGGAACCAACAGATGATGTTCAACTACGCATTCCTCAACCTTGTCAACGCGCACAAAATCCTCAATGACAACCCCACGTTGCTAAACAAGTACAAGTCAGTCATCAGCGCTAGCATAGAATGGTTCTTTCATGGTGGAGGTGCCCAGACCAAGAAAAGCAAGAAGGGTAGCACAGTCTACGACTGGGGTTATACCATGCCCAAGACAAGCGGAGAAGACTCGAACCACGGCGCGCTTGACGTTGCTGGGTTTGCCCGTACTTATATCGACGGCAGCTACGGCATCACGGCCGACGAGATGAAGACCTTGGCCAACGTGTTCGTCGATGTCATGACTCTAGGAGACAAGAAGTATGCCGGGACTGTGGACGGCCAGTCCAAGGGCGGCCACGCTTCAGCTACCACCTCTGTCCGCACCGGATATCTGTTCTTGGCGGAATTCCGACCAAATGCTTACGAGTCTATGATGTCCGCGGATCTTGCAGTCGGGAAAACTACCAAAAGCACCGATGCGTTCTCTCGTTTTCTGTGGGTGAAGCATCGACGTGCTGGTGCAAAATAAGTCAAACATACCCAAAAGAATACTGTCTAGATTGAGTAATATCTCACGGGATGTATTGAGAAGAATTGATAGCGACACATACGACTCATATTTTCTTGTATGTACATTTAAAATATAAGATGACATATCCAAACAAGACCATTATCGAATTAACTCTTATGAATAATAAGTGACAGGATTCGATTATATATTAGATTGCTTTATCTAAAAATCTCTCGTAAGTCCTAGAAGTCCTACCGCAAAAGTCCTATATATAGCTTCGGGTCATAACATAATCCTCTCTCCCCTCTCCTAGCCAATCCTCTGGCATCCTCGAGGCAGACAAACGTCTTCTACATCACAATAACCAACTAATTAGCCATCAATATTATCTTGCGAAACTATCCGCTTGGATTTTATGGTCCCAAACTATCGCAATTGTTTCTAGGAAATATGGTAGCAAAGGTTGGACACTCCGCTTCATCAGCATGCACAACCGTTTGCGCGGCCGCCTGCTTCTGGCCTCTTGTAGGGGTATACTACTGCATCAAATACTCGTTTAAAGCAGCAGAGGCGACAGTTGGAGCTGGCTACGACGCCTACAATCGCCGGCGGGTCAGGACCCGTCGGCTCCCCAAATCAAAGCCGTTGGCCACAGTATCCTCTTCATCCCAATCAACCACGGCTCCTCCCGTTATAGGAACGACGCGCACATCGTTCCTCCACCTTCCGCCGGAGATTCGCCTTCATATATACCGGCTTGCGCTCGTTGGGCCGGCTATCATACAGGTGCGCACCCATTCGTCGTTCTGGGGTCCACGGCCGTCCACCTGGGATCCCGCGCAAGGCATCCGCGACGACGCGGACGCGCCGAGCGAGGCACTGCGCCGCATTACCAGGCTCGGCGGATCGTGGCTTCATCCGCTGGTCACTCCGCCTAGCCACGGCTGCGTGCGGTACGGCGCGGTGTCGCAGTTGATCTGCGGCGAGGGCCGGCATTTCGTCCCGGGATGGGTCCAGCCGGAGAAGACGGCGTTCCCTACGGACTTGATGCGCTCGTGCCGCGTGGTGTACGGCGAGGTTCTGGATGTGTTGTATGCAGGTAACACGATCTCGCTGTTCGGTGCTGATATGGCGCGCTATTTCTGCCGCAACGCGAGCCCGGAGGGTTTGAGTAGAGTGCGCTTCGTGCATGTGGCGCATGTCATGCCGTCGGATGGTTGGGATTCGTCTTCGCATATGAAGAGTGTTCGAGCCTCCATGCGCATTCTGCGGGACGCTCTCCCGAGTCTTCGACAGCTTGATGTTGAGGTGGCCTTAACGTATGGCCAGCCGGAGAATCCGGACAAGCTCTGGGCTTGGCTGAGGGAAGATGTTCTTGGACAGTTCCGTGACTTAGAGAGGTTCGTGCTGAAGGTTTCTGTGTATAAACATTTCAGACCGGACCGACCTAGGGGCCATGAGGGATGGACACCACCGTACGAACCATTAAGCTCATGGAATGATGGCGAGTACCAAAATCTGAAAGATAGGGTGATGTCATCCGGCTGAGATGGCTTCATCTTGGTTTCCCGCACGTCTACTCTACATTATGTGGGATAATTGCTTAGGGCTTTCAGGTGTTTCCTAGGCGTTTGGGTATCTTGGACGGCGTCGTCTTTGTGAATTATTGCGAATATTTCAATATTCCAGCCTTGCATTTGAGATTCGTGAAATAAGCACTTGAGTATTCATTATATAATGTACTTCATCCACATTTCGTAAAGAACTTAACCCATATACTCCACCCAGGAATAGACCACATCCACCTTGTATTTCCCAGGCCTTTTCTAGCACTCTGCCCAACCATATTTTCGTCAGCGTAATATATACATCATCATTATTGTCATCGTCATTATCAGCATATTGTGTTTAAAGAATCGCCCAGCCATCTGCAAGATTTCGCAAGCTCAATACCCGCGCGAATGTCTCCTCCCGTCGCGCGATCTCCGCACGTCTCTCTCGTCAGCATAGTAAGCCGCTGGCGGAGCGCGAGGACTCCTGCTGCGGTCGACGTAGGCGGGTCTCGTGACGCTCACGACGGAGGTGCGCCGCGGGCTCCGGTGAGAATGGCGCGAGTGCGACCGGTGACGGTGGCCGTGTATCTCCCGGGGGTACCGTGTCGACCCGCCGTAATAGTGGGTGTGCGGCGGCTTCTCGTTATCCGGCTCAAACGTTTCCCCCCACGCCCCCGGGTTGCGGTAGTTGATGCAGGACCGGATAATCCAGAGCAAGATTAGGAAACCGGCGATAGAGCCGATGACGATTCCGGCGATCGCTCCGCCCGACAGATTGTTTGTTGGCGTGCTACTACCGGTTGTTACAACGGTTGTGGTTCCTTGCTGGCGGGCCGCGAGAACTTTAGTCACGGCTTCCGGCAGAGTTCTTGTTGGCTTAATGTGTTCGAGCTCGCGAGCCAAAACTTGGCCAATGGATGAGCTATCCGATGTCGAAGTGGGTAAAATTGGAGGCATGATAAATATCGCTTTTTCTCTAATAGCTCTCAACGCTCAATGGCTTCTATTAGGAATCTCAGATAGTCGATAGTTGCAGCTATGCCGTATAGGTTGACTTAGGGCTGATATAGAGTTTGACGGTGCGAGGACAGGTACTTGATGGGGTCAGTAAAACATGAATCGTGAGTCGGGAGGTGCGGCGGGTAGAAGTAATGGGGATTGCCATCTTGATATTTGCACAACGTGACGATAACATGGACGACGAACGATGACGCCATGGCTGCGAAAGGGTGTAACCAGACATGCTGGGCTTTACCCGAGAAAGTTGGGATGCCATCCGCTATCTCCAAGTGTGTCTCGTTCTTGGCTCTCCGATGTAGGTACCTATTACTTACGAATTCGCCTGGCAGGTAACATCTGTATTTCTTGGAAGGCGTAGCTGCATTTACTTTTTTTCCTTGCTCGTTAGCGTCTACAGCGAAGGAGAAGCTCCGGAAAACTTGGCACTGTCATTGGTCCTTCCAAGCCTCCTCACCTTAATGCGGCTCGCGATAAATCACTATGATGTAAACCTGAAAAGAGCCCTGTGGGGAGATGTCATTATACATCTATAGTCAGGTGTATGTAGCAGTTTTAATATACTACCTATGTATGTAGCGCTTGGAATGTTGAGTAACGGATATCGTTTCTTCGAGGCAATGGTAGTGGATGTCGTATTCGTATCATACCGTAATATGATCCAACCTCGCATATCACATGCAATGGTTTGTTTAGTTGCGTTCAAATTCAAAACTCGTTCTAGTCACTGCGGCTGACAACTTTGCTCATGATAACATAGTCGGGGATGAATTCCTTGCCAAATCGTAGCCTTCTCGGTTCTGGTGATATCTCATCTTTCTCGAAACCGGCTTTCTTATAAAATGCAAGGGCCCGCTGATTGGATAGGTAACAGGTAAGCATTACCTTCTTTATAGGAGGCGTGTTCGCGGCGACCTTCTCGAGGAATCCTATGAGCGTCTTGGCTAGACCGGTCCTACAGAATATAACTAAGCAATGCAATGGTTGACATAGTAAACAGATGATTGCCGTACCCTTGTAGCTCAGGTTTAAGATGAATTTCATAGCAGTATACGACGGGCTCTCCTTCTTCATAAGTCGGCATTAAAGAGGTGAAGCCGCGTATGCTTCCTGCATTGTCCTTCACGGTGATGTATCTCAACTCGGGAGACTTCATCTCGGTGAGCTTTTTGCCCGGCTTCCACCCGACCGACGAGGACTCGTAGTCAGGACGACTAGTTTCTTCGACTAGTCTAAAGCAGGCTTCAAGATCGTCGGTACTCAGATTACCGGACTGGACGAGGTTAAGAGAGTACTTCGCTTCTGTCTTTGGGTTGATCCACTCGGTCCATGCTGGAGTACTAGATTCGACGTCAATGAACATATTGCCAACTCGGCCGCTCCTAGGAGATATTTTACCTAGGACAGAAGTGTTCTCTAATGAAAGTATCATCATCTTTCAGATTTGCTCGCTCGATGGGGTTTGTAGAAGCACGTCTGCGCTTCACGCTCTGCTTAAGGGTCTTCATCGTCATCTTTTACGTGGGCACGATGAATGGAAATCATGAACGTCTCTGTGTACTATCATCGTGCGCCGAGGGTTGGCTTTACAGCGATTGCTGACGAGCATTCATTTACGGATGATGTTACCCATGAGCCTGAGATTTTTGATATAGGATGTCGGAAGTTACATAAGAGTTAAAATGAGACTTGAATTATTAGGAGTTATACCTAGAGTGCGAACTATGTACCTAAGTACTTGCAGTTAAATGGCCCAAGTTTATAGCCCCGCTATATGGTAGGACGTAACTGAGGTTTCTGACGTCGTTTAGCTGCATAAAACCTGGAACTTGAAAGAGAGGAAATCCAAAAATCGAAGTATTCTCGGTCTTTGCATAACAAATCCATAATCCCTTCGGATTCCTAAACGTCCAACTCTTCTAGACCCATGCGTCTACTTCGCAGTCGATCGAATCTGTGTTCTACCATTTCGATCCGGAACTATGCGACAAGTTCACCTAAGGGTCGGCTAGGCACTGCCCTAAGCCTAGATCATGTATGCCCATCTCTCTATTAATACTTCTTCCCGGTTCCTACAACTCTTATGGTTTCCATAGAACACTTCACATATTCGAGTGATCCTCGAACTTACACGTACATAATATAGTTCCTTCTACGCTCGCGCGCCCTATCGCTCTATCGCAGCGTAATTCGAGGTACACGCAGAATCGGTGACCCGACGACTCGTTCCGAGACACGAAACTTTGCGCGCGCCGAGCTCGAGCGGCACCGCCATGTTACTGATGTAGGCCACATACGCTATCTATTATCGACCGGCAAGACGGAATGGGAGAGTATGGAGAGGTATATAGATGGGATGTAGAATATGTACTCTGTGGTCTATCGCGGCTTCACGATGCCGGCTGACATGCAATCGTATTGAAATATGATAGAGCGCCACGGCTTTTAATGCAGACTAAGGTCATGCAATTCTTGTTTCGTCACCTAGGCCGTATTATACATCTATGGACATCATAGCCGTCTCCCGTCTCCTGTCTTCTGTCGCTATCGCATTGCTTTGATCCGCCCATATCCGCGATATACTATCCTTGTCGTTGCTTATGTCTTGGGTTCGCGCTACAGATGATATAGAGGTAGCCCCGGTGTCGCTTGCCAGCCTTTCTCCTCACGACCTACAACAACTCTAGCCTTAGTAATTGTCTCGAGTATCACATGCACAGGACTGTGGCTGGTCTGCTGGTCTGATGATCTGACTCACCTTGCAGTGCTCGCACCGCTTCTTCACCGAACTGTGGACCTTCATTCCTCTTGTCTGTTGTTGTGCGATGGCTTGCACCGCTTTCGTCGCATTTATCGTCGTCGCCGACGGTCTCGTTGCGAGTCTCGGAGTGAGAGTTGTTTGAGAGATGCTGCGGATAGGCTGCTGTGTCCGCGTCCGCAGCACTCGTCGGGAGGCTGGTGCCGCGCGAAGGGACAATGCCCGAAGCGACGATATTAGGGAAGGGGCCGCCATCTTCGAAAGACAGGATTGTTGTGTTCACTGTTCGGAGTGGTGATAGATGTCAATGTACAAAAGTATCCAAAGTATTGTACGATGGAAAATCCGGAGCTAGGAGTGTGGGGATTCTATAGTTGAAGTTTATTGGCTAATCGACTAAGATCCTTATATGTAGTATGCACGTAACCATATGTACAGGATCCAATTTACCTAGTATGCACATGTGTACATAGATTGATCCTGACGGCCACATCGCCTACATATGTAAATCACACATCACAGCAAGAGGCTCTCTGCTATTTTAAATGTATCCCTTTTATGGTACCTATTACCGTTCGCCATTTCCATTAGTGTTTTCGACGATCAATGATGAAGCTTGTAATAACTCGCCGCAAACCCGCAAAACTCCCATCACATCACGATCCAGACTCGATTTCATAAATCCTAACCGATTAGGCTAGCATACGCACCGAATTGCAAACTCGTAGCTACCCTCGACCTTTAACTCCTCAGGAATGTCTTGAAAACGGGGCTTTGCGTGCAGTCTTCCCACGGATATCCGATCTCCTTGAACGACTTCTCTAGGTCCGGCACTTCCGCGTCAGGGCATTGTATGCCCGCTAAGATCTTGCCCACATCACTACCCCCATTTCGGTACTGGAATAAGCTGATGTTGTACCTCAAACGTAACGTGCGCAAGAACTTCTCTAGCGCACCGGGGCGTTCGGGGAAGGTGAACATGTACAATCTCTCGTCAGGCACGTCAGATCGTCCGCCTACGAGATAGCGGATATGTGACTTGGCAAGTTCGTCTCCCGACAAGTCTGTAGCGGTCATGCCGTCGTTGTTGATCCTATCAATAAGCGCCTGGAGCTCTTGCACTCTTTCAGAAGCTGCGCCGGTCAATGATATCCCAATCAGGATGTTAGCTAACTCGCTAGTCGCGTAGCGATACGAGAATTCCGTCACGGCATGGGGCATAACATGATTAACCAGCTCGGCAAATGCTCCAGGTCTCTCCGGAATGCTCACGCGGAGCAGGGCCTCCTTGCCTTCGCCGAGGGTAGCGCGTTCGGCTACGAAGCGCAATCTGTCGAAGTTCATGTTCGCACCGCTTGTGATGGCTATGACGGATCGATTCGAGTCACTCGACGGATTTGCCACAACCCATTTCTTCAGGCCGGCGAGAGCTAGGGCGCCCGCCGGCTCTACTATAGAGCGAGTATCCTCGAATACGTCTTTGATGGCGGCGCATGTCTCGTCAGTATTTACCTCGATAACATCATCGATCACCTCTTGGCATATTCGGAAGGTTTCCTCTCCCACAGTCTTGACTGCTGCTCCATCGGCGAACAGCCCAACTTCCTTAAGCACCACTCGCTTCCCTTCTCGCAGAGACTGGACCATTGCATTGGCGTCCTCGGTTTCGACTCCGATTATCTTGACGTGAGGCGCAATGCGCTTGACGTAGACTCCAATGCCCGCGATAAGGCCACCTCCCCCTACGCAGCAGAATATGGCCTCGAGCTTTTGGATGTTCGTCTGTCGCAACAGCTCCATTCCTATTGTTCCCTGACCAGCGATGACATAGGGGTCGTCGAAGGGTGGAATGTTGATGAGGCCATGCTGCTGTTCTAGCCTTGCGCATTCTTCCTTGGCGGCATCAAAGTCTGCGCCGTGAAGCACGACGCAGCCGCCTAGTCTCGAGACGTTCTTATGCTTGATGCTCGGCGTACCCGAAGGCATGACGATAGTTGCGGGTATCTTGAGAATTCTAGCAGAATAAGCTACTCCTTGGGCATGATTTCCTGCACTGCAAGCCACCACGCCCTTCCAGCTCTGGTTTCGGTCGAGATGGGCCATCTTGTTGTAAGCTCCGCGTAGCTTGAAGCTGAAAACGGGTTGCTCATCTTCTCTCTTGAGTAAGACATTGCATTCGAGTCGGTTCGAGAGGTTTGTGGCGGGTGCGAGGGAAGTCTCTTTGCATGCTTCGTAGACTCTCGAGGTAAGGATCAGACGGAGATACTAAAGGAAGTACTTATTAATCGCTCATGTTTCTAAAGAAAAACAAAAGTACATAGTAAGTTTTGACGAACATCAGGATGTCCATTAGGCAGGATGAATTCCTCCGGCACGATCTGCTTGATTCTGTCTTGTCTGCGCTCCGATGGCGGCGACGGGTTTGCGCTGTACTCGGTAAGGGAGAGGCCTGATAACGAAGGAGTGCGCGGTACGTGGCCGTTGATACCATTACCGGCACCATTTGCCATTACGGTATCAATTGGGGGAGCTGTAGCTCCCGGCATGTTAAAATAATAATAATTGTCGTTGTCGTGGTTATACAAAACACAAGTGTGCTAAGCTAAGCGTCACAAAATTATTTCAGACTTTCTCACTTAGTGGGGCAGCCTCTAGTTGAACTAACCTTATGGTGGGATGCATGATGCATCGAGCTTGCAGGAGCTTTAGTGGGGTTCTACAGGTAGGTACCCGCCTAAACTTTCGTGCTTTTAGCAGATGATGGAGGGGTCATGGCAGTATCCATCTATCAGGGATTACGGTAACCCTTTGTTCGGTAGTCGGCGAGAATGCCCTGAGGTGAGGTATGTAAGTATCGGTTAAGTACCCCGGTATTCGGTGTAATCCACGTCTTATCACTTTATCGAGTGGCACACGAACTGGGTAGGTACCGCAAAGATCCCTACGTATTGAATCCGTAGCAGCTATATCATTGAGAGCACATTTCGTCAAAGCCTTGGACTCGATTTCAATTTCGACTTCAATGTTTCTAATTTGCGCAATCAAACTTAGATTACCAACGCCTGCACTGCATTCAAAAGTCTACCTGTGGCAATTCCATTGGAGTTAATTTACAACAAGCTATCGAGGACGAAGCGGTCTTTTTAAGATCCCAACGCGGACTGATTTTCAACATGGCGGATAGGTCGATGCCCTCGTCCTTCGACGAAAATAAGTACATCTGCTCCCTGTTCTTTCTCCGCATCTCACATTCGAATACGTCACCATTGGTGCATGTACTAGTAGCTTATAAGTCCACTTGTCTAGAGATTACAATGAAACTGCGGCTCAGAAGATAGGCCGTAAGCTACGAGAGGAGCCTCTCATCCCACTCGGTAAATCGCCCCTCAACCCAACTTCGACATCTCTATAGACTCCCGGTCTATGGTCAGTCCATAGTCTAGTAGGTAATCTGATAACCCTGATTAGGCACCTTACTCACCACCCTCGCCGTCATCAATGCCTGGCGAGCTATGCGCCGTGGCGACCATGCGCAGGTGCAGCGCATGTTTCGGGCACGAGTGGGCGCCCAGGCCTTTACAGTCCTAGCAATAGTGGCCGGCGGCGCATATTATGGGGCGGATAGGGAGAAGCGAAAGGAGCTGATCAAATTAGAGGCCCAGCAGCGCGCCGAGGAAAGGCACCAAAAGTGGTTGAAAGAACTCGAGGTTAGGGATGAAGAAGACAAACATTTGAAGGCCGCCATGAAGAGGAGACAGGAGCGCGTCCAGCAAAGACGTGCCCAAGAGAAAGAGAAGGGAGACGTGCTGGAGGATGAGACCCGGTCCAATACCGATAGCGACGGGCAGGATAAAAAGGAGACATCGAATGTTTTGGGCGCTTTGGCAGATGTTGGCGGTTGGTTTGGGACGAGGAAGAGTGAGAGCGCAAACATACCTGAAGATAAAAAGGCCGAGAAGATGGCAAAAGCGGAAGCCACTAAGAAATAAATCATCATACACATACATTATCAAGCTTATGATCGGGTTGACTTCCCTAAAAGCAGCGAGGTATCAAAATGGGATCGGAAGGAAACAGCCAGAGGACATCTGGGATGGTAGGGGACCAAAAGCTGGGCTCTGTTGATAGGTTGTCTATAAAGGACCATACCTCGTGCCATTGTATATACCAAGCAATAAGTTAGGTTCAACCGCCTGAAATTGTCTGTTGCACATATGGTAGATCTAAGCCCCTGAAAGCTATTGAGCTATACAGTCAACGCCTACGACCTCTAACGCCGCCTTCTTTCAGCCTTGTTGTAAATCAGGCCATAGAACCCCCACTCCTATTAGCTCCGACCAGCCCTGCCATTTCGAGTAACGCTCGATCCGCGGCAATATCGCCCGTGCCTAAGTTGACTCTTCTCCTGGCTTCGGCCTCCCGGGCCTCCCATTCCCACTTCTCTCTCTGTATCCTTGCCTCTTCGTCGCCACCGCAACCCCACACTTCAATTTCGTCGACTTGGAAGCGTTCCTGGAAATTGTACTTTCGAGACGCGCTAGTTGCGAATGCGCCGCCGCGGGATGCGTAGTCGTGGGTAAAGACTCCAAACTCAAAGCTCGAATCGACGACAAGCGACACAGGTCCCAGATGTCGGATCGACTGGTGGCGCGAGGACTGGCTCACCCTTGGATGTGGGCAACCAAAGTTGATTCCCGGATTCGTGATCGGTGGTTTCGCAAACGCTACATAGTCGCGGTTTATAATGGAAGCCGGGAAAACGTCGTGAATTGGGGCAAGCTGAAATAGCAGCATATCCTCGCCTCCAAAACATTCCCTGTGGGTGTGTCGCCACGGTTGTCTGACAAGCGCCCCGAACACTAAGCGGTCGCGATCCGGCGGGCTTCCATTCGGAAACCGTTTCGGGGGTAGAGAGTCATTAAATGTCCCTTCTGATCCACCATGGTTGGGAGTATCCGAAAGCCTAGTCCCGGATACCAGTAGGATAGTCGGCGCACGCCAGTTGAAAACCTTTGTTTCAAAACTACCCATCGAGAACCCGGCTTCCGAGCCCGAGTATAGCAAGCGCAGACGCCGGAATAGTTCGTTCCCACTAATGAAGAACGACAATTGAGACAAAATACTTAAATTTAGAATCTGGCCACTCCCTTGAAGCAGGGGAGGTTGTACGACCGCTGGGGATATGGTCTTAGACATGCCATCTTTTCTTCTAGAGAAGTCGAGGTCCTTGGCAAAAAGGAAGTGCTCGAAAAGGGGATTGAATCCGTCAAAAAGAAAGGGGAAACTGGATGGGAGAACATTCTTGAACTGGGGATATGTGATACCAGGGGATTTCTCCACATTGATGAAGGCTGACAAAATATTCTCGGCTGTGGCCCTCAGATCTTCGAGATCCGTGCCAGTAACCCGATGCGCGTAGCTAGAGAGGTGCTCCTGCGCGTCCAACGGAGATACTAGAAGCAGTAGCATAATCAGCTTCCTAAAGTTGTCTGCAGGAATCATGGCCCCATGCGTAGTAGCGGCGTGCGAATCGCCCGCTCTGAAAGCATCGTCCATATCCAGAGAGTCCAATGCAGCCAAGACAAGCTCGTCGTCGTCCGCTGCATCGTCGTCCAGTTCGTCGCCGGCCTCGTCAACGGCAAACCCAGGCACGTGACTGCTAGTATTTCGCTCCGATATACCTGTGCTATTCTGCTGCTTCTCGATCTCTGATAGCTTTCGGTCGTATACGGCTAGGCTCTTGAAAAGCAATTTCCTTCTGCTACTATTGCCTCTCGCTAATATCTTAGCATATCGCTCGGTCATAATAGCGACAGCCATAATCATCTGTTCGAAGCCCAGGATAACCGGGGCATCTTGGAGGAATGGGAAGGCACCGATATACGACAGCATGTGAAACACGACGGGCGAGACGGCGAGTATGTCCGGAAGCTCGAGAAAACGGGCAATACTATCCTCCTTAAGATAGCGCACATTTTGTTCGTGGTCGGCGAGCGATTTGAAGTTGTGTTTGAAGGAATAAAGCTCGAGAGGCTCGAAACATTTGCGAGCGAACTTCTCTGCCTGCGTGACGGGCGGAATGTCAGCTCATCTTGGGCTTGAAAGGGTGGGAAAGCTCGAGGGCTAGCAATGATTACCAGGTCTGCTGTAATTTCCTCTTTGGAAGGAGGCCTAGCCTCATCTGACAGGGACTGTCCCATGTTTTGCTGGTGGAGAAGATGAAGCCATTCCAAAGGAAGATGAAAGGTTTATATTGGAACGGATAAGGTTAAGAGGCATTGATGTTCTTTAGGATGTGAGCTTACTAGGTAAGTTTGGTATTGTACCTTGCCTTATGTCATTTTAAATCAAAGCCCCGTACCCCGGCTTACGTAGGTACATGATACCCAGTAGCGAACCTACCTACACTAAAGTCTGAGCTTCCAAGGTTGTGGGGGTGATGGAGCGTCGCTAGGATGGTGTGCCTAATAGTAACATCCCATTTGTATTGCAGGTAGTATCAAATGTACCAGTGTACCAAAGTTAAGTCTTAACCTACTAGTAGTAGTCCACATGTGCAGCTGAGGAAGTATTCTATGTTCAACCTTTACATTATATTCGCTATTAAGGACAACAATGAAGTTCTCTAATAATAACCTATTATAATCTATTTTTAGTCGGAATCTTCTATATACCATTGTTTTCTGGGACCGATTCTTCATGGCTTTCCTTCAAACAAAGGTCTCATTGTGTCATTAATAAGTATACCAACGCAAGGTAGCCCTTCAAAGTAAACCATCTTTATCATTCAAGGAATATATATAGTTGAAATGCTCCTCGCTCTACCGATCGATATTGGTTTCTTTTGGAAATGACTGTAACTAATCGCAATGCATATTTCCTATAACATTATTCTTGGGCTTATTGCCCTCAGCACAGCAAGGCCCGCTCCCTCGCTCGACAACAATATCAATCTCGCCATTCGAGCGGGATCAGAACCTCAGTGGCCAGACGTCATGAACCAGATCCAACAAGCATTTGTGCAGGCATGTCATAATACGTGCATGAAGCTATTCCCGGATGAGGGAACAAACCACGACGACTGTATGAAAATATGCCGTAAGTAATCTCTTTTATAATCTCTATAGACTTTGTTCCAACTGCCCTCTTTCGATCACTCAACTCAAGAAGCACTGCTAACTTAAGATGTTAACTATACAGACCATAATCAGACCAATTCTAGCTCGACAAACACAGATCCAGGTATGTAATACCTGTGGTGTAAATAAATGACAGGAAAGACTTCGGTCGATGAACCACAGCACTTTGAAGCTGTGACGCGCGAGAGTCTGCGTCTTCGTTATTACTTTTAAGCTGGTCTGCACGATTTTCAAGTTTATCGTATAATAATTCTTCCTCCTTTTTTTTTCATTTATATACCTATATTAAAGCCCATATGCGTTATCATGAACTTAACGAAGCCTCGATGTTTATTTGCTGGGACTAAAGTGTTTTGATGTTAAATATTACTGGCCATGTTGGGTTACGTTGAATTTACACGTGTAAATCTATGACCGTCTAATGTCGTTCTAGGCTCTCAGGGGATCATCGAAGCTGGGATGACCCCCAATACTTAAAATATCTAGGTAACATCAGGGTCCTTCAGGGACTCCACCCCGTCCACTCAAATCCACCTTCACATGCCCTGTTTCGATATGTGAAGCAGACGACGTCTCAATTCATCATGTGGGAAAGCCCTGCATAGGATGGCTATGGTGCAGCATACGTCTCAATGTATGAATGCGCAATGACACTAGTAAAACAACTCCGTTTCCTTCTTTTTCGTTATATAATTCTTATAAGTATCTTGGTCGCAATGCTCTGTAACTTACTTCCCAGTTCCTGTATTCTTCCAGGTAATACATAATATAGAAGACTAAGTAATATCAGCCCAACATGTCTGTAACTATCGCTCCCGTCAAATGCGACGATAAGAGAGACGAACAGCAACATAAGTCGGCTTGGTTTCAATTCATCAAGGTACGGCCATCGTAATCTACTCCTTTCCTTCTAGAGGTTGAACATTCAACCCGCTGATTCGGATCATAAGTCTGTCGCAACTTTCAAAGGAGACCTTGCCTCGTTAACTGCGCCGCCCTTCTTACTCGCACCTCAATCCATTGTTGAATATAGCACATACTGGGCTGAGCATCCGAGTCTCCTCGTATCGCCTGCGAGAGAACAATGTGCGCAAAAGCGAGCTTTACGAGTTCTCCAGTGGTTCTTGAGCACCCTTAGACACCAACACGCGAGCAAAGATGAAAATGGCAAGAGGAAGAGGATGAAGCCTCTAAATCCATTTTTAGGGGAGATTTTCTTGGGGAAATGGCTGGACGACGCCGGAACGACGCATTTAGTGACCGAGCAAGTCTCTCATCATCCTCCGGCGACAGCCTTTAAGATATGGAACGACACGCATGGAGTCAAGGTAATCAAGCTTCTGTCAATTCCTAGCCAGCCTTTCCCCCTTATCGGCGCTATGTTGGCTAACATCAACTTAGCTCGAGGGCCACGTCGCCCCAAAAGCCTACTTTTCATCCACCATAAATATAGAAAGAAAGGGATACAGCGTGTTACATATCGATAGGTACGATGAAGACTACTGGATTACGATGCCAAAAGTTCATGTCGAAGGCATCGTAACATTGCAGATTGCCCCTGAGCTTAACGGAGTCTCGTATATCCGCGGCTCCTCGGGCTACACGTCGCGTATCAACTATTCAAGTAAAGGTTGGATAAAGGGGAAGAGCAACACATTCACGGCCAGTATATACCGAGACAATGACGAAAGCAACCCCATATACGTCCTAGAAGGTCGTTGGTGCGACTCATATACAATTAAGAATGGCGAGGGGAAGTTGGTCGATACGGTCAACCTCACTTCGTTGCAGAGGACGCCGCTTCAGGTTGCGCCAGTCGAGTCGCAACATCCCCTTGAATCGAGGCGAGCGTGGAAGCACGTCGTCAATGCTATCCACGCGAACGACATCTTCGCCGTAGGGCACGAGAAGAGCAAAATCGAAAATGCGCAGCGCGTGCTACGTAGACAGGAGAAAGACGCGGGCGAAACGTGGAAGAGACGATACTTTACACAGGTGAAGGAGGATCCCGTAGCCGAAAAGCTGTCGATCAAGGGTAATGCCGCGTCTGGGGATGAGCACGATACAATGATATGGAAATTCGACGATGAAAAGTACAAGAGGATCTTAGATGATCAGCGGAATGGAATCAAGAGCCCCACCCATTCTCGTTTTGACTCGGGGGTCGGGTTTCTGGAGTCGGAAACGTAAGAGTACCTGATGCGTACGGCAGCTTCAGGCGCCTTTACTCAAGGTGAAGACCGAACTAGTATAAGGGGAAATGAGATTTAGCGGTACCATTTTCGACCGGCTTAGAGAATGGGCAGAACGGTAACATAATCGTCATGTACCTAGTTAATGCATTGGAAAACGAGTTTAAACAACAAGCGCTTTGATTTTACAACTGGGTAGTAGCACTGGGTACCTGCTTTTGAGCGGATATCGACGAGCATCCCAGCAACCACATTCTGTTTTCACAAGAACCATCTAAACTCCTCCACTTTTGGACCGTCTCTCAACTTCAAAGTTGGCACGTCTTTCGCAGTGAGATTCACTCCCTGCCGGCGGTTTCGACGTTGGTTGTCCCAGAGCATGAAAAGGCCTAAGCATCCCGTGATGAGGCATCCAGTGGCACCAAAGCAGGCCGTCGTGATAAGAGCAGGTGTATACTTCGGCGCATCTTTGGTTTGAAATACGTAGCTGGGAATCAGTCCCATCAGGTTCGCTAACGGAACGCCGACCGAAGTCAGGGTTAGTCGCTCACCCTCGTGCGCTACGTTGTTGTTATACCACTACGGATAATATTAGTTTACCGCTCAGTGAATCCATTCATATAAGGGTGAATAAGTGTATTTTATGATCAGTTCCAGGGATCCCGGCAGACAGAGCGGGTGGAGGTTTGCGAGAAAGGCGACTTACAGTGCTTAGCAGAACTGACGGCGCAGATGTTCCCCAGCACATCATAAAGGTTGCAAAGTACGCCAATCGAATCTGAGCATGGACGTCCTGTATCGCCGCATATATGATGAATCCGATGAACGTGAATGCAAAGCCGAGGCATACAAAAGGGAACCGAACCCGCAGACCGTCAGATGTAAACGCAAGGATTAACAGCATGACGGCACCCTATTAACGGAATTAGAGCGAAGGTCGCACCAACTAAGGGATCTGGTTAAATCTACTACTTACCGTGACGTTTGGTGCGACAGTGTACAGATTGATCGTGACCGTGTTGTCAACGAGCCGTTGGACGATCTGCGGTAAGAACAACGAGACTGCTTGTAACGGCACGCCGATACACATCTCAATAATGAGGAAGCAATAGGACGTTGGCCTCTTGAACACCTTTAGGGACTCCTTAAGAGAGAACTTTTCATTGACAACAGAAGAACTGTCGATCTGTATACGGCGATACGCGAGCGCCTTTTCCTCTTCGGTTAGAAATCGAGCCTCGGCGGCGCTCCGAGGCAGGTAGAAGAAGGCAAATATCGAACAGCACACCGTAGCACTCCCTTCGACAATGAAAAGCCAACGCCAAGGATGGTCTACTAGCGTGGATTTTATTTGGAAGACACCGAAAGCAAGGAGACCGCTAAAGGCGTTGGCTATGTTGGAGGCGGCGTAGAAGATAGCTAGACGCCGTGCGAGCTCACCACGCCTGTAGAAGGTGGTCTGGTAATAGATGACAAGCGGATAGAAGGCCGATTCGGCCATTCCTAGGAACCACCGAAGGGCGAAGATGCCGCCAAAGTTTGTTGTCGCCGAGGTGAGCAGAGTGAAGGAGCCGAAACAGAACATCAAGAGAGGAAGAACGCGGGCCGGGCTGAACTTCTTGCCTAACATGGCAAAAGGCGGCGCGAATATGACATAGGGGACGAAAAATATCCCGACGATCTGGTTGTATTGCCCATCTTTGAAATGCAAGTCTGCGATTGGGGCGCAAAAACATGAACAGTCAGCTTGAGCCCTATGGCGAAGGAAGGCTTCGTTGCTTCGTTGCTTCGTCGCTTACCCTTAGAGAGACCCGCGGTCTGAGCGTTTCCTAGGTTCCCCTTATCGAGGGCATTGAACAAGTACTTGAAGACGAATTGTTAGTCGGTAGACGGAATACCTACCCTCTTCCATTGACTTACCATTATAGCTAGAACCGGCAGTAAACGGAGATCGAATTTGCGACAGAGCGCCCTCTCGGCGGCGCTATCGATGACATCGGCCGTCGTTTCGTCCGACAACACCACATGGCCGTTTTCGACATCATTGCTATCTTCCTGGTTCGAAATAGGATCCTTCTTAATCTGGACCGAGTCGGAATCCACGAGGCCAACGGTCTTAGCATCGGCCATGATGGAAAGGCCTCGGAGCTACGAAGCGAACCGGAGGATGTCTGGGATGAATTTGAGGCTGCGTTGTATTTTAATAAATTATACCTGCACGTACGTAGAGAGGAGGATGAGAACAAAGGCTAGGTAGGGCTTATTTTTCTATTTTTCTTCTTTTTCTTCTTTTCTTTCTTCGCCGCATGTAACCAACCAGTGCAGCATTCCATCCCGCCCATCTTACATCCTCCCATCTATGTAGCTTGTTATCAATTCTTCGATAGATAAAATGAGAGACAGATACGCAAGGTCGTATAGCAGATCCTGCCCATGCTGGGGTTAGATGGCGGACTATCCTTGTAAGTTGTCGTATCTATTCAATTGTACCTGCTACTTAGGTAGTAGGAGGGGACACCTCTGGTGTTTATCTTAACTTACCTAACCTACATACATAATAATATATTACATCGAATTTGATGTACTGTTTACTTATCACAAGTACTTCCATAGCTACATATCTGCATCTACTAACTACTAGGTACATAGTAATGCAACTAAACGCTCGGTATACGTGGGGGTTAGGCGCTGTTGGGGGTAGTTGGGGTAAGTTGGGGGTAAGTGGCTAGCCCATGATTTGGCCTCTGATTTGGCCTCTTATGTCGCTTATATCCTATCTCATCAATTCATGCATCTTTGGGGTTGCAGGCTTCTAGCCGATACGGAGCGCAAAGCAAGGCTCTTCAGGGTTTCCCCCTCTTTCGTCGGATACATACCCGACGTAGGCACCATCTCCCCCGTGCTTATAGCGGTATCAAGTCTCCGTCTATCAACCTTGGAAGCTTGCTTGAGCACCCTGTCCATCCTGCCGTGCTACTGACTTGGTTATCTTATCCGAAGACTACATACCACACTTGTAATTATATCCTCTCCGGACCAGACCACCACCACTCATACAATGGCCGAAAAAACTGCCGTTCTGACGGAAAAGGCGCCGAAGCCTCTGGCTGGTATTTACAGCCAAGCCATCAAAGCTAACGGTTTCGTATTCGTCTCCGGCGCTGTTCCCATGGACGCCGAGACCATGAAAATCGTTGATGGCGACATCAAGGTGCACACTGTTAGTTGGAACACCAGACTTAAGTCGTGAGCTGGGGCATGCTGACTGGCTTCTTTTCCCTATAGCACCAATGCATCAAGAACCTTGCCGCGATCCTCGAGGCATCGGGATCCGACCTCAATAAGGTGGTGAAAGTCAACGTCTTTATTTCCAATATGGATGACTTCGCTGCTATGAACGAGGTGTACAGCCAGTACTGGGGTGAAGTGAAACCCTGCAGAACGTAAGTAACCAACCGTCGGATAGAATCTCAAACTAGGTATTCAACTATTTTCTGGCAATTGCTAATGTCTCGTAGCTGTGTCGCGGTGAAGACATTACCGCTCAATGTCGATGTCGAAATCGAGTGCACGGCAACTTATTAACTTTGGACAGGGCTGTCTTCTACGACACGGGCCTAGTTGATCGAACCCTAAGAACGGGTTCTAAGAATGCGCTTCTGAACAGGCGAAATCATTAGGTACCTGCTTAGATAGTAATGCGTCTCAGTTCCACCATCCAGCTTCGCCTAGCATCTAAGGCAATCTAGATGAAATAACTTAAGCAATTCTCATCACGGCCTCGGTATCGAGCTAGGTACCTTCTCAGTTCTAACGCGAATCACATCTGGTATCAACCTCAGCTATGAGAAATAGTATCATAAAGCACATATATAGGTATGGCTTTGTATGAACTATATTGAGCAACTTATTCATGGCTCCATGACTCTAGTACTACTCACTAGGGGTAAGCAGTCTACTAAGAGAGAAGGTTTTCCAAGGAGAACCATGCATTTGTTTTGATTACTTTTTTCTCGTCTTCATGTATACGTTTCGACAATATAACCTGAAAAGGACGCCGAATTACCTATGCCTACTTAGACACCGGATCCAACGTAGGGTACATTGCTTCCCTGAGTGCGTCGCAGAAATACGTGATCGCATCTCTTCCGGCATCTAGAACGCCGTCCATCGCGATAAAGGGATGAGGCTGACCCTTCATCAAATGCACGTCAGCAGCGACGCCTGCGTTGCGCAATTTCTCCCCAAACTGTTGGCCCTCGTCTCTCAGAACATCCAGCTCGCCAACGACGATAACGGCGCGCGGTAGTTTCGACCAATCGCCCTCCCATAACAATGGACTCGCCTCGGGATGGGACCAATCCGACTGGTTAGGAAGGTAGTGATTTCGATACCACATCATCTTAGGTGCTGGAAGCGCTGGGGTGTGTTGGTTCTCCTTCCACGATACACTGTTCGTTGTGTCGGCCGTGTTATCCGTCACCGGGACCGAAAGCAATTGTAAAGAGAAATTTGGGCTTCCGAGTGCTGCGGCGCGTTGGCACATGATCGCAGCTAGATTCCCGCCCGCTGAAGAGCCGCCGGTGGCCAGCTTGGTCGTATCCAGGTGCAAGACCTTCTTTCCTTCGCCTAAGACCCAGAGGACACTCTCCCAGCTATCGTCAACCGCAGCGGGAAAAGGATCCTCGGGGGCCAATCTACAAATAACGGTATCAGCAGCTCTCCTTTCACCGTATTTTCCCGTCACGAGACGAAGTGCTCAACTGACCTATAGTCCACAGCGACGACAACACATTTACTGCGAGCGCAAAGGTTTGTCGCAATTACATTTTCGGTATCTATGGTCCCTAGGACCCAGCCCCCTCCGTGGAAATATACACAGACAGGCCAACCACCTTCAGGCCTTTCACCATGAGGCGTGAAGGCGCGAACTCTTACCCTCGGGCCAGTCGTCTCCTCACGCGAGATGAAATAGTCTTCTACTTGGGCAACGGGGGCTAGAGGGCCGGCCCCAGGGATTAGAGTTCCGCTTGCCCGTGATGCTTCTATCGGTTGCAAATGGACTTGTTGATTATTATATATATGCTTGTTGTAGAAAGTCGCATACTGAGAGTCAATGCGGTTGACGACGGAGTGATGTAGAGGATAAGGGGGTTCGGGTCGGTCCCCGTGTGTTAGTCCTTGCTCAACGCTCATGGCGGAAGTTGAAAAATGGGAGTATGAACCGTTGAGCGCCGCGTGTTGAGAGACTAGCCTAGAGTTTATGTGTAGACCGTCAACGTGCGATGCTTAATGGTGCCCCTTACAAATACTACAGATGGGGATGTTCTAGGGAGAAAGAGTAGTAGAGCCAACGGCGACCACAATATGTACCATTAGTCCCTTATATGCCATCCCACAGGACAGGCATGGCCAGCTCATGCAGCTTGATGAGTTTCAAGGTTCAAAGTAGCTTTCCCGAATCCAGATACACAATGACATCAAAGTTGCCGATACCGCCACTAGCTAACGCAAGAACGGAACTACTGTACAAGCTCGTGATACTTCTGTATCCATTCTTCTCAGGGAACCGAAAGGATCGCAATGTTGGGTAGTTTTTAGGGCTTGTTTCCCGCTCACTCTATTCGCAGGCCGAAAGTCAGGGTCTGGCTTATAATCATGGCGGCCCACCCAAGTTGGCATCAGGTCCAACGGGAGCTCATCCTGTCTATTCCCCCTGCGCCTATTATGCGTGTGTGCGAGTTTGTCTAGACTCTTTCCCCGATGCCCCATAGTAACAGAACCCCCCCAACCAAGAGAATCGGAGCCGGCGGATGAGCTACAGGTGGGGGTCAACAGCTACCGCCAACGAATCCAACTCCTATCGTGAAAAGGGGTCCACACAGATAGTTTATGGTTGCGATCGTAGAAATGGACTAGGCGAATAAGACTGCGTCTACTTAGGTAGGCAGTTTCCACATCGCACGCCATGCTAATCGAACACTAGACTGAGCCGAGGCGGCAACTATACGATGAGAGGGCGTCCGGTAGCGGTACACAATTGCAGTACAGGTGGTGTACGTGAAATCTCAAACATAGCAAAACATCTTCTCTGACAAACCATATGCCTTTCAACCTGATAGCAGTCCGATAAATACTACAGTCGTAGACATGGGAAGTAACATCCCGCTGATATAGGACTTGTTGTTTTCTGGGGACCTTGATGAGCATTTTGAACGGTGTCCCTCCTTATTCTTTCTTTTAGCTTACTCCATCCTGATAAAAAGGGACACAGCATCTCCTTGTCTCTAGAAAGCGCTGTCCCGAGATGTTCTATACCCTCACCGAAGATAAGAATTGCCATTAATTACACTAGATACTAGATTGATGACTATTATCATCGGCGACATATACAATGGATACCATATGTTAAAGCTATACTTTGGAGTATTAAATAACCTTTTATATGAAGGAATAATCCGAGCTTAATTCTTTTCTCCCTACCCCTTAAAAACTTTTCCAAGTGTTAAGAAAGACGAACTACAATATCCTTCCATAAAAGTTGTACATTTTTACTTTCTCTCTAAAATATGTATAAAAATGCACGGGTATTATATATCGATCGAAGAGTTTCGTTTCAAATAGAGATTATCTTTTCATGTTTAAGTTTATGATCATATTTAGAAGAACGTTTTTACGAGCATAGCGTACCTACTCAAGGGGTCTCGAAACTTCTCACTGCAATGGTATATAAAAGGGTCCCTACATAAGTACCTAATCACCGTTTGCCCTTGTAAACCTATTACTTGCCTAATGCCGGCATAGGGAGCTAATTGATGTTTATTTTCCAATGGGAGTGAATTATCTAGCTTACCTAAAGTAAAATAAGGGGTGCGAGTGCAGCTGCCAGGTCAACTATAATAGGATAGGTAGGTACATGATATTGTGTACCCTGAGGTACGTGACTTCCCTAACCTTGTCGCAAAAGCTAGTGCTGCTCATGCAAGGTTGTTTTCGCGGATTGTGCGGGGTAGAGTGTACCTTGCCTGGCGGCCACTTGGCCACCTGGCAACCTGGCAACCTGGTAACCTGCCAAGGTAGTAACCCCGCCAGCTCTGAGACGCTGTTGCTCGTCAACGCCTGACGCTTTCAGCTGACCTTCTTGTTTTCATTGTTTATTGATGTGGTGTGATGTACCTTATGATGTGAAGGAGGTATGCAACTAATAAGGTCTTCCCCACATGATAAAAGTCCCTTGTTCCATGCTTTAAACTAATACATACTACATACCTAAGCAACTTTGTCGTGGACAACAATCCGATAATCCAGCAGTCTAGCAATTCAGCAATTCAACGATCCAGACATACGATCAAATACAACCAAGATGGCCGATGACAATAGCAAGTCCGCAGTCGACGAGACCCCAATCTCCCCAATCCGCCCTAATAACGAGCGGAGGAACTCGCTCGAACAACACCTAAAGCAGCGGCCTGACCGATCCGAGCTTGTCGAGAGTACGCATCTGCACGAGACTCGCACCACTATATCATACCTAGTATAAATAGTTGACCTAACTTCATCCGTCACAGAGAACATCTTGCCTGCTTCCACCGCTGCCCCAGGCCTACAGGAAAAGCAGAAAGAGGTGCGTCTTCTCCCCATTACCTCCTCTTCACAACTTACCTTTTCTCGAAAACATCACAGCAAGAGTAGACTATAGTGACCGTTATGATATATGTAGCTCGAGAGACATATGCGTGCCGATTCGCTCAACGAGAAGATTTCTCACCGACCGCCCCCCGAGAAGCTCATTTCCGAGGGCGTCCTTCACGAAGACCCTCGGTCAGCCGAGGAGAGGTATGAGGAAGCTATCGAGGAAGAATACGCTAAGAGGGAGGGCGGCGCTTGAATGGGTTGACTCAGTGAGTTACGCGGGATAGAACAGCGTTTCGAATTCCCATTTTGACGGTCTACCCAGGTATGTCATATACATATCTCATACGTGCCTACTAGGCAGTAAAGAGAGGGCCAGGTTATGAATGTATGCATAATATGTAGTGTCATAATGATTGCGCATGGTCTCTTATGTCAACCGCTTTCTCTGTTCTCTTCGCTGGCCCGGAACGTGAGGTGTGGGAAACGGGAATCTGAAGACTTGGGGTATACACCCTCATAAAACCACCAATGATGATGGCTTCTCGGGCATTTTCTACTATGTACTGTAAGATGCCCGAAAAGAATACTGCGTAAATGTAACTATTCCGCTTAGTGCTGTCTACTCGATACCACCCGATATCCCAGCTAAGACTCCCTACCCCGGCTGCCAAGGACGGTCTCATTCCGCCGGAGGAGTTGGTTCCAATCCGCGTCGTTGGATTGGCGTTACACTCGGTCCTGGAGTAACCGAGACACCATTACCATCGTGGGAGCAGAATACCTCACGAGCTCGTACCCGGATCTTGGTAGCGAGAACGACATCCTATAGGTCCGCATATACACCATGGCCGGCCTGACCTAGGCGATAATTTATCCATCTACTACACAACGTACGGGTCTATGGCGTAGTCTTGGCTTTGTTGAAACTCACGATCTCTCGCTTTATAAGGGTCGGTCAGGTCTCTCAAGGATATGGATTACCTATGTTGTGTGCTAGGCTCTGAGTGGGTGTTTGCAATAACAGTATTTCGGCCTTATTCGTTGTTATGGTGTACTTGAAGCTGTCTGCATTGGCTGGCACGCTTGCCTATGCGGTCTCCTTATGTATTGCCGTTGACATCTCTGTAAGCTCGACAGGTGGCAATGCTACAAATGGTCATCAGTATGGATTTTTACATGAGGTGCGTATTTCCCTATTTTGACTCCTTACATAGCTGACACGGCGCTTGGCTCACGTAACTAGGACATTAATAATTCAGGTGATGGGGGCCTTTACGCTGAGTTGATTCGCAACCGAGCTTTTCAGATAAGTGAAGGCTTTCCTGCAACATTAGATGCATGGCATTCGGTGAATGATGCCAAGTTATCGTTGAGGAATCTTAGTACACCATTATCCGACGTTCTGGTTACTTCGATGAACGTTGCTAGTACCACGAAGCAGGGCGAGGTTGGCTTTCAGAATGACGGTTACTGGGGTATGGACGTCAAAGCCGGCAAGAAGTACAGCGGTTCGTTTTGGGTCAAGGGCGCTTACTCTGGCCGATTCGTGGCTTCGTTGCAATCCAATATCACGGGAGAGGTGTTTGGGACGGCGTCGATCCAATCCCGGTCTAGACCTGACCAGTGGATAGAGCATGGTTTTGATTTGACACCTTCGAAAGACGCTCCGAGTTCCAACAATACTTTCGTGCTCACATTCGACGCCTCAGTAAGTGGAATAACGGTCCGCCGTAAAACTATACGCACACATACGCTAATAGCTACAAATCGCAGGGAGCGGGGAATAGCTCTCTTGATTTCAACTTGATTAGTCTATTCCCTCCCACATACAAGGGTCGGAAGAACGGGATGCGTAGTGATATTGCCGAAGCATTGGAACAGCTGCACCCTGTAAGTAATCTCTAGGGGGGTGACACTTCAGAGCACAGTGCTAAGATTTATAACCAAGACCCTTTTCCGTATTCCAGGAGGTAATAGTAAGTGTTCACCTTCGTTAAATCATTCTCCATGTTCCAACATCGTGCTTCAAATATGTTTGCTAGCCTGTCGTTATCTTGTGACGTGGATGACGTGGATACCTCCCTCTACCATCCTATAAAAGAACTTTCCACAAACCAGTTACTCACAAACGTTCTAGTGCTTGAAGGGTTGACAAATAGGACGTGGTGGGATTGGAAAAAGACTCTTGGCCCCTTAAGAAACCGACCTGGCTTTTCCGGAGTGTGGGGATATCAGCAAACTAATGGCCTAGGTTTGGTGGAATATCTAGAGTTCGCGGAGGATTTGGGAATGGAAGTTGGTGAGCTTTGATTTCTGCACTTTTCATCCTGCTCATGTCATCGGCGTCTTATTTGGTTCTTACTTGGTTTTAGTCCTGGCCGTATACGACGGCCTTTCCTTGAACGGGGATATCACTCCGCAAGCCGAATTGCAGGCTTTCGTTGACGACGCACTGGATCAGATCGAGTTCGTCCGCGGGCCAGCAGACTCGAAATGGGGTTCGGTCCGGGCTGAGCTAGGTCATCCTGAGCCGTGGAGTCTCCAATACGTCGAGATTGGAAACGAGGATTGGCTCGCTGGGGCACCAGAAGGGTGGGAAACGTTTAAGAACTATCGGTTCCCGATGTTTCTTGACGCAATCAATAAGGCATATCCCGACATCCAAGTTATCTCGTCAGGATCCTCCTTTGACGGGTACAATATTCCCAAAGCTGCAGGTGGTGACTATCATGTGTATGCTGAGCCGGACGAACTCGTGTTAGAATTTTCGAAATTTGACAACGCAACTACACCTCACCTTATCGGCGAGATGGCGGCGGTCCACCCAAACGGTGGCACCGGCTGGGATGGTCCTCAGCAGCCTTTTCCTTGGTAAGTCTCTATTACCCGAATTTTAGTCGCCATACTCTTGAGATGCCCTTCTAAGGTAGATGAGACTACCTGGCCATATCAAATAGTACATCACAAGGAAGTATGTGATCAAATTCTCGCTAACTCAAATATCCGTATAGGTGGATAGGGGCCATCGGCGAAGCAGTGTCTCTCATCGGTTATGAACGTAATGCGGACAGAATCATCGGGGCATCATACGTATGTTCTTCAACCTATTCAAGAATACCTAAATCTTTACCAGGGGTACTAACGTGTCATAGGCACCGATCATCCGAAACAGTATGTCCTAATCTTTGCTTGATCCATCACCTTTTATCCTGCCCCCTCGAACACGGAAAGTATCGTCTCACCTTTATTCGGGGGCTCCACTATGTTAGCGATGAAGCTCCTCGCTGGATTTGGCTTCTCATGTAAATACTAATTGTATTTGATAGTGAACCGTTGGCAATGGCCGATAACTATGATACAATTTACTGCCGACTCGGTTACAAGGTCGACGTCTTGGTACGTCTGGGAAGTGAGTTCTTTTCCGTCATAAGAATCGTCCAAGATTCCAATAGAATATTTGTGTTGATTTTATTCGCAAACAGCTTTTGGCAGCGCACCCCTTGACTGAAACATTGCCAACGACCTCGGACTTCAGCCCACTCTACTACGTAGCCGGCAAGAATAACAGGACAGGCGGGAACATCTTCAAAGCGGCAGTGTATAATTCGACGGATGGTGATGACGTCCCTGTGAAGCTGTCATTCGAGAAGCTAGCGCCAGGAATAACCGGGGAGTTGATTATTCTTACAGGACCTGCCGACCCATACGGCATCAACAGCCCATACACTGGAGTGAACGTTGTGAAGACTAATAAGACGACGATTCGAGCTGATAATAATGGCATATTTCATTTTGCCTTACCTAACTTAAGTGTCGCAGTCTTGGACACAAGCGCCCCAAACATCCCGTCGATGGAATAGGGGTCTTCATTCACGACATATAAATATAAGCTTAGTACAAACTGATATGTACAATTATTCAATGGTCGAGTGGGTGGTTTGACTAGAAATCAACATTTGGGTTAGCTTTACCACTTTAATAGAGTCGCTCTGTTGTTTGCGAAATCTGATGATTTGACGTGCTTATAAAGGTATTGATCTCATAGGCGTGGATTAATTAGGTATTGGATAGCGCTGCCACGTCTCATTATTCAGCTCGCTGCTCTAAATCTTAGAGATCTTCCGAAAACCGCTTACTATGGACATGAAAATTATCCATCTCTGTTCATGATATGCAAAAGCCGAAGCGGTCATCCGACAAGCTTGGACTATCAGGACCTGCTAATTTTGCCTATTGCTAGTATAGGTGGTACAAATGCATGATAATTCAGAGGTGCGGAGAGTTGGTAGCCAATGCTGCCGTGCGGTTTTCTGCACTGCATGGCTGCCCAACCAACCTCGAGTATAGCTAGCTACTTTACAATATTGAAGCGTGATGGTGTACCATCGACATAGAATGTATACATCAACTTATAAGCCGTGGGGAAAATGCCACACCAAATGGCAGATAAACGGCGGGTCTACCTCGCGTGCCGAGCCATCTTCGCCGGCGACAAAGCACAGCTGCGACGACCGAAGAAAGTGCGCGAAGAGATTGTGAAGCGGCCATGGGCACTAGGGTCACTAACCCACGACCTCGGCATAGAGAAAGTAGTTGAGATCCTTCGCGACTTGCTAGAAAGACGCGTGTTCGAGTCAGAGCTCAAAGCCAAGGTCGAATTTCCCGAACTGTTCCACTCCTCGCCGGATCAGGAAGTGCAGCGTGAAACATCCGAGATCGATGCTGCGAGGTCTGCGGCCGAGGCACTTGAGGAAATTGCTAGTGCAGAACACATCGACGGAGAAAGCGAAGATGAATTTGGGGAGGATACCAAGAACGAGACCAGTGAGGTGTTCTGCGTGGAAAGAGACAAGATACTGTCCATTGCTAAGACAGGCTTCTTAGGCGTTGAACAGGCAGCTCCGCGACAGGCGGTAGTTCTACCTTCGCTGTATCCAACCTATATCCCGTACAAAACACAACATCTTATTTTGAACGAAACCCAACGCATACTTGAAGAAAGCTGCTTTGAATTCGTGCAGAAGTGGTTACCAACCGTCCTCTCGGGCAAGGAATGGGACTGCGCCAGTTCGATGGAATTGACTAAGTGGACGCGTCTCCTAGCCAAGAAGGCAGACAAGATACCTCGGGAAGCATTTAATTCCGGCGGCGCGCCGCTGACAGAGGTGCTCTTCGCGACAAACAAGCTAAGGCATAGCGCTGTCCACCGGATTTCGACGTCAGCTCGCGGGATCCAGGATTTAGTTAAGTCAGCAGTGACGCTCGCATCTACACTCGGTGATCAGAGACGTGCGAGCCAATTAGAAGAGATGTGCTACGAGCTAGATAGTAAGATCAAGGCGATGGAGCTAAATAAGAACGCATTAGAGAACTCCGTGATAGCTGGCATCGATGACATCCAGCGGTTGCGGGATGAGTTAGATCGGAAGGAGAAGGAGATGATCGTGAACATGGTGAGAAGTGATCAGGAGAACAAGAATGTCATCGGAGATCTGCTAGAGGATTCGGTGAGTAGGATTCTGGAAGGGAAGAGCGAGAGTGACGATGAGGTGAAGGCAGACCAAGATGAAAACGGCGGAAGTGATTGAGTTGAATATTGAGTTGAATATATTCTGTAGCTTCACAGTTGTAAGTGGTGAAGTGTAAGCTCCGGGAGATTCCGGGACGACATTAGATAGGTGGTCCTCATGCCATACAGAGCCAGGTGCTACCTCCAGGGCTGCGCACATACCTTAGATACAGGTGAGTTAGTGGGTTTAGCATTCCTAGGTAAGCACAACCTTGGAAGGACTTTCTAAATAGGCAGGTACTTCCAATAAATGAAACCCCCACTGCCCCTAGCATAGCCTGAGCGGTCACGTGGTGTCGCGACGGAAATGGCGCGTCACGATTTACCCATTAATTGAATCCCATCTACTTTGTTGCAGTCATACCTCCTAGATACATGATAGTCATACCTAGCTACAGCGCACGAAACGAGCATGACAGGGATGTATCGAGGCCCTCGTCGATTTCCTCTATCTGGGAATATATTTCAGCTTGCGGTATAAGTAAATAAGAATAAGTAAATGAATGAGAATGGCCGAGAGGCTTGCTTTGTCGGAAACGACCAAGTCCGAAGAACCCGGTAGCAACAGTTCGAAACAAGATGATCACCAAAGTCGACATCAGCGTCAACACGACACCCTCAAGTACCACCTCCTAGGACCTTCTCTCACCAAAGCTGGACAAGACTCCGTCGACCAGTCCAAGGTTTCCGATATCATTTACAATGCGTCTAAGGGGTCCAAGTACTTCAATCATGAAGAGGTCAAGGATAAGGTCTTGACGCAAAAAATCGGTCAAATCCTAGAAAAGAAGCGTCGCTTAGAGAAGCTCGATTTAGCCCGCGAACTTCGCGCGGCCGATCAACTCATCACACAGCTCGAGCTCACCCGTGACTTAACCCAGCACATCGTTCATATCGACTGTGATGCTTTTTACGCCGCCGTGGAACAGCTCGACCGACCCGAGCTCAAAGATCTGCCCTTCGCCGTCGGAGGTGGTGTGCTGACTACCTGCAACTACGTCGCACGCAAGTTTGGCTGCCGAAGTGGCATGGCCGGCTTCGTCGCTAAGAAGCTTTGTCCCGATCTACTCCTCCTCCCTCTCAACTTTGACAAATATACTTCTAAGGCGCAGGAGGTGCGACAGGTTTTGGCAAAGTATGATCCTAGATTCGAAAGTGCTAGCATAGATGAGGCTTATCTCAACATCACCGAATACTGCGCCGAGACCGATTTGACACCCGAGGAAGCCGTTCAACGGATGCGAGATGAGATCCATGACAAAACGAAAATTACCGTATCTGCTGGCATTGCCGCAAATGCGAAGCTCGCCAAAATCTGTTCTAATATGAACAAGCCTAATGGCCAGTATATCCTACCTAACGATCGGAACGCCATCATGACTTTCATGCGGGATTTGCCCACCCGAAAGGTGAACGGAATCGGACGGGTCCTAGAGCGTGAGCTACAGGAGATAGGTATCAAAACGTGCGGTGACGTTTATCCCCACCGTCAGCTCTTGGTATGTATAAAGTGCATTCCGCATCGTATCAGGATTGCGTTCGTCTATTTTTTGCATGGTTCAGTCATACGGAGACTAACATCAGTCCAGTACGTTTAATTTCCTTCCAAGCTTACCTAGTTCGATTATGTTTCGCTTTGGAAAGCATACCACACAATGTAAAAGCATTGCCCACTTATATGAGGTATTAACTTATTACAGGCGACAGCTCTTCGGTGACAAAACAAACGAATTTCTGCTCATGTGCTACCTAGGCTTAGGTAGAACTGATGTGCAACCTGCGGAGGAGTATGAGCGGAAAAGTGTCGGCACTGAGAGTACGTTTAGAGATATGTCTGACCCAGCACAATTCAGAGAAAAACTGCGATGGACAGCCGAAGAGCTAGAGAAGGACATGCGGAAAGCCGAATGCAAAGGCCGAACTCTAGTCTTAAAGGTGAAGCTGCATACGTACGAAGTCCTGACGAGGCAAGTCGTGACGCCGAGAGCCATATGTAACGCAGACGACCTGTATAACCATTCATTGCCCATCCTGGCGAAGTTAGAACAGGACATACCGGGTATGAAGCTACGATTGATGGGCCTTCGGTGCACGCATCTCCTAAGCACCAAAAAGCCTGACACTCGTGCCTTTTTCGGACTGCGGCCTTTAAGGACTCTTGCTAATAGTGTTGCGTCCCACGGAGTGGCCGATCAAGAGCCAAGCCAAACCACTCGAGCAGTTGATCTCCAACAAGGCATATTGGAATACAACCCCCATGACGGTCATGGTCAGTTGACCCCTGATAGCAATGGGATAGAAGTCCAGCTGGAGAACAACGATGCCCGTCGCCATGGGAAGGAGATTGTTCCGAATCCTAAGAGAGCGGCACCAACTGAGGAGCCCGAGGAGTGGTGGGAATGTCCGGTCTGTAGCCGGCCGCAGCCAACCGACGAGCGGCTGTTTAACGATCACATTGACCTATGTCTTTCGAGACAGACTATCCGGGATACGGTCCAGCGAGACCATGTACGTAGTTCAATTTCTACAAGTGATACGCTAGTTCCCAAGCGATTGAAGAGCGGCGGTGAGAGGAAACGGAGCCGAGCATCAAACTCAATTGACCCGAGACAGACGAGGCTGTTCTTCGGTTGACGATTAAAACATATGTACATCATGAGAACGATTTACGAGTGCATATGAATATACGAGAGCATCACAAGTGGTCTTGCCTGGTACTTGCTGCGATTATCCGCCGTAGTTTAACGTGTCGGTAATCCAGCGCTGGTTCAAGCACTCGAAGTTTACAATCTAGCTTATAGGTTAATTATATTTTGCTATACAGACCTAATGAGGTATCAGACCTATAAATTTCCAAGCTAGGTACCGTGCTCCTTTGGGCTGTTAGTGTGTAAAGGTCTTGTAATATTCACATGATACCAGACAAGCATGGAGTTGGCGTCGGCTGTACGAATTATTACATATTATGTAATACCTAATGTACTACTACATGCGCAGATGGGAAATCTATAATAACGACACTAAGTATCTTGGAGGGATACTAGGTAGATCTGATCCATCCTATACTACTATTTTAGCTACCTAAATACCTAAGTAGGTGGTTACCTGTTCATGGATTCGTAACGCTCTCCATAAGAATGCACATCCCGGAGACAGGCCAGTTGTCTTGACAAAAGTTCCTCAAAGATCTACTTTGGCTAGTTTGTTCGAATGCCAAAGATGATATCTAATACTGTGCTTTATATGATAGGATAGCTTCTGTAGGGAAAAGAAGAAAAAACATTAGAGGTCATAAATCCGTTTCTCCCCTTGGCAAGTGTTAGTCATTAATCATGTGATGCTCATATCGTCCACACTTGGTCTTCTTGCTGACATCGACTGACGTATTTGGTGATCTTCCTCCTCGACTCTATGCATGTCATCACTAGGAAGTCGGACAGCACGATCAAGTGCAACCGGCAATCCTCGGTGCCGTCCTCTTACCATAACAGCACAGAGGACCAACTTGCTTCCCGGGTAGAGTCCACCGCTAAAACTATACGCTTCTGTCGGCAGTCCAATACTAATACCGACGCATCCATACGCAGATACCACTTCGAACACGACGTTAAATACCGAAAACGTGACTGGGTCCTCCATGAAGTGCTTCGTCTCGATAATAACAATAAGCAGGACGGCCAAGACCAGCCACCACAAGTCATGCGAGAGCTGTCCGCGAATTTGATGGCCGATGAAGCTAATCCGGCTCTCTTCTCGTTGATCTAGTGCCGCTCCAACCCCGTACCATTCGGCAAATGCGAGACGGATCACCCTACTCAGAGACTGAGCCTTGCTTCCTGGCTGGCCATGAGAGATAGGACGAGCGAGGGCGTTACGATAATTGGGATCGTCTTCATATATTCCTAGTGATCGTTCCTCATAGACATTTGAATGCCGCATCGTAATCACTACTGGATATACCGAGATATACCTATAGATAAAGTAAGCTCCACTTCGTTGCTAACCACGGGTGCTCCGAATAGATATTCTCAGAAGCACAAACGTTGTATGCGCGGGAGGGCTAAGGGGTTGCGAGCTAGGTGAGGAGGTTGAAAAAAAGAGACAGGGGGTTTGACGAACATCATGACCACATAAAGCACCTGTAGGCCGATAAATAGTGTTGGGATCGATACTACATAAAACCCCCCTGAGCGAACGGCTATTGAACGTGTCAGCATTAGTGGGCGCCACACGAGCTAGCCTAGATTGTACCAATTGCTTGAAAGAGCCCATCGATAATGCGAGAGCCGAGAGGGGTTTGCTCGAGAGCAGAGTTTCCAAGGTTAAGTACTTCAAATGCCACCCAGTCGGTGCCATTAAGCACAAAGAGCATAAAAACGAGCCAGTATGTTTGTCGCGGCGGGAATAGGTTCGTATAGACACGTCGAGGATATTTGAGGATATATTCAAGTGTCTCTTTCCACTCTACTAAGTCTTCTTGATATGTCACTAGCTCCAGGATTTTCACTGCAGCGCCTTATGTTAGTAGCCGACCGCCCTTCTGATCGCATAGAATACCTAGATGGAAGAGGAGGGTGGTTCCGATATCATTCGATTAATTGTTAAAGTGTGAGGATACTAGAGGATCCAGGCGTTCTCACGACTCCTCCATCAACTGTGCTAAAGAATAGGGGATCTCTCGAGCGGGTGCGAGATGACGCAAGGGAATAAGACTTACAACTGCACCACAGGGCTAACCTTAAGAACACAGGATAGGCTGTGTTTCCAGCGAGGATCATTACTGCCATGACAATAAGCACAAAATACGAGCTTCCGTAGGGGATCATGTTCAAATCTAACACGCTCATGCCGCTATTGTTAAAAGCAGAGACACCATTGAAGATGCCATTCCACCAAGGCGAGATTCCATTATTTTCGGCGGGCTGCGGCAGATTATTTGCTATCCAAGCACCGAGTGAGATGCATCCGAAAATTTGCCAAGAGAAAAAATAGACTGGGACGACAATGGCGAGAAGTTTGAGGGCTCGATACTCGGTACCGCCAAGCTCCTCGCGTTCCTCGCTTGTCAAGTCATGAAACTGGCTGTTGCGCCCGATTTTATGCGCTCTCAAGTAGCTGTGGCGGTCGACGACCGTGTCGGTAGTTGAAAAATGTCTACGAGCCGTAGTGCCGCTGGGTGCAATAGATGTAGATCGAGCCCTAGCGCCAACATCATCAACGAATGCCACATGCTCAATATTGCTTGCCACTGTCGGGTTGCCCCTTTCGGGGTCTGCAGCGGTGGAACTTGGCATAACGTATTCTGTTGGGGGCAAGCTACGGCGCTGGGAAATAGGTCCATTGGTATAGGAGACAGACTGCGATTCGAACATCGTAATATCATGTATGCCAGCCTCCTTTGGCAGAGGAACAACGGGGGAGAGAAGTCTTCTGTCGCTGGGTTGAGATATGACAGGATGGCTCGTAGCGGGGCGTTGTTCCCAAGGAGAAACCGTGCTGCCGCTCTCTGGCATCGTCCTGCTACTTCTACCCAAAGTCCTAAGCCTGTGGGCAATAGGGAGAAGGGTCAAGCTCGCGTTCCGTCTCTCAAGACGACGCTTCCGCTCCTTACGCACGATCTCTTCAAAGCGCGCCTCGAAGGCATGCTTCCTTACCAGGACAGTCCAGATTGAAACCCATATAGAGCTCCCGATGATGATCAGAAGCCACTGCGATAAAGAGTCAGCGATCATATCTTCAGGTGAGAAATTGAGGGATCTCCAGCATGAGTGGAGATAAGCATGTTCTTAGCCCGCTCACAGGAAAGGCTCTAAGAACCTCAACAGACTAAGGGGGCGAATAGAATTGCTGATTTTACATACGAGGAGAACTTGCTGCCAAGTGGTCATCTGACTTAGGTTCACAGTGTTCAAGCCAGCCTCTGTCATGGCAGAGGTGACCAAAAATAAGCTGTCAACATAAGAAATGCTGAACTTGGGGTCCGAGGAACCCCAGAATATAAGTGACGAGGCTAGGGGGACGATAATGAAGTAGGCATAGTGAAGCGTGATAAAATTCAACGGAGGCAGGATGGCTCGGAGGGTGCGCATTGCCGAAGCCCCGTTACCCTATGATTTCTTGAAGATGAAGGAGGAGGAGGAAGAAGAAGAGGTAAAAGAGATATAAAAACTACAGGCAAAAAGGCGGCTCCGTATGTAAGTGGTATGGTTGGGTATGGTTGTCTTGGAAGATGTTGAAGCCTTTAGTTGAGCAACATGATGAGAGAGGGTAGATGGCTATCTATATTCGGCGTGGACTCTGGAACTTTATAACATAAATCTCTATGATTCAACAGACATAGACCTCTGGACTCAATTCCTGCCTCCTCTCCCTCTCTATAATCATGATGTGTGGATGTACAGTTGCGTGTTTTCGTCGCCCACCCGAGACGAAAATTAACGTTTACCTACTAGGTACGTACTATTTGAGGATAAAACTAAAAATAGCGCAACTACGGGTACTTGTCAGATAACGAGAATAAGAAATAGATAGATGGGATTAAGGAGGATAGGAATGTTGTATTGTTCTAAGTTTTAAGAGTTTGACTGGAAGTCAAAAAATGTTCTAATGTACCCCTCACAGTGCAGCTCGCACTTCTCTCGATGTACGTAGACTCCATCTCGGACGGTAGAACTTGCGGTGTAGCGTACCTTCTAGGTGGATAGTCAGTGTCCACGCAACATGTCTACACTAATCAGGATAATCATGTATAGTATAATAAAGTCTACTTTAACCCGAATTATCTCCAACCACCCGCCACAAGCCATAGTGGTAACCACATACCAAGGATACACCGCTTCATCCACTAAACCTGCAGAAAACCGGCAATTGAGTTATGGGGCAAATTATTCAGCATTTTCTTTGCCAGCATGTTAGAGCCTAACTACCCAGGTACCCAGGTAGGTAGGTGGGATCTGAGGCTTAAGCATCCTGTTCGTAGATAGAGCCTCAAGTCTACCTAGATACTTAACCTATACGTGACACCCGACTTAGAAGAATAATTAGGTATGCTAGGTTCGGAAGCAGTCGTGCTTTGCTAGCTTCCTGTCCCATATCGGCATTGCCTGATAGGACAACAACATGCCTTGTATGGCTCATAGCTCATTGTGCTCCTGAGTATCATCAGTATCGGCGATCACGGTCTTAACGGCCTCGGCGGCCTCCTCAATCTTGCTCGCAACCCTTTCCACCACCTTGGACGAAGCCGTCTCAGAGGCTGAGCTGGCAGCTGAGCTCGCACTGCTACTCGCCTTAGTGACGATAGATTCAGGGTTAGGGACACCTCTAATCCCCATAAGCTCCGTTTCAAAAACTAGCGGTCATGGCTTGTGTTAGATGCTATACTCATTCATCCTCAGGCCCTTTCGATTTGTTACATACCAAGCGTAGATCCCGCTGGGATTGGTCCGACGGCCCTATTCCCGTATCCGAACTCGGGTGGAACGGTCAAAGTTCTGATGAGCTGTCAGCTTCCATCGGGTGTGGTGGTGATACTTCATGTGCCGTCGTAGCCGACAATATCGGGGCATGTGGAAGAGGATATCGTCTTGCCTTTTTTCGCCAATACACATGTCCAAAAGACCTTGGTCCCATCTATATGCGTGTTAGGACCTCGTTATGATGGAGCGAACTGCTGCTCAGGTTCTATTTTCGCCGACTAACCCCTTAATGACTTGGCCGCCACCTAGAGTGAAACTGAAGGGAGTGCCTCGATCGTAACTGGCATCGAACTTCTTTCCATTGGAAGCAAGCGTACCCAGGTAGTGCACCTGGATAGTGTCGCCCTTCAGCGTCTTTCGATCGCATTCCACCGGTAGAGTCACGTCAATCTTGAGCTCGGAAGGGTTCGAGGCTAGGGCGCCGAAGGTGATGGATGCCACGAGGGACAGGGAAAAGAGAAAGCTTCGCATGTTATCGGCTTGGAATTGGGTCGTTTATTAGAAAATGCTCCCGATTATCTAGATCATGTTATTAATGTCCAAGTTCACTTAATCAGGTTTTGGGCGAACCAAACTTACCTTGTCTGTTGTACTTCTCAACAAATGTGAAGCAAAAGTCAAATCTGAATCCTTCCTTTCCTTTAAGCGTCTCAATGCAATGACAATAACCGGGGAATGTCAATCAATTGAGTGCCTATCTGCCTATATACATATCCATATATGCACTTAAGCATGTTTACTGACATACGTACTATGTAATAAATCCAATTCAAGCGGGATGCATTCTTATACATACCTACTTTACCTAAATATGCATATATGTATTATGTGAAACGCTGCTTCTGCACGGACCTCTGGTGCTGTAAGTAGTAGCTTACATACCTCTATCCATACGTAAGCCTCAATTTAATTTATCTTCACCGAAACATGAACAGGCGGGCCAAAAACGTCGAAGTAATGGAGAAGAAATTTGAACTAGGCCAAGCCACTCTACCGCCCCATTAGGCAAACATGGGAAGTCCTAAATAAGGACAACACGAGGTTAAAACGAGAGTTGACTCATTACCTAAGTATACTAGGACGCCAGTTAAGATAATTAGGGACCTGCCTAGGACTTTACATATATATTAGGTGTGCATCTACCGCCTTTTTTTGACAATTTGAGACCTTGGCGGTATCCACTTCTTTTATAGGCTAAACCTATTATGACACACTTTACTATTTAAAGTTAGTATATTCCTGAGGCTCTTCTAATTTCATTATTAAATTAAGCTGTTTTCACATAAAATAAATACCCATAATTATTCAAAAATCGGAAAAATTTAAGTAATTAAATATTATATTAATATTCGAAAAGAAAAATGTTCTAATATATTTAGTCTAATGGGGGTAATTTTTAAAAAAATGTAAAAAATTATCAAAAGTCATAGGTCGTTCAAAATATCCTAGGAGTAGATCGCTTAAAATGGGATAGCTTAGATAAAGTGGATACCGCCAAGGTCTCAAATTGTCAAAAAAAGGCGGTATGCACAGTACTATGCAGAGTATGTAAGGCCTAATTGACCTATAATGCCTAAGTTGTCAGGTTGTGTATGCATATGCATAAATACGTCAATGACATACCTACATACATTGGTATATTTCATAGGTAGAGTCCTGCTGACTCAGTCTGGTCGGGGTTTAAGAGTGGGGTCCAATTGCTTGATCAATCAATTCTTAGAGATTCGGCTTCAGCTATTAATATTATAAACTATTCAATGTTATACCTGGTCTACTATAGGCAGACAAACAGACAAACAGAATCTGGCCTTCAATCGACCAACCGCTTACCTACATAGGTAATCTGTTGGTAGTTTGGGTCCAGAATCCAGGTAGTTACCTAATTATCTTATATCCATCCCATTTCCAGAACAAGGCAACTAGAAGCCTTTCTTATATTTGGTATAAGCCTCAGCCAATTCAACCTCAAAAAGATCCCCCAAGTAGCGTATGACTTTCGTCCGCCACAATCATCTTAGTTTGTTCATTACTTAGAGGTATTGATAACACACAGCCCCTATCCACCGCTCGAGCAAACTTCTCAGGCATACTCCTTGTTTCTTTCCCCCATCCTATTTCGTCCTATCTCGTCCTATTCCCTCTCCTTTTTGTCCTATTTTGTCCCATCCCGCCCCGTCCCCTGTCAATCATTCCCCACATATTCCGGTCTGTCAGTCATCTGGGCTACCTAGCACTGACCTAGCACTCTCCTTGCCATCTTCTTCTCGACCAACCGTATCATCCAATTGCTGCCTCACCATCATCACCCATCTCTCCCCCTTCTTTCTGCCTTGAAGTTTAGCCATGCAAATGAGTCACCCTTTCGGTGTCTCTACACTCTCAGTGCTCATTTGCGGCCGGAGATCGCCCCCATCCAGTATGCCTATGGCACTGCTCAGTACTGCTGCCATATGTTTGCCTCCCTACTCTTACACGGAATTTTGTTGTGAACTATGTATTTGGAGGTAAAGTTTGAAGCTCTGCGAGTATATAAGTCGAGATGTTTCTCTGTCTACCTCCCAATCTTCTTGCTAATCAGACAACACCCATAACTACAAAATTTCCCTCGAGGTGAAGTTTCCTTACCTGACATCGTATACACTTATTTCCATCTAAATACCTATCTTCGTCAACGAACGGGACTGTCCATCAAGAAGTGCTTCACATCCCCTTCATCGCCGTGGGCAATAATCTATACCATTCAATATCTCCGAGTATTCCACGGCACTATGTCCTCTCGTGACAGCTCTTACGATCCTACTAGCTCTTCCGCGCCAGTGATCCGCGAGGATTGCCGGTCTCCCAAGGCTAGTACGTACTTGCTCTGAATGACAAACTTACCCACAAACACGTCTTTGGCTGACTCGATGAAAGGTAACTACCAAGTCGACATTCACCATCGGAATGGTAGTAGAAGCATCAGCATCTATAATCACCACAGCCCCGGCTATGACAATACTGCGCCGCACCCTGATTATAGAGCATCCACTAGGACGGACTCCCGAAAATCATCTTCTTGACCTTGAGAGGGAAAAAGGAAATTACGACGACTTTGACAAGTTATTGTCCGCATGTTTGGAAAGCTTTGGCTAGGTGCTTCGGGTTTTCAGGGTAATAGAATAGTAGTCAGCGTCACGGACTTCTACGAGCATATAAAGATATGCCATTGTTTCCAACAGTCCATCATTCGGCAAGAAGATTAAATTGCCCCAAGGCTCTATACCTGTATAGTTACTAGCGTTACTTCATTATAAATTTCACATTAATCTCGCATCGTCCTGATGTTTCCTTTTTTTCTTTTTTTTTTTGGGTAACGTGATAAGTTGACCTATGATGAGTTTACGTTAACTGAGGCTGATCAGTATACTTCTTACTGGTTACCTTCTACAAGGTAACGAAGGGGACCAATATGCAGGAACCCATAATGGTAGGTGGTCTGAGTGGCCTTGCTGTAACACCCCCACGGAGAACATGATATGATCAACCAATCTCCAAGAGCCACTTCTTATCCAGCTCCGAGAACCGAACGCAAGAGAGCGGGCTCGCCGCTGTTGCTCCATTGGTAGAATTACGGTTTGTCTGCCCTGCACATTGCAACCAATCCAAGCAAACGGTAAATATGTAGTATTGCCAATCGCGACGAAATAGAACTCACGGTCGTGTAAATGTTATCATCTGCTGCTTTACTACCATGCCTACCTGTGTAGCCAACACATACGTGAAACAAGAAGACTATTGATAATCGAGTTAACTAACGGACTTAGCAAGGGATCATCTTACCCTTTGTATCAGGCACAATATACTAGGTTCCAAGATTTTTTCCTAGAAAGAAAAAATTGGAAATAAAAATAAAAAGAAGAAAACGAAAGAAAACGAAACGCCCTGTGCAAAAAACGGCGGGAGGGAAAAAAGCATTGCTAACTGGTCCTAAGTTTCATGGTCGATAATTTGTGTCAGAATTATATGTACATACTCTGTACGCTGTCGCATTCTATCCTATGGTGCTACTGCGTGAACATGACAAAATAGGATCACCACGTTGTACTCCTTGGTAGAACCTTCTGCTACTGCTTATAGCAAACCTTGACAACACTTAGACAACTAGAGCTAGACTTAAACATAGAGTATATTACGTATGGCAAGCTACTCCAGAGGCTTTCGCGTCTTATTACCAATGGCATCATGTTGAATGAGAATATAACATTTATGTATGTAGTCTTGAGCAGCAACCCCCCCTCTCCACCCCCTTCTTATTACCAGTAAAGTTCCTCTCGGGATATAGATAGGTATCTAGGAAGAGGGAGAAGCCCTCTTTGACATTTACCCTCCCTATGATATTCGCGCTTCCACCGTCTCTCTCTCTCTCTCTCAGCCTCGATGGTAATCATCACGCTCTGCCTCAAAGTAGCGCGACATTTCTATGCCAGAGTTATGGTACCCGCACTTAACGTAAAAAGGCTCATTACGTAGACCACAATTGAGTATATTCTTGTAGCAGCCTAGATTGACAGCCACCGAGTCTAAAGCTCGAATCATCTTCAGACCGAGCCCTTTCCCCTGGTGCTCTTTGGCCACCGAAATCTCTTCGATATGGCCGCATTTTCCGCGACCATGGATGCTGTTCTGGTGAGATATCTGAACAATGGTCGTGATAAGGGTAAGTATAAGAACGTACAACTTCTTCTCTATCACTAAGGCGCCTGTTCCGACGATGCGATTCTCATGCTCGATGACCGCAAAGTAATATGTACCCGTAGACTCCACCATTTCGTCGAAGCGTTCGATGAAGTCTACTTCACTAACATCTCCGACCCACTGTATCAACATGAGTCAATAATTCATTCTTTGGGGAAGATTTGTAGGAGTTTTAAGTATGCCTCGAAAACAAACAATCCCTGGTTAGCTCGACGGGGGAGTTCTCACTCCCAAGACAAGCTAAGCTGAAGCAGGGGAAGCTTAACATTACACACCGTAAGGACGCGCAGGCAGTCAAAGAACCCTTTGCCATAATCGCCTCTCTCTAACGGACGGATCGCGAAGCCATCTGGTAGAGAGTGAATGATATCCGGTGAGATAAGTGAAGCCGAGAAAAGAGCCTGTGCGTCACCCATTGTAGGCCGATACTCCTACCACGATTCAAGCTAGATGCAGGCGGCACTTAGCAACAAGAACATTGAACGGTATAAGTATCTTAAATGAATATCGAACGTACCTTATGATAAACATTCGCTTAGGGTCGGGGTAAATGCAAATTGGGGTAATTACATGCGCTAGATACCGAGACCGGGGGCGTTAGGCCCTCAGACGATCATAGTACCTAGTAGGCAGGTATAATTTATCTGATAGTTGCATTTATAAGTACCTATGTATTTACGAGGAAGACCCCAAAATCTAATTATTCCAAACGGGTAAAACGATAGAAATTCCCTGGCTAGTCGTCAAAGGTCTCCAACAACATCGGGAGTGCACCTGGGCTGTCCTCCAGATATCCCTGGTCCACTAACGTGTCTATTGACATCTTTGCGTACTTGGTCCCCGTCTCCTTGTCCCTCGCTTTCCAATATAGCCGCGCCATTATCTCGTACTGACTAGCATAAAGCGGTGCAAGATCCTCTGCGCGCATCAACTCAAGCACCTCGCGCGTGAGCTTGACAGCCTTAGTCCCATCCCAAGCTTCGACCGCCTTCATGACTTCTTGACGCATATCCTTGATCTTCGATCTACGATAATCGGATGCGGCAATTTCGGCTTTGGATGCTGTACAGAGCGAGCATGTGCAGTTGAACCCCCATTTCTGTAAACCTTTCTGTCGCTCTTCGCGTGTTTTCCCCAGAGGTACATCTAAGGCAGATTCAGAAAGGTCTCGTCAGTTATGTGTCTCGTCACTGAAGAAAAGAGTATTTCGGCCATACGTACATGTAATACTTATCTCCTCCCCCGGCTGGATATCTCTCAAAGCAACAACGCTAACGGCCAAGCTCGATGGCGTAAATCTTATGAATGCGCTACCAAATCACCTTAGTTTCTCGCATATTTCAGTCTCACCTGCTTCATACTTACTTTGGATGGCAAGCATGGTTAATTCTCTACTTGTTTGTCAGTTATTCGGCAGCGCGGAAGGTGATCATGGTAGGCTAGAAAAACTCACCGAAACCTTAGGATAGAGAGCCATATGTGAGTCCCCAGCCAGGGTATAGGAGAAAGCGTTGGTTCGAAGTATGTCTTCTACGATGTCGGCTGAGAACGAACTGCTGCGAGCTAAGTGGAGCACACGCTCTGGGTCCGATAGCTGATCGGTAGCTAGGTGAAGGAGCCGATATCCCTGCGCTCGCTTTACAGAAGTCGGGAAGTTCAGGTCAACCATCATCGAAGCCCAATCTGCCATGATTGCTTCGGCACGGTTGATACGGCGTTTCGCAATTACCCCCTTTCCTTTCCCGGGGAGTTCGATGACCTCAAACGCCGCTTCAGCGTCATTATTGGATGTGAATGATTTTGTATGGGTATAGCCAGAGTCGTTCAATATCTCGATACTGTCTGCGGCTGTTTCAGGTGTAGTGATCATACTAATGCCTCCATTCCCATGCCGAGAATTAGTAAAAACGCAGTACTTGGTCGCATTCAACGCCTCTGCATGTACACATTGCGGCAAGTGCGTCCAAGGTGACCAGTCAATGGGTTGGCGAGTTGTATTCCCGTCAACTGGCTGCGGACATCCTAGCTGGTGTTGTGATTGTAATATTGCCGGGACATCCAGGGGGCATTGCCTGACAACAGCAGGAATTTGACCGTGATATGCAGCGCATGAGCCTACAAATGTAATTAGGCCTATGGCGCAAATGTGTCTTATACACGAATCAGCTCGGATACACATCTTTAGTAAACATTACGTAGAAGAGAGAATTACTGGTATGTATGTAAAGTGATCCGTGGAGACTTTTATTGGCACCATAGGTCGGTTATAAGTATAGCAGCCACAGAGCAAATATTAGCTGTAGAATTTCCCAAATTTGGTTTTCTGGTTCGGACGGAGATAAACTAGGGCGAGATATTGAGCTGGATTGATCAGCGTTGCGGCCAAAGGGGGGCCGATGGGGCCAAGCGCAGCCAAGAATCGAGTACGGGCACTTTCTATCGTTAAACTTGTACGATTGACGCAGAACATTCAGTCATAGGGTCATGTAGCATAGGTAGACTATTAATTCATGTCAAATGTCGATCTCTCGCCAGCCGTTGCTCATATACATATTCTGAGAAAATTCTGATCCGTAGGAAATCTACGGTTCATTACCATAGCCAAAATCCGGCAAAGTAGCACGCACTTAATGCTCCACGCCTTTACTTGAGACTCAACGCAATACAACCGCCAGGCTTATGTTGCAACCTCCTAAGCGATTGCCTCTTTAGGGGCAGAAAGCCTTGGCTTTTATGATCGCCAGACGCCGGCTAAATAGTCAAGGACAAGGTAACCCAAGGAGTTGGTGTGACATATCCGACATATCCGTCTCATCTTTGCAAGCACAGAAACTTGCTGTCTACTAGAACTAGACTATAACCACATTTGACACAGTTATAATGTCTATATAACCTGTTCTCTCACGTAGGTGGCCATCCGGGATAGTTTGAGCATGAAGACAAGGAAGGGATATCTCCGAGTCTCGGTTGACCAAGGTTGATCTTCACCTTTGACAGACGGACGTACCGTGTAGGCTCTGGTTATTATGGAGATAGGTTGGGGAAATAGCCATAGGTTAGCCGCTTCAAGAAATACCGAGATCTAATTAGGAACCAAACAATACTTACGAGCACTTTGAACCTTAAGTAGACCTCAGTGCAGACACAGGTTATGATATACTTGCGTAGAAATTGGAATACCACACATCTCTTAAACACTAGATAGTAGAACAAATAGGGGTTTGGATTCAACGCCTATTAGGCCGACCAGTCCTTCTCTATTTGTCCCACAACTTCTCCCTTATAGATACATAAGTACTTTCCAACCAACTCTCATTCATGCCAGCTCTCGTTTGACTCAGCCGACTAGGCGAGAATGATGACTGTGACAGTGAAAGATTAGCTAACCAGAGCAAACTTTTTAACCGAAGGAATCCCTTTGGATTCAATAGACTTGCGGCTTAAATCAAGAATAAGGAAGATACTACTGCTAACAATTTTATAACTAACTAACCATAAGCCCCTTTTCTCCTTGTTACATCGATGTTTCGGCTGTCTTTCCTTTGGAGCACTCGGGAGTTAAGCAACGGTCAATATGAAATTAAGAGGTCAGGGACAGCAAGACAATGAGAGTCTTAATTACGGGAAACGGCTGTTAATGAATCAAACATAGGAATATAGGTATAATTTTCCTTTTACACGAAACTGCTTCCAATAAGCTCTAGTTTGACTCCAAGATAAGTCTTATCACCTTGGCTATGTAGAGAGCGATTCTTTGGATATAAAATTATGTTTTTCTAAATAACCTAATGTTGATTAACCTCTCTCTTCACGAGATAAGGTAATGTATCGAATTAGTCAACCGGCCTAGAACCTATGAATTTGGTCTTTCCGATATCCGAGTTCTTCTAATATCCCCGGCTTCCGCTTGCTCCCTACAAGAGACTCCTCCATCGGCGGCGGTCCGCACACGAATATTTTGCAGTCTTCTGCACTTGGTGATATCTCCTTTAGCAAATCTTTAGAAACATACCCCTTTCGGAATGGCGAGCCGTCCACAGGCTGGCTGACCGTATAGACTGCCTGGAAGCGACTTGGGAAGCGAGTCTTGTAATCGTCGAATTCTTTCCTCAAGAGTAAGTCGGCGTCCGTATTGACTCCGAATACAAGCGTGATCTTGGTGTGGTCGTCCGGGTTTTGCAAAATGCCCCGGATAAGTTGGTAAGCAGGAGTGATACCGGCTCCTCCGGCGATGAGCATAATCTCCGAATGCTTATTCGGCTGCCAATTATACCCCGGCAAGCAGGTTACGAACCGCAGTGAATCTCCAGGTTGCAAAGAGTGAATGTGCGTGCTTTGCTTCCCGGTCGGATATCGTTTTACCAGGAGCTCTATAGCGCCAGGCTCATCTATCCTAGGAGGTTAGACGGGATCTGTCGATGACATAAGATGCTACAGTTTAACCCACCTAGAGAATTTACTGGTGTGTAAGGTCGCAAGACAGGAAATGTGCTACCTTTGGGCCAAGAAAATGTCAAGAGAGCGGCTTTCTCAAGTTAGTCAGCGGTGATGGAGGACCTATGATAGGATATGCTTGCCACACTCATGAGAGCACTTACATGTTAGTGTCAAGCCACTGATGGAATCTGGTTCGGGCAACTTAAAACGCAACCGTTTCGTGTTGTGGTTTACGGTCTCGGTGCTTTCAAGTTCGAGGGATAAGAAAGCCGGGCCACTACCGAAGGCACGCTTTGACGCACCCGAGTCCGCGTGAACGACACTTCTCATATACGTGTAGTACAGGCCGGCGCCGGCGCCTGCGACAGCAACGCCACTTATGCCTCGCGACAAGCGGGTAGAGAGTAACGTGTAATTCATACTTGACGTAGAGTGGTACAAGGGGACGTTGTCTTCGTAGGTAGTTACCTAGGTAGGGTTACGATGCGTCTAGCGATCGAAACACAAGACGGGGGAAGGCGAGGTTGAATAGTGAAGAATTTTTGAAGGAATGAATCATACGACGAGTATTATGAATAATAGTATAAATAATATGAATAAATATGGAAAATTTGGACGGACTTCCCCTACGAGGTTACACAAGCGATCAGCAGAATATTCAACTATTCAACAATCCTTTCTTAAGAGACTTGTTCATATAAGTTACCATGCGAAAGTCGCCGTACTTTATATAATCGGTTTCCAATTAAAATATGGACAGCATGGGAAATTTGTCCCATATACATTATAGTAACACATGTTTATTTATATCTGTAGCTATTCCTATATATATTGGTATATGTGCATATAGCATTTGATTGTCGGTGTTCGGAGCATCGAAGCGAGACGGGATTGCCGGAGTACACGGCGATCACCCAAGTCCGAGTCCGACGCGTATCCACCAGTACCTACTTGATACATAATATTCCTGTGCCACCAACGGACCCTTTTTTTCTCGGACCCGAAAGACAAAATTGGATTCAACTAGTACATATATCGCATCGCATACGTGACCATCGTGCCATCGTGTCATACTACCCATCCTTCTAACTAGGTACATGCATACTATACCGCCCTAGGTCAGGAATGACTTCAGGAGGCAAGTAGTACAACAGGTTCGCCATTGGTGACGCCCACGCAAACGTTTCCGTTCGCATCCGAAGTGACTGTCCCAGAACCGAAGGTATTGTTCCAGGACCCGTTGGCGACCTGGCTATTGAAACAGTAGTTTCCGCTCGATCCAAGTCCGCTGTTGGTCGTGAGAACAACAAGCTTGCCTCCTTCCCTACTCCAGGCATACGCAGTATTGGCAACGTACAGATGGGTGTGATCGTCGCCACCAAGACCACCTGCCGATTTCTTGGCAGCCGACAATTTACTGATGGCCTGGTAGAGTGCGGAGCTCGTGCTGAAGCTGCTCCTCCAAAGATCCTCGCGGTTAGCGGGGTCCGCACCGCCCGAGTAGGCCTGTTCGGTTCCATAGTACACGATAGGGATACCTCTCGCGAGGATTACGTACGCGAGAGCGTTCTTGATGAGCGAGAGGTCGTTCTTCGTATTTAGCCATCGGGGGTTGTCGTGGTTATCCAGGAACGAGCCCAGCGCGGCAGGGTCGGGGAACGACGAGCTGAGCGTGTTGAACATGTCCACGAGCGCCTGGCTCGACCCTGTCTGCTGGTAGAAGGCGTTCATCGGGTAATACATGGGGTAGTTCAGCAATCCCGACATGAGACTGGCGTAAGGCGCAACGTAGGCTGGGTCGCCGTCGAACACTTCGCCAATCGTGTACACGCCAGCAGCGGCAGAGAAGTCGGGCCAGTAGTCTTTCTCTACGTGCTTCACCGTATCGATGCGAACGCCGTCGAAAGCATACTCCGTCACGAGCCACTTGATCCACGTCTGGTAGAGCGAACGGATGTCGGAGCTCTGTGTGTCAAGATCCGGAAGATTTGCAATCCAACAGTTTTCCACGCTGGTCTGGTTCGAATAATCGATCGTGCATTCGGAATGATAGGAGCTGTCTTCGTTGAGCGGCGACGGCTGGTGATCCGAGATAGTCGAGGGGCCAACGTGATTCGCAACCACATCGACCATGACATACATGCCCTACAAAACTCGAGATCAGCTTACACCATGCTCACGGCAACGGCATCGTTTAGCATACCTTGTCATGGGCGGCGTTCACAAACGCCTTTAGGTCGTCGGCCGTACCGTAGTTCGAATTGATGCTGTATCTGCGTTATGGTATCCACATCAGTTATCGTATACTCAGGATATTAAGTCCGATCATTCGTGACCATAGAAGCCATGTTCCGTTTCAAGAGAAAAGCACAGGTCACTCACAGGTCCGTAGCCCAGTATCCATGATATCCGCCGTCGCTGTCTATTGTTCGTATACAGTTAATAACAATCAACCACGTCGGGGCCGAAGGGCGTTAGAAGCAGTACAAGTGAACTTACTTGTCACGACGGGGGTGATCCAGATCGCATCGAACCCCATACCAGAAATATAATCTAGCTTGGACTGGAGGCCCTGGAAAGTGCCGCCACAATAATTCGAAAGGTCACTGCATGCGGAGCCTCCCGTGTCGGTGCTGCTGCGGGCTATGCGGTCTGTCAAAGCAAAGTAGATGTTTCTCGTCTTCCAGTCATCCACATCTGCCGAGAAGGCCAAAGTAGCCAGCTGGGCAAGAAGAGCGAGCGAAGCCCGTGGGGTCTGCATGGTTGCCGCCGGTGTGCGTGCCGCGTGACTGAGCACCTATCTGGGAAATCTGGGAAGGGGGCAGTAAGGACGCGGATGCGTAAGAGGCTTGGCGAGAGAAGAAGAAAAAGGAGAGAACCAGCTTGGATATACCGGTCTTCTTATGGAATTACTGTTACCGGTGGCGATCACATGGAGCTGGCAACAATTGAACCTCGTCTCGATTCACCTCCTCCGGCCGTTCTCAACAACGGGCCGACTTTAGTGGACAGAGGCCGAGTCTTAAAAACGGCCGACATGACAGAGCCGCCGATGAGAGCTCCATCGTCAACTCCGCCATCCTTGCCAGCGTTACATTTTCCCCTGTGAGAGTCTAGACAAAGGCTTGGAGTCGAAATTGGCGCATGGATGATTTCCACTCCACATCGTGCTAGTCAGCTAGTCACAAATCTTGTTGCAACGATCGCGGTTCATTTGCCATTCCAAGGTCTAGCACGTGGGGTCCCCACAGATCCCGATAAGACCGATATGCATCCATGGATTCATAGGGCCGGTATGATGACGGATTTCACGGTAGTGAACTTTGAATATGTTTAATAAATCCGGCTTCCAAAGGTTCAAGCCAAGTTTTAAATTGCCTTCGTAAAAAAAAGCGGCATCAACCCTTCAATCGTCGCGTTCCGTATTCTATGGGTTTTCCTGATTTTCCAAGTCTTTCTGATTTCCACGCGCCGTATTTTGTACAGTCACCAGTTTAGGAATAGTAATAACACCGAGAACGCTGCGATTGGTACACGTCTTTCTCCCTAAATTCAGAGCCGTCCGTATCTTCCACTGTCCTTCCATCCTCCCATGCGCATCACAATATAATAATCGACCACCTTCCTTCTTAATCTTGAAATCATTCTGGACAACCAATCAAGCTGATTCTAAAACATGAGCATGAGCTTCATTTTATATTCGAAACTATCGCCGAGGCCAATAATAATTGACAGTAGTAATTAAAAATAAAATAATAATAAAATAATTAAAAAAGGTTCTTAAAGGGGCGACGGTAAAACTAACGATAACTGACCTCAGCAAGTACATACCTACCCATGTCGTCCAGGAATAGGTAAGCTCCAATTTATACTAAGCTTTGCTTGGTATAGCGAAATGGGGCGGCCCAAAGTAGGATGGTGTAACAATCTAGGAAGGTAGGTTAATAGGTAGATTTCAAGGACAGAAATTAGATGGAACGGCTATCGGCCTTGGGAGATACCGGAGTTTAAGGCAAGCCACCCGGGGTTATCGGGATTATTCGTAGGAGAACCATTTTTAATATCATATCTGTAGCAAGATGAATGCTATAAGTGGTAGAATGATGATGTTTCTTCTAAGTTCTAAGGTAACTTAAGGTTCAACAAAGAGTGTTATCTAGTACTAGGGATGTCACATGATAATATCCCTTCGTAAACCAGGTATACTCTCGCTCAGGGAACGAGATGTGTGCAGGAAGAGTTTTTTTTATGTTGCTCCACGTAAGTCGTACATGCGTTCAACTACCAAGAATTCTAAGAAAGAAGATCGTGTATGAAAATATCGCTTAACTCAATCCTGGGGTCTTGCGGCCCAAAGAAGGAAGGCCGCTACGGATACTGAGACTACCGCGATGATTGACGCACAAATGACGACTAGCTCGGCCGTCCATATCAAGTGCGATATTAGACTTTCGCCCTGACTCCTCTCAGCCGCCTTTTGTTCCCCGCCGTCCCTCTCATGCGAACCCGTTCCCGCCTTGTCCTCATTGCCCTTCCCTGTCTCTTGGACGTACCAAACCGTTCGCTTTATGTGGGAGGGTCTCCTAAAACGAGCCCTATTTTCCAGTAGCCTCGTGTGTTGGAGCTGGTAGCTAGAGGTCTCCCAGAGCTGGTTTGGTATCCCAGAAGGGTCGGAGGTCGGCCGGTGAAGAGCCCACGATGTTCCTAGGTGACTCTAGAAGGGTCTGCTAGCAGATTGGCTCTAAAGCGTTGGCAAAGGAAGGTCCATGTATGTGTACCGTATTCCCTTGTAGGGAATAGTTGGGAGCTCTTCGCACAATAACATCGATGTTTCATAGTCCTTTAGTTCCGCCTCGTGACACTATTTAGTGTATATACATACCATGGCACATAATAAACACTTACTTCGCTGAGGAGGGGTTCGGGTTTCCGGTGTTCGCTTGAAGCTCTTTAGAGGGCCCCGAAGGGGTCGAGGGCTCCAATGGGTCAGAGGACGCGGAGGAGATACCTGGGATAGTATTATGAGGTGGCTGAGGAGGTTAACGGAGAGCTGGAAGGATCTCAGCAGCATAGAAGATACTACGAGTTCCATATAAGCAATGGGTGTCGGTGATCAATGAGTAAATATCGAAAGTCTTAGGAAACACATGCTTATACTGATATTATCCATTTTGTGATGGATGTGATAGATTACAAGTGTTAATTGTTTGAAACGAGTTGGTGTGTAGAAAGAGAAAATAATAGTTGATTTCTGCATAGAAGGATCATAATGGTGGATTGGGTTCGATTTAACCCTCTGCAGCTTCCGCTTCGGTTTCTCATATCATTGTTAAGGGGTCGCGATCATATAAATCACTCAGAATCCGATATAATTATTAACTCAGGTGCCATTGCTAGATAACCTTGTGGTATAGGTAGAATTGATTATCAAAGAAATGTGCTAAACTTTATAAATAAATTTAATAATTTCTCATTAAATTAGCGTTTACCAATGCTCAAATGACTACAAAGTAAAGTTTTTATGAGACTTTACTTCCCCTATTTCCCTATGTTTCCCTATGGTGCCAATTGAGTTCACTAGGAAGCTTTCCCGCCTGGGCGTCATGGTTTGACTTAGCATATAACATCCCCATTCCTCCTATAAGAGCAGGCGTCGCCCGATGCTCTTGATTCCGAATTCGTCCCGGCAAGACCGATACACGAAATCGCAACACGACAACTATGGCTTCTCCGCATCGAGTCGTGACTCAAGAAACAGTGTATTCGGATCCGGGTCCAGGCACGACACATTCACCAATGGCAGAGGTAGCACCTCCGGAGTATTGCAATCTTCCAGTACCACCACCAGCGACACACGGTCAGTTCTACTTCGAGACCCAAACTAAGGAAACCATCGAGATAGCTTTATGTCCTGATCCACCAAATACACCTCGAGCGCCACTATGGTATGCTCGGCTCTTTTTCAAATGCGACAACGTCCCGCAGCTTATGCGAGAAGGTCTTTACTGGTCGTTGAATAATGTTCAGTGGGAGGACGGATACATTAGTGCTGATGGACCCTATGAACCCCATAATGAGTTAGACGGGACCATAAATGAGTGGCTCCAAAGCAAAGGGTTGAAGCTAAGCCGAAATTACTTTTTACGCGACCTTCAAATGCCTTGCCGATGGGTTGCTCGCTTCCAGATCTACGCGGCAGAGTTCAAGACTTTAGCAGATGTACGGCTAGAAGAGCTTTCCATGGATGATATACGCCATACATTTGCTTGGAGCGTCGGCGGGAAAGAATATGTTTACGGGTACCAAGCCTTACAACCGGAGCAGTCGTATAATGCCATTTATGACGATATGCCCATGGGAGGATGGTGGCCATGGCCAAAGAAAGAAACACGGTACCTTGGGAGAAACATGGATCTGACACGTCTACATTCTATTACACTCGAAACAGGCTTTGTTTACTGGCTGGCTAAATTGCTGCACCTGACGACAAGTAGGACCGGTCTTACGCGCTGATATACACCGTCCAGGTCTATCCAATCAATTAATTGATTATCCTCAAGTTCCAAATACGAGAAATCACGCGTCGTCCTCAACAACTACAATCTGATCATCATCGTCCCCAGGCAACTTGACAACATCGCTCCTAGTGAGTGCCCGGTACTTCTCTTCACATATCCGACCCAGGACGCTTGGAATCACTTTGCTATCTCTCAGGCCATAAAACTCTTGGAATGCCATAAATAATGGCCGCCACTTGTCTGGATCGACCCTATTCGGATATCCTTCCATCCGGAGGTTCTGCAGGATGTGGATCCGTAGCACTCGGACTTCGATTGCCAGCGCGAGCCCGCTACGATCCGGAAGGTCTTTCCAGAGTTCATTGACCTGGACCACCCGACACTCCATCTGTACTGGGCACTCGGCGATTCGCCACGGAGTAACAAGACTGGAAGGCTGCGAGTGTAACCCGGCTCTTGTCCACTTGTCCTTCACAAATTTGTAATTTCTCGCAGCCTTGGAATTGGAAACAGGACTTAGGCCGGTTGTATCAGCTAGCTTATTGACAAAGTCTCCCATAGAATCGCTCGGCAGGTTGAGGACACACTCGTTCGTCCGTATAATGTTTTGGGTGGTCTTGGATTCGGCCCCAAGCCCAAGCATGCACGAGTGGCCAAGCCACCATGCAGAAGACATGGGTGCAATGTTGCTTGTCCCGTCTTCGTTTTCGGACGTAACCAAAACCACTGGCGTACCCCAATAGAGAATGGCGGGAGAGATGACGGTGTGCTCGGTTGACGACATTTTATAAAATTGAGTGAATCTGCTTTGTGAAGTTTGATGTCGAGGTTGGTAGACTGGCAAATATGCTGGTGTCTTGCAGACTGGTTCAAATGTCCCTTCATCGAAGCTGCACAGTCGAGGGTTTAAATATCAGAGGAGTCGATCCGCAAAGAGCGAAGGCCTGGTGCTCGCCGCGGAGTTGCTCATCTTTATGATGCCACGATGACTCTGACCGCTGCTCCTGCTTTGTTTCTTTACTATGGAAGTTAGTGAAAATGGACACCTGATTGGTTACTTCCAGAGCAATTGCTGACGGTGACTCACTATCGTTCGCAAAAAGGGCGAGGATCATTTTAAATGATGTTACCGGTATTAACTTTTAATAAATTCATTAATAAAATATAATATATTTTTATATTATTATGTTAAATAATCGAAACATTATTGTTTTTTACACCGTAATATATATTATGTTAATTATGTGCCCGAGTTTATAAGGGATATTATATTATTAAGTTTTTTACGGGGGTTTTATTTTATTTTTAATTTCCGAAATAAATATAAATTTATTTAAGTTCGGATTTATTAAAATAAAATATTTTTAAAAATATATTCGGATTTATAATAAAATTTTTTAATAATATTATAAATAATAATTAATTATTTTAAATTTAAATTAATTAAAAATTTTTAAAAAAAAATTATTTATTATATTAACGTGGTTTAAATATATAATTAAAATATAAATATTTTATTAATTTCCCTGGTTTTTAATAAAAAGAAATTATATTTTTATAATTATATTAATAAGTTTTTTAAATTTAATTAACGTTTTAATTAAGTTTTTATTAAAAATATAATTTAAATATAATATTTTTTTAAAAGAAACGAAAAATTAAATATAATTTTTAATAATATAATATTTAAAAATATAAAAATAATTTTAATATTATTTTAAAAAAATATTTTAAACGTTAATAATTTTAAGTTTAACGATATTAAATTTTTTACATTATATAATATTATATTTATTAATTATAATAATATTTAAATTTTATTTAATGTTATAATTATTAATTATAATATTAAAACTTTTAATTCCTTTAATAATAATAAATAATATCGGTTATATTAATTAATAAGTTTTATTATATTTTTTATTAAAATTTTCTTTTAATATTATTTATTATATATATTAATATATTTTTTTTAATATATTAAATGTTTTAAATATTTTTATTTTTTTCGGTTATTAATTTAACGGTTTATAAGTTTTTTAATTTTATATAATATTTATTTATTTATATTTTTTTATATTATAACACGTTTAAATATTAATAATTTTTTATTATAAAAATTTAAGTTTTATAATATTTTATATAATTATAATATATTTATAACTTTATATATACGTTATAACGGAAATATATTAATTTTATATATTAAATTTTTAATTTTTTTATTATAAATAATAGTTTTATTTTTTATATTTTATATTTTTTAAATTAATTCTTTAATAATTTATAATTATAATATAAACGCAAGTATATAATTTTATTAACCTTAAACTTTATAACTTTATAAGTTTTATTATATTATATTTTAACATTTATTATAATAAAATTTAAGGTTTTTTTTATTTTTTTTTTTAAAATTATTTTTATATCGTTTCGAAATTAAAAACGTTTATTAATATATTTAATATAAATATAATTAATTTTAATTTAAAACTTAATATAACTTTATTTAAACTTTTTTTTAATATAAAAAAATATATATTATTAATATTATATTAAAATATTAAAATAATTTTAATTTATAATATTTTAAAAATTATTTAATAATAATAAATTATTAATTTTATTTCTTAATTTTATCTTTTAAATTATTCATTTATTTAAAAATAATAAAACATATTTATTATAAATTTAATTTATTTATATAAAAATATATTATTAAATTTTAAATATAAACTTTAAATTTTTATCCGATATTATTTTTATTAATATTTTTTAATTATAAAATAATATTATACGAAATAATTATTTAATTTATTATTAAATTATATAATTAATATTATTTAAAATAAAAATAAATTTCTTATTAAATTTATAAATTATTATAAAAAATATATTAAAATATTTATAACTTTTTATTATTTATAAATTTATTTTTATTTATATTTTTAATAATTTAATAATAAAATTTTATATAATAATATAATATAAAATTATTAAAAAATTTATAAATAATAATTTTTTTTTAAAGCTTAATTAATTAATTTAATTTTTTATATATTTTAAACATTAATTAATATATTTTTTAATTTTATATATTATATTTTATATTTATATATTTATTAATTTATAAAATATTTTTATTAATTTAAAATAATGTTTTTTATTATAAATTATTTTAAATATATTTTTAATATAATTTAAAAGAATTATAAAATATCGAAAATTTATATTAATAATATAATATATTAATTTATTTTTAAATTTATATTAATATTATTTTATTATATTTTTTTAATTTTATTTTATTCGTCCGAAGGATATATTACGCTTAAACTTTTTTTAATTAATAAATAATTTTTATTTAATTAATAAAAAAATTTTATTTAATTAATAAATAATTAATAAAAAATTAATAAAAAATTATCACGCATATTAATTAACTTATTATTCGCGTTATAAAGTTAACGTTTTAATATATACTTTAAATTTATCCACGTATATAATTAAATATATTTTTTTAAAAACTTATTATATTTTCCGGATTATATAATATTATATATTTTATTAACGTTATATTATTTATTTTTTATAATTATTATATTAATTATATTTTTTATTTTATAATTATAATTATTATATAATATATTTTTAATGTGAATTTTTAAAGGTATAATATAAAGAAATAATTATGCATGTGGCTCGTGCCATAAATAAATAAAATAAAGGATTTTAAGTTTTTATTTTAAAATTTTTTAACTTTAAAAAAGTTAAAAAAATTTATTAATTTTATATTATTTTCTTATATTTTAAAGGTTTATATTAAATTAATAATTTTAGAAAGTTTTTTTTTTAAAATTTATTATATTATATTATTCTTTTTATAAACGTTTTAAACTTATATTAATTTTTGTTATTAATTTACTCACACGGCTTATTACGCGAATTAATGATATAATTTTCCTTAATAAATCATTTCCGTAATTTTATTTTTTACACATTTTTTACATATTAAAGATATAAATTATTTCCTATAAATTATTATTTTATTATATCGATTATTAAACCTTAATTAAGATTTAATTTCGTGTAAATAATACTTTTATATATTTTATTTACACTTAACATAAAATATGTGTTAAGTATTATTCATAAATAAAATCCGTGAACGGATTTTTTATTTAAAAACCTTTAAGAATTAAAAAGTATTTATATTCGTAAAATTTTTTTTTTAATTTTTATTTTTTATTAAAAATTTTTTATAACTTATTAAAATTAATTTATTATTTTTTAAGTTATAAAATTTTTTATAAATTTATGTGTAATTATGTAAATTAATTTATTATTAACTTATAAATTACGTATAAGCTTATAATTTTTTAAAAAATTTTAAATATTAAGTATTTATTATTAATTTTATATATTTTCCCGCATTTTCTTTTTTTTTTTTATTTTCTTTACACTGTTATAATCATTTTATTTTAATATTTATTAATATTTTATGGAATTTATTATTCGTAAACGGGTTATTAAAAAATGATTAATAAGTAAATTATTAATAAATTGGCGTTAAATTAAGGTAAACCGTTTATAATAACGGAAAAATCTTTAAAAAAAACTTTAAAATTAATAATAAATATTTTTAATTTTTATGTTTCATAAATAAAATTAAGTGTTAATAAATATTTCGTGGTATTTAAAATTAATAATAATAGTTTAAAATATATTATGAAAAAAATATATGTTAAAATAAATAAATAAATAAATTACATAAATGATTAAATGGAAATATTTTTGCGTAAATCCGATAACTTTATATTGCGATAATTTATAAATAACGGCAATTGTAATTGGCAGTTTAATATTTAAAAAAATGATACCATACCATTAAAAATCGCGAATATTTTCTTTACGAATAATAATTAATTTTCCATGAAATTAAAAAAAGATAATGTGGGATAATTTAACTTAAATTATAATAACCTTTATAATTATGGTATTATTATAAATAGTTAAAATATTGTTTTTATTAATATATATTTTTTTTTTAATTAAGTTTATTTTATATAAAAAAACCCGTTAATAAATTAAGAAAATAAATGGTAAATTTTAACCTTATTTTTAACCTTATTAAATAGATTTATTTTTAATTAATAAAGTAATAAATTAATTATTAAATAATGTGAAATAATAAGATAAAAAAACTTAAATAAAATATTAATACGGTTAAAAAATTATTTTTAATTAAATTTAAGTATTACATTTTTATTTTTTATAAAAATTATTTTAAATGTAAAAAAATTAATGGAAGGAAAAAATATTATATATAAATATATTTAAAAAAAAATCCGATATGTAAAAATATTTAAAATAATAAAATTAAATAATTAAAATTGATACGAAATTATTATAATTATTTGAACCGGGATGTTGTTAAAAATCTAATAATTTTTTTATGTATTATATAAAACCGAAGACTTTAAAACGTATATAAAAAAAAGTTAAAAGGAATAAGTTTATTATAATAAAAATAATGGAAAATTTATTTTTATTAAGTTAATTTAAATTTTTATATTTAAATTAATGGAAAAAAAGATATTATATATTATATTATAATATTTAACGAATTAAAAGGTATTATAAAAATATAAATTAATATTAATTAAACGATAATTAGGATTATTGGAATAATTATAGTTATAAATGTAAAAGTGATTAATAAAATAATAAACGAGATAATTATAAAAATGAGTGTTAAGATTAAAATTAAGATTACTAATAAAATTATTATAAAAATTATAATAATAATTATTATAATGATAATAAATAGGATTGTTAACAACGGGATAACAAGCGTAAATAAAGTTAAAATTATAATAATAAACGTGGAAATAAATAATGCCGAAAAGACATAAATTATAAAAAACGTGTCCATTAATTAAATAAAGTTAACACCTTGCTAATAATTTCTTTAAATGGCTTATTTAATTATTTTAAGTTTAAAAATAACGCAAATTTTATTAATTATATATTTAATATTTTAATAAATTATAAACATTATAAATAAAACTTTTTTTTTATATAAATAAAATGTTATTATAAATGTAAATATATTTTTAATTTAATATAAAAAA